CCCTAAAACAATCCATACGATTGGCACTGAAGAATTTTCCCATGGAAAGAGTGCGTGCTTCTGTTAATAACAACAACAACGTTTAAATGACTGTATTGCAGCCAATGGAGACCACTTCGAATAAACTTTATATATTGTTAATAGTTTTATATTAATGTATTAAACTAATACGCTGTAATGTAATAAATGTAACGTGCAATAGAAAAATAGTTTTTTTTTCTTTGTAACAATATTTAGGGCAAGACTATGTATATAGTCTATTCTATACTTAAGCGAAGCGAGGGTGAGTCGCTAGTATTATATATAAAATTAAATTGACGTTTATAACACGTGTTTATAATTTATGAATTGGAATAGTAACGGTTTCATAATGAATGAATAAAATGTGTTCAATCTGATATATAAGTATACTTTTAACATTTTGTCGAAAGTTAAAGAACGAAGAAATAAGTATAAAACAGTATAAAATACTTAGAAAAATGCGTGCTTGGCCTGATTGTGTCTTTCTTAACACGCTATTCGCGTTACAGTAGGTACCTACTACTAGTAGCCGTGGGGTTTGGGCTTATTTGATACATTTTCACAAGTTCTCTATATTAGAGTCCACCAAAAAAGAGTATTTATTTTAGTTTATTAAAATTATAATAATTTAATTAAACACTTTATTTTAACTGCCTTATCGGCAACATAATACGTACAATGTACATTGTACATAGCGAGCAAGCATAGATTATAAATATACCATAAATAACAATATATGCATACATGTATACCAATGTTTGAGTTTCTAAATTAATTCTTTCTTATAAATTGCAAGAAAGTATAAGTAAAAAATTCATCAACCGCCTTCATCGTCTATTGAATTTTTATAAATTAAAAGTTTCGACGTAAGATTCTAATTGTTTTAAATACTTTCTTGTTTTGGTCTACTTGCTAGGTAGGTGGTAACACAAAAGGTTTTATAAAATGATTTACCGTAAAAAATATTTTGGTAATAATAACTGTATAGTGATCCATGCAGGCGTGAACATTCACAATAAAGAACTGCATAACAAGTACATATGTTGTAAAATCTATACACATAATAAAATTCTAAGTTGAACTCGTACATATTTTTTTTAAATCTTATTATATATTATCGATACAGAGGCCGAATATATAGTTTTTAGAATTTTTGTCTGCTTGTCTGTCTGGGAACGCATCACGGATTTTGATTTTGATGAAATTTGGTATGATGATAGCTGGTTATCCGGGTCAACATTTACGATATTTTTTACTGCGGGAAAATATCTCATTTCAGAGATGTAAACTATACTAATCTTAAAACGTAGGGACGAACCCGAGCGGATAGTGAGTCGATAGTGTAATAATATTTATATATTATAATATGTACATAATATGTGTTAATATTCAACGTCACATTTCATCACTTTAGTGCTTATTTGTTCAAACGAAGAATACTTTCATACTTTACAATGAAGATTTATTTTTATTGATTAAAAAAAGCTTTATTTCTAAGTTTTATATAATGCCTTAATTGTTACTTATTATTAATTGCGAATTGTTATCACTACTAAACTGTTATTGGTTTTAAATTTTATTTTAAATTTGTATTTTTTTGTTTTATTTACATTGGGTTTTGTTTTTAATAAATTTTATGGAATTTTTAAAGAACGACCTTAAGTTTAGTTCGAATACGGATTTTCGCCTGCTTCCTTTGTGATCATTTTTTTCAGTTTCCTTGAAATAAGTTCCTAGTTCTTATGCATTTTTGGAGAACTAAGAAAACGGTTATGTTTTTAAAATAATCTGTAAGCTAAGTTTCATAACGTTTTTTTTTGTTTTTAAGGTATGTCTTGCATTTTTAAATTTGGACGACAATTGTTGTTTTAATATTGATGAATAATCAATGTTTAATCGTTTTTATAAACCAGAAGAAAAAATGAGATTTAAATTGATATTTTTTTTAATAAATTTATGATGTTGCATTTTTGACTTATTTTGAAAAAAGCTAAAAAACGTGATAACTCAAAAATGGTTCACTTTTGCATAATGCATATTTGTAAAAATTATCGCAAATAGTCACCTCTACCACCTCCTAACGGGAATACGTTGAATTACCAATAATGCTGTATAATAACGGTGGGAAAAGCATTTAGGTATACCACCTGCATACAGGTAACCTGTATGTGAGACTCACCGGCAAAAGCCACAAAAACCAAATGGAACTACCCCCGTCATACGTTGCAGGATCCTACAGTCCACTCTGCTATCAGAGAAGTAAAAACTACCAGGAGCAACCCGCATAGCACACCGCCCACCGAAATGGGCCGTCTTCCACTTCCCAGCAGTTCTTGACTTCACGCCCGGCCCGGTTGGATTGCCGGACGCTAAAGAGACCCCCCCCCCCCACCACGACAAGGAGAACGTACATTGAGGATTCCTAGTTTACCTAACCTACCCTACCTATCTCTCATCTCAGTAAGCGTTTGAGCTTGTAGCAACCTCAAGGAGAGGCACCAAAGCCACAACTTGGCCACCGCGATCCCTTAAAAAACCCTACCCTACTGTTCAGTGTTAACTGTTGGCGAGATTTTTTTACAAATCCAAGTATTACCTAGTAAGAGTAAAAATTTCATAATACTTTCTGAGATTCGTCGGGAACCCAAAATCAAAAAAAATCCGAAAAGATAGTAATAATTTCAGTTTAATTTTAAAATATTATTTACGAAAATAAATTTCGTTAGTCGTAAATTAACTTAAAAGCAATTATTTAAGCCTTTACTAAAAATATTTGAAGTTGTTTATATTATTTAAGATTTATAATTTAAAGAGTAGACGCAAATTTTGTAACTTTTAATGTAGAAAAAGTGAAAAATAAAAGTAACAGTTTATAATGTACGCTTACTTTGCTGTTTAGAAAGCGATGTCTTTTGTTACTGTACAAATAAATACGTCACGTTTGGCTCAGTTTGTAGTGACCCTACTTGCTGTGGCAGCGGTCGCGGGTTCGAGTGCCGCTGGGGGCATTCATTTGTGTGATGAGCACGAATGTTTGTACTCCAGTCATGGGTGTTTATATTTAAAGTTATATAATATGTGTAGTGTATCAACTATCTGGTAACCATAACACGAGCTTCGTAGCGAAACATGGAACTAGATGGTGCTGTGTGTCAATATCCCAACATATTTATATAATAAATATACCTAACTAAACAAAAAAACATTTATCATTGCAACAGATGGCTCATCATTATCATTAGCAGTTTTAGAGATTAAAAAATAAGCATGTGTTTATAAATTTAAAATATAGCAAATAATACTAAATATGTACTCGTAAATACATTTTTAAGGATATTTATAGCAGATACATAAGGATTTAAGTATTAAAGTAATCCAACTTGTTTATTTAATTGATAAGTTTTATGTTAATAAAAACACATTAATGCCTTATTAATACAACATATATACATAGATATGTATAAATTAAAAATATTGATCTGAGATCAAGTAAATGGTTTAAAGAACAGACCGAAAACATGTACTAGATTGCATAAAAATAAAATTTAATATAATATGATCATAGAGATGAAGCTAGAAATTAATTTACATAATTTGCTCAAGTATAGAACGTTAACCTCTGATAAAAATGCCGTAAATATTATTATTGCGTTACTTTTCTATGGTCGTCGCAAGTATAAATGATTTGTTTTAACAGGTAAATAAAGACTTGGTAAACACCTATCATTTTTATTATTAAGGTCCTTATCGCACTTTAAAGAAGATCCCATGAAAAACATAACATGTAAAAAATGCAGTTTTCTACAGCAAAAAGTTTTGAGATCTAATGTAAAACACTTGGTACTGAATAAATTAACCGACTTGGTTTTACATTAGATCTCAAACTTTTTACAGTAGTAGAACTGCGTTGCGAGACTTGCATTTTTTACATTTTATGTTTTTCATTAAATTTCATTTCTTTTTGTAAATAGTTTTCCTTTTTTTCTTATCTGGTACTATTTCTTGTGCATATACCCCTAACTCAATTTTGCCTACTTTAAGATCTCCAAGATTTCAATCTCATCGCTTGCCTTCGCCACGCTGCGCCGACTCAAAAATATATTATAAATATAGTATAGGTATATTATTAAAGGAGGCATCGTCTGTGACTTACTGTACTATATATATCCACTATTTACCTACTTCTACTACTACCCAAATGAATAGGCCATTTGGGTAGTTTAAGTGACGAATAATTATATGTACTGCAAAAGTAACTGTGTAATTATTAAATAAAACTATCTTTTCGGATTATTTCGTGGATTTATTTCGATTTTTGGTTCCCGACGTTTCGAATGCTTTACAGCATCCATGGTCACGGGAGAGACTGAGGTGTTACATGTCTTGAAGGTGTAGTTGTTACAGACAGCCTACCCACAATTAACAAAATGAAAATTGCACCAATTACATTACAATATTTTTTAACTTTAAACATTTTTATAATTTTAATTTTATTGAATATGGAAAATTATTTATTTCATTTTTACTATTATTTTTATAATTATTACAATTTTAAAAATATTAATTACTAATCTTTAATGATATTTTTTGATCATTTGGATCATACATGGATATGGCCTTTAGTCGAATAGCTATCCCTGAAACCCGCCTGTTTCTTTGATTGGTTCTCATCGAGTGTCTTGGTGATACTAAACAGTAGTATTTTGGAAAATACCTTATAGATATTCGAAATCAAACTTATCGACCTATAATTTCCAATAGCCCCTTTTTTGTGTAACAGCGTTATTGTTGTATTTGCCCAGTAATTAAAAAAGTATATTTAAGTGTAAATTATCTAAAAAAAAATTGATATAGTAAGCTATATCAATATGTATCAATGAATTAGAATTTTCATCTTAAGCTCCAATTGTACCGGGTGTGTACGTTGTTCAAATACTGGTTTTTAATGTTTATAATATGTAAGTACGATAAAATCCCGCATGTATGTTATGTGAGTGAGCCTTCAGCTATTTTTTGACATTAACTAAAATGACTATATTAGAGCTGAGACAACAACTGATATATTGTTGTTAAATAAGTTTAAAAGTATTATTTATCTGTAGCCGTAGGTATTTTTCTCACATGATAAGCGTCAAGCGACTCATCGTTCATCGTTCATCGTTCACTATTTTATGTTTAAACACAATCTCCTGCAATAGGTACTTTACACATAGCTAATTAAGAAAAAAATCTACATTAAAAATACCTAATAACTCATGTCTGAATAATAAGATTAAGCCGTGAACAGAAATAAATAATGAGGTTAACAGGTAAACAAATGACTGCTGTCGACAATTAGCAATAAATATTTCTTAATACGTTATTTTAAGTATTCTTTGACTACTAAACACCAATAATTACCTTGTCCTGTTTAATATTATCTATACATATAATAAAATTGTAACGAAGCCGAATCTGTACATTAAATATTTTTTGGAAAATCTTATTGAAATAAACATTATTATCGATACAGAGGCCGAATCCATAGTTTTTAGATTTTTTGTCTGTCTGTCTGTTTGTCTGTCTGTATGTTATCGCATCACAGAAAAACTACTAGAGGGATTTTGATGAAATTTATTATGATGATAGCTGGTTATCCGGGCCAATATATAGTATACTTTTTACCACGGGAAAATGTCTCATTTCTGAGAAAAAATACAAAAACTGCATTGTAAGATTATACTAATATGTAAAACCTAAGAATTTGGTTTTTGGTCACCTGAACGCGGGCGGAGCCGCGGGCAATGCTAGTTTGTCATAAATTTCTCCTCTACCTAATACAATATTGACATACAAGTACTTCTTTAATGATCTCAGGTTCACATTATAAACAGCACCGTTAGATTTCCATAAATTTTAATAAACGTAATTATAAGCTTTCCTTGGGTAAAGTCGTGCTTACCACTAATCAAGGTTTTACAGCATCTACTGGTAGCTCTATCATTTTTATACCTAGATTTGTTAAATTCTGATGTTAATTTTTCACGCAATAGTTAAATGTGTCAAATCCATACTAATATTATAAATGTGAAAGTGTGTTTGTTTGTTTGTCCTTCTTTCACGTTGAAACGGAATGACGTATTGGCGGGATATTATCTAATTCCCACGGAAAAACAAGTTATAATGCAATCCAAAAAAATATTTATGATCAGAATTACTTGAAACTTGGTATTAATGCTCTTCAATAAAATTGAATAATACATGTTTTAGCATTTATCAAAATTCATGCTATAAGAGGGTGAAATAGGGGAAGACAGTTTGTATGAAACTACCTTTTTAAAGATCTTTCGTAGTATTAGCGCGAGCGAAGCCGCGGGTTCTGTTAGTTAAATATAAAGAAAAGGACGCATAAAATAAATATAATATAAATATTATATTTTGCATGAAAAATGAAGACAGGCAGACGTAATAGCTAATGTAATTGGGTATAGTCAGCCGAATCGTTGCACATGCCTGATTCGCCACAGGGCCAAAGTCATCGAGTTTCCGAGGGAATGGCAAAGCGAGCGGTTGTGTAACTTGCCTACGTACTACCTCGTCCGCTCTAATAACCTAGCTACTTCGCACTCGCTTGTCAAGTCGGGGCCAAGAGAGTTCACTGGCACTCGAAGACTCTAGCCGACGGGGTCATTGCCGCACGACTGGTAAGGTTCCATACGTTATATCTATACATATAATAAAATCCTAAGCCGAATCTGTACATTGAATATTTTTTGGAAAATTTTATTGAAATAGACTTTATTATCGATACAGAGGCCGAATCTATATTTTTTAGAATTTTTGTCTGTCTGTCTGTCTGTCTGTCTGTCTGTTACCGCATCACGGAAAAACCACTGGAGGGATTTTGATGAAATTTGGTATGGTGATAGCTGGCTATCCGGGTCAACATATAGGAGAGGCTTTTTACCGCGGAAACATATTTCATTTCTGAGAAAAAAAACAAAAACTGCAATGTAAGAGTATACTAGGTAATATGTAAAACCTAAGAATTAGGTTTTTCTCATTTGAACGCGGACGGAGCCGCGGGCAATGCTAGTCGCTCAATATGAGTGAGAGACTAAGCGTCTATTCCCGCCTTGTTCCCAATAACGGATTAGGTACTTACTTTAGAGGGGAAGACGTTTATGCTCTAATTACTGCTATTATTATTCATATTTTTTATGGTCTTTGACGTCATTGCTTAATTTTCATTTTATTTATTTTAAGATTTATACATGGAGATTAATTCATTATTATAATCATGTTAATTAAATTTGTGTACATACATACACACATCATGTTAATTAAATTTATTGAGCCTATGCTGTCGGACTGTCCGTCCGTATGTTCTAACTACAAAGTCCGTATCAGTTTCATATCAGCGTAATAGATGGTTACAGATTGTGTGTTATATTGGTGGGTTTTCAATTATCAATTAAAAAGAGTAAAATAAATAGTATAAATAAAATTTAAAAGTATAAATATATATAGAGAATCTCACGCAAAAAACAACAAAACAACAAAAACATGTTATTCTTGTTTTTTGCGTTATCATAAAACCGGTAATAAACGTACATATTATAAGCGTCTAACTTGATGCTAGTGCTTAAGTTTGTATATTTATAATAAAAAAGTAATGATGTAAATTATGGAACGAAACCCTTAATCTCTCCCCATCGCATTTGACCGATTTTTCTGTCACTTTTACCTGTAAGTATTCAGCTGGCGTTGGCAAGGATGGGTTGGCGGATTTCATATATCTTTCAAAAACTTGCTAGGTTCTCTCAGACGAGCGGGTTTCTTTCACGGTATTTTTCTTCACCGAAAGACAAGTGTTAATCTGGTTGGAAATGATTTACACATGAAAATATCAGAAGTGCAAGATCTCGGATTCGAACCCGCGTTACTCGGTTTCCCAAGCAAGCGCGTTACCTCTGGACTACCACTTTTACCTAAATAAAACTTATTAGCAATAATAGAAATAAAAAGTAAAAGCAAAAGCGTCTGTAAATTTAACTATCTAAAGTTATTTTAATGAACTAAAGTTATTTTAACTAACTAAAACCTTCCTCTTGAATAACTCAGTCTATTAAAAAACGCATCAAAATCCGTTGCGTAGTTTTAAAGATAGGATACATAAATACATAGGGAGTAGGGACAGACAGACAGCGGGAAGCGACTTTGTTTTATATTATTTAGTGAAGATAATTAAATACTAACGCTGAGTAAAACTAAAACCTCATGTTTGGTTAAAGCAATAATAGCTAAATAAAAAAAACCGATAACAATCAGATGAGCATCTAATGAATAATATTTTATTTCATAAGAATTTATAATAACTAAAATGTTACAGTACATAAATGAAAAACAAAAAACTAATAAATATTCAGCACAGCGATTATTTCCGGTGTCTAGTTTGATATCTTTATATATATAATTCTTCTGTGAGTGTGTATGTCACTGAACTTCTCTCAAACGACTGGACCGATTTTGATGAATTTTTTTGTGTGTGTTCAAGGGGATCTGGGAATGGTTTAGATTCACAATTTGAATAATAATTTTCATCAAAAAAATTATTAAAAAAAGTTTGAAATTTTCAAATTAAAGACGTGTAGACAGGACAACGTCTGTCGGGTCCGCTAGTATTTTATACTTACCTCAATTACTTGAAAATTTAGAATTATTTTATATTCTTATATTTTTAAACTTATAAACAAATATAATTTATTAAATAAATGAATATAATATTAAATAAAGAATATTTAAATCCAAATTTTAAAAGTATATCATTAAGTATTGCCATATGACCCGTCACTATAATTTTTATTCATCAAATCAAAATCGAGTGTATTTTTTGTAAAAATCTTCGCTAATAACAAAAAGTTACTTTTTTGTTAGATACATACAGTAATTGTTAAGGTGTAGTAAGTATTAAAGTGCTAAGAGGTTCTGCACAATAACAGTTATACTTTTACTAAAATTCCAAATCACCTAAAACTAATTATTTCGTCCATACAGATAAAGTTTTTTCATAAGGACATATTCATTGTGTAGGTAAAAGAAAATTGTTTCACAATTATTGTCGAACGTATCGCGTAACATACTGTAGGTATGTTACTCGATATCTAATATAAAAAAAACATACGGCCGAATACAGAACCTCCTCCTTTTTGAAGTAGGTCAAAAAATAAGGTTAAAATTATATTAAGTTATAGTGACTACATCAAGTACTACCATTTAATGTTTCTTTGTTCGAATCTTTTAGACTTCTATACATATAATAAAATTGTAACTAAGCCGAATCTGTACATTAGATATTTTTTGGAAAATCTTATTGAAATAGACATTATTGTCGATACAGAGGCCAAATCTATAGTTTTTAGAAATTTTGTCTGTGTGTCTGTCTGTTACCGCATTACAGAAAAACTACTGGAGGGGTTTTGATGAAATTTAGTATGGTGAAAGCTGGTTATCCGGGTAAACATAACAATAATAACAGTTATACTTTTTACCGCGGGAAAATATCTCATTTTTCATTAAAAAAACAAAAACTTCAATGTAAGAGTATACTATTTTGAAAAACCTAAGGATTTGGTTTTTGGTCATCTGAACGCGGGCGGAGCCGCGGGCAATGCTAGTCTTTCTATAAAATGCTATCCTAAAAAAAATCTAAAAGGAACACAAATTTTAAAATCACATAGACCATAGTTACACACTGCACCTAGTTACTTATATGATATTATATTAATGCTAATATTTAATCTTTTAAAAAATAAAGTACCAAAATTGCTGTAAAATATTTATTTCTCTCACGTCTTCTTCATTCTAACTGACATTGACTGACGTGCATTGACTACGTGACTTGAAACAACTGGTCCACTTTAAGACATTATAAAAGTATGAAATATTTAAAATCTTATAATTTAAAAAGTTTGAGTTCAGTATTATATGTGATGAATCACGTCGATAAGTACCTATTTATCAAGTCTGAAATTGTGTAAAAAATCAAAAGCAATTAACATAATATTTAACAAATGGGTTCGTTAGCGTAATGTTTTGAAGTACGTACCTATAGATAAAATTGAAATTTCACGGTTCTAATTAAATTAGAAACTTAGTTTCGTTTTTTATCTATTGCAGTATAATATAAGTTATATTTAAATAAAATTTCAATAAGACTTAACTGTTAAAACTTTTTCCCAATAAAAAACTCGACTGCGTAAAAAGTGCACTTAAAAGATGAGAACAAAATAATATATAGTACTAATAATACTATGTTTCTTCATCGACTTGTTTTCATCTTTTTAGTTCGCATTTGATGCAGTCGAATTTTTAATTTTTGCAAATTATTATTTTTTACAGGTTTTTAGTTTTGGCCAGTTAGACATTTTTATATTATATTTAAACATATAAGTTGTGTATATTTTTGTAATGCCTCTTAAAAACCTGTATTTTGATATTCCACTCGATTGATTCGAACGAATTTTTTTTTTCAAAACAGAAAAATTGGCGCCTAGGATCCGCCATTTTAATTTTTAATGATATTTATATACCCTATGGCACTCGCGTTATCAAGACGAAACTAACGACATATAAATTATTAAAATCAGCTAAGCCGTTTAGTAATTACGAGGGAACATAGGGTTGGACATACAAACATACATGTAAAAAGGTAAAAACTATGCACTACACATTTTTAGTTTAATATCGGGTGGGCCATTAAATTTGATAGATTTAAAAAAAATCATTAATAAAACTACAAGTAGTACGAAAACAAATACTAAAGTAGACAGATGGGAAATTTATTTTTCGAAAGTAACATCACTAAGATTCGAATCATCTAGACGTACACATTCTTCGAATCGGGACCTCAATGTTAAGAAAACTCGCAATCACATTTCCCTTAGGATACAGGACATTTCTTCGCATATTTTACTCTTGAGCTGGACAATTCTGGTTGGTTTATATGCATAAACGTGACTCTTCAGGTATCCCCAAATAAAAAATATCGAATTGAGTGAGGTCTGAGCTCCTGGGCGGCCACGGAATATCTCCTCGGCGCGATATAAGTTTTGCTTTAAAAACTTCGTTTACGACTGCCAATTACTCGTTAGACGTATGACATGACGCGCCGTCTTGTTAAAACCATGTCCTAACCTATTCTAGGCTTTAAATTAGTGCAGTTGTGGAAAGAAAAACTCTCGTAACATTTTTGTATAGTGATCAGAATTTACTGTTACAGATTGATCTTGCTTGTTCTCAAAAAAAATAGGGACCAACGATTCCTTGGGTTAACATGGCCGCCCACACTACTTTGAACGAATGCAGATGCGTTTGAGGTTTTAATTTAGGATTTTCTGCAGCCGAATAATGGCAATTTTGTTTATAAAGAGAATATTGTTAAAATTTTGAAAGTCTCCAACATTCTTTCGGCAAAAACTCGTCGTAAATTGTGATCTTCGGGTTTCAATTCTTGAACTAATTGAAGTTAATAAGGATGCAATTTCAGATATTTAACCAAAATTCGCCGCAAAGATGATCTCGATATAACGAGTTTTGCCGATCTCTTCCGAGATGATAATCCGGGATCACGCTGTACGAATGCCGCAACTTTTCTTAGAGTTCCGTCTACTTGTTTCAACCTTGGACGTCCCGCAGGTTTCTGATTGATCGTCGAACTTGTTGCCTCGAAATTTCTGACCCATGACCCCGCACTTTCACTTGGACTTTATTTTAGATCATGTAAATTATACTCAGAGCGACATAGACGTTGCGTTCCGTACTCGAAGAATCCAAACGAAGCTGTACTGCTGTCACTCACATGTCGGTCTTTCCATCGTCTGCCATGCAAGTTTTATAGCCAAACTCCAACCGAGTTACAGTCTTCAAATTTTTACAGTATAAGCATCTTATTGACTCAAAGCCATACAAATTGTCAAAAATATATTTTTTATGTTTTTAATGGGGGCTTCTATATAGCTAAGGGAAAGCGGAAAACAAAGAAAGGAGAAGCCACCAAAGTCAGCTTTTTTTTACAAAGTTGAAATTTGGTGGTCATGTTTATTATTACGTATATTTTACTGACAAATACCAATACATTCATAAAAAGCCTGATAAAGATAGCGATTTCAAAAAGGCTGCCATGCAAAATAAAAAAAAACATTATGATACGGAAGGAACTCTTCGTGTGTGAGTGACGTGTGCGAGTCCGACTCGAACTTGACCGTTTTTTTAAGTATAGATCGAAGTATTGATATTATAATACATATTCATACGAAAACTTATCTTCTAAAATAGCCTTTCCAACATAAACACAAATTATAAATAGGACAGTGTATTATGTGTTCCTACAGAAAACATTGTGTTTAAACAAGTTATTATGTGCTTTATCTATTTAAATAAATTATTGGAGCTTGATTATTAAAGGTTTATAAAGATTAAAGAAGACGTACCGAAAGAGTGCCCCGGTTTCCACTACTTGGCAGTGAGTTGCGGTTTCCGCATAAAGCCGCATGCAGGCTCTCACCTCATCATGTGAATACTATAAATGTTTTTATTGCATTTTGAATATACTAGTCTGCGGCTCTCCTAATATGTTAAAGCGATAAAAATAGACTAAAAATAAATTACAAATTCACTCAAATGTCCAACCTGCCAGTAAAAGTATATCTAGAAATCGGTTAAGTTTTTCTTGCCATTCATTGGATAGAGCCCTCTACCCCGCGGAAATTCTTTATATTCCGGGGATAGAAAGTACTATTACCGAAATCTTCTTTCCACCAATGACAGACCAATTAAAAAAAGAAGGGAGAAAGAAATCGGCTTGCCAGTATCAAAAGATTAGACGGTTCAAGCAAATACCCGTTTGAACTCTATACTTATTAATTATTAACTGACACTTCTATTATATTTATAAGAATTATTAAAAAAACACGCTCGTTCTATTCATACTTATATGACCAAAATCGTTATAATTGTAGTAAGCAAAGTTTTCTTCGAAATACAAACTAAATAACTACTAACTTTTGGCAGCTTCGTTCGCGTAATAAGCGGGCGGTAAAGAGTAGCCTATACTAGGATGCAATGTCTTGACAAATTTTATTGGAAATCTGTTTAGTGGTTTAAGCGTTAAAAGTTAACAAACACATTTCCCATACTTTCACATTTATCATATTATTATGGATATAGACCAGCTATACTCAACCTGCGGCCCGCGGGCCGCATGCGGCAGTATCAAAAATCGCATTATAACATATTTTTGTTAAAACAGTAACTACATCGTTAACTTGGAATTACGTTTTCATTAAGACCTAAATAATTTTTGCTTGTAGCCCTCGACACCATGACTGAAACGTGTTTGTGGCCCCTATAAAAAAAGGTTGAGTATGGCTGATAGAGACAGTCTTATTAAATTCTAATAGTGAAACCACGAGTCATGCTGAACACTACGGTAGAAGAAGCATTTAGAATAGAAATTATTATTCACAAGACTTTTTAATTGCATTTATTTCTGCGCATCATTAGTCCGATTAAGTTGAAAGTTCATACGTCAATTATTAGCACTTGGGTGAAAGTTAAACACATATTTCTAATAGGTAGGTACTATGCATTTATATTAGGTAGCAATGTCATTGGTCTGAATGAAACAGGTATCAGTAGTGAATGTACGGATATGTAAATGTACCTATTTATGCGAAATAATATAGTCTTACCCGTCCATCATTCATATATATATATATCAGGAGTTCCCAACAAAGGGGGTGTAGAGAGAGAGTTTATTTTATATAACTTAAAAATTGTTAAAATAATGTGCTTTATTATAATAAAAAAATAACCCTTTATTTTTTATGCATTTTGGCATGAAAATATTTTTTTAATCCGAGGAGGCTTAAGGTTGGGGAACTGATATAAGTAATGGATGGTTAAGGTGAAATTATGATATCTTATTATCTGTACTAATATTATAAAGAGGTAAAGTTTGTGAGTTTGTGAGATTGTAAGTTTGTGACATCGCGGTGTAGGGGGTAATCTCTAGATCTACTGAACCGATTTAGATGGAATTTGGTAAGAAGATAGTTTGAGACCCTGGGAAGGACATAGTATCTTTTATCCCGGCCGACTTTTTATCCCGGAAATCATACCTTAAGGGGGTGAAAATGGAGATGAAAGTTTGCATGGAGGATCAACCTAGGGACGAACCCGAGCGAACTAAGGGTGAGTCGCTAGTTTTATATAAATCAAATCTGTGCACAACAATATACTTGGTTACATACAACAATATAATACAACATTTTTAAATAGAAGTAGTAACCGTAAGGAAAACACGTTTTAATTTCATAACTAAAATCTATAAAAAGTCAATAAAACGTTTCGTGTTGTAGACACAATTACTAGATTACTTCATTAGAAATAACTTTATTTTATAAAATTATAGGTTTCCGACATGAAGCAGTCACTTTGGAGAATATTCTTTTTGATTCCTATTTGCCTTTGCTTGTTACAAAAGATAACTCAAGCTTTCAATACTCTTGATTTATCACCAGAGGTAATTCAACTTAGAGAAAGTACAAGTCAAGGTAGTCAACTTTCAGAGAAAGAACCCCAGGTAAATATATATATTTACATATTAGATTTTTTCCTAAATAAATCATTAGTTATAAAAATTATTATTCATGACTCGACATGTCTTATTAATCAAAAATTCGTTGAATAAATAACATAATTTATAAATAAGACCGTTCATGACGGCTTTAAATTACTTTTTAAAAAGTAGAGGATAAATCATACGTTTGTATTATTGACATTCTATGTTGTTTTTTTTTAATATTGGTATACCAAATTCCTATAATGATTAATGTAAAGCCAGATGGCCACTGCGATTGATATTACGAGTAGTTTTCTAACACCAATACTAATGAATAATGTTGCAAATTCAAAAGAAAGTAAGAAATTTACAAATGATTGGCAAATGTTAATTTTTTTTTACTCCTTAATTTATAGTAGAAAGTGTTGACGGTAAAAAGTAATCTTCAAAACTTCAACCCCATTTTAATATTTTACCTACAGTTAAATATTTTAATTTCAGAATAGTCGTAATATTAGTATAGTCGGTAATGACTTCCTTTTGGATGGTAAGCGTATCCACATAATGTCTGGGTCTCTCCATTACTTCCGACTACCCTCAGAGTATTGGAGAGACCGACTGCGAAAACTCAAAGCTGCTGGTCTAAATACTGTATCAACGTGAGTATTTATTCAATTTTATTGTTTAAATTTATATGAATTGTGACTGTAACGAAGAAGTTATACCGCTGCTAGTTAACGTATGGCCATGGAATCAAGACGATCAGAAGTTTTTTCATTAAAATTATACTTATTGTGATATACTTACTATAATTATATCGCTCATAGACTTTTAAAAAGAATCGTATGTGAAACGAATGAGATGTCAATATCCTATAAAATTTTACGTTTCAAGGAAGTTCCTTTATGACTATAATTAGACTTAATATGTTATTTCCAGATATGTAGAATGGAGTAGTCATGAGCCAGAAGAAGGCTCGTACAGCTTTGAAGGAGACAATGATATTAGCCGATTTATTCAAATAGCCGCAGAAGAAAACCTACATGTGCTTTTAAGACCAGGACCATATATATGTGCTGAAAGGGACTTGGTAACTATACTCAAAAGATTAAATTTGAAATCTATTTAAATGGACAGTTAGATATTAAAATTTTGATAACTTCTAAAATATTTTCTACTCATTATAGTGGCCAGCAAAAATAATATACTTGAACAGCAAATAATTTACGGCAACAGTAATTGATTGCAAATAACAGCACTGAGAATATTAAGGGTTTCTGAGATAAAAAAAAAACTTAATGGGAAGGCTAACACCCAAGCTTCACTCTCTCTCTCTTTGAATTAGAAAATCTACCATAATCCAAATCGGATATGTCTAGATATATAAAAATATATTAGCTTGGCTTATTTTTTTATTTTCTTGCTAAGCAATTGAATAATCTTACTGACCAAGTAATTATTTCGTACTGAAACCTTTGTGCTTATTTTATGAAAATAATTATTTCATTTAGTAGATAAGCAGTTTTTTACCGTCTACAAAAACATGGTGACAAAATTATTTAATAGCTGATTTTTCTTACCTAATAATGAAAAAGCAAACCATTTTATGTACTCACGTTAATAAATTAAATTAATGACAATAATATTATAATTGATGTAAATAGCACTATTTTTATTAATGTTTCTTTGAAGTGTGTATGTATATGTATCATTGAAATGAATTGAAACTTTATTTAAATAGACTTATTATAAGTACTTTTGAATCGTCAATTTAAAAAGCATCATCTATAAGGAATCTACTACCGGCTCGGAAAGCAGTTCTGCTGAGAAGAGCCGGCGATAAACTCAGCAGTTGCTCTTTTAAATATCGATATTAATGAACATTATACATATAGCCCGCATATGAATCAATATATGATAACTCCACGCATTTCTATCAACAAGAAACTCTTGAATAGTGTAATACAATTCGCTCAATAAAATATTTTAAATTTTATTTTAAATTTTTGAAAAGGTAAATCTAGGACAGTTTGTGGGATCTTATTGTATATATATTATGTGTGTATATATATATATATATATATATATATATATATATATATATATTATGCGTATACTCAGACCCATGAATGATTTATTCAACTTTTGGAGTCGAAATCTTGGCGTAACGAGCTTATTTCTATTCCTAGTGTTTATTGTGTGTGTAAACAAATAATAAATTGACTATATTACACAGTAGGTATACGAGTAGGTATATTGTGATATAACCGTAAGAATACCATTTTTTTGAAAAAATCTCACAGGGAATCACGAGCTCTTAGATCATAAATGGCTTGTACTGCTTTTTGATCATTGACGCTGGTCCTTAGTAAATTTTTTATATTATGTACTTAACAATTTCAGGGAGGTCTGCCGTACTGGTTACTAAGTAAATATCCAAACATAAGGTTACGAACTACTGACAAAGGTAAATAAATATTTACAGTTAATGATGTCCGTGCTTATATTTTGTCGCCTTTACATTACTTTACCTTTACACTAGTGATTTGCTACTCTTAAGTATTTTTTGTGAAAATATTATTTTGCTTCGGTAGGTCTGAGGTCGATTCAAACCTAAACTTCTTATTGTCATAATTCGTTGGCTCACTATTACAATGTTCTATGTTAATTTTAATGAAGTTTACTAATTTTTACATAGAACTTCGTTATTTTGTTATCGTAAAAAAAACAACATAGAACTATGTAAAATTGAATATTTTGTAGTTATAGTGCCGCTATCTATTGGTTTGTTTTTGCAAAACTGTAGCTAAAGACACATAGAACCTTGTAGCATTAATAACTAAAGTACTAAAATTGTAACATAGAACCATGTAATAGTGAACCAACGAATTATGACTCGTCGATTAGAAACTTTGTTTGGTACTGTCGAGCTACGTATTAATAGAGCATTAAGATGGATAGTGGATTTTTGAATGGTTACTTATAGAGCCTATTTTGAATACATTTGTGATTCATTTGACGACACGTTTGGCTCAGTTTGTAGTGACCTGACCCTACTTGCAGTGCCAACGGTCGCGGGTTCGAGTCCCGCTGAGAGCATTCATTTGTGTGATGAGCACGAATATTTGCACTCCAGTCTTGGGTGTTTATATTTATAATATGTATATATTTGAAGTTATATATATGTAGTGTATCCACTATCTGGTATCCATAACACGAGCCTCGTAGCTTACCATGGAACTAGATGGTGCTGTGTTAATGTTCCAACATTTATTTTCTATTTTTTTTTTATTTTAGTGATTCCCTTACATTACAAATAGTAGTCCTGGGCGACCGAGCTTCGTTAAGCGATTTTTTTTGTTTTTCAGAAAATATATAAAACTGCATTTTTTTATATATATATAAACTTAAAAAGCAAAACTTTATCTTAAAACAAAATTTGATCCAAATCGTTACAGCCGTTTCCGAGATACACGAAATAAATGTATATATAATAATAAATGTGAATGTATATATAATAATATGTAATAAATTTAATATACAAGAATTGCTCATTTAATATTATAAGAATGAAAACAGAAACTTTTGACCATCGGCGTAGTAGGCCAACGCTTTAACCATTAGGCTATTCAGACGGCGGCGGCGACATATTGCTCGTGCAAATCTTTTAGAGTGAAAATACGGAGAAAATGAATTTCCCAGTTATGAGACCGACGTATATCGAGTTTTCGCCCCCGTAAACCCTATATTGCAAATTTCATCGAAATCTTTACATCCGTTTTCGAGAACGTGATTACAAATACATATACAAATATAGCTCGTTTAATAGTATGGAGTATAGATTATAGAATAATTAAGCTTAGAGCTTAGAATATGGATAAATCTAACGAAAATTTTAGGGTGTTATGTTTAGTGTTTAAAAGTACTTGAGAAAAATAAGAAATCCTAAAGGAAATGTAAAATATATTTTTTTATTTTATTTTTATTACAATTACAAATTTCTTTTGTTTAGATTTAATTATAAATAGAATACTTTTTTTTAGATTTTATTGCTGAAAGTAAAAAGTGGATGGCGAAACTTTTTTCTTATATCAAACCATTATTATATGGAAACGGTGGTCCAATAATAATGGTACAGGTAATAAGTTTTTATATATAAATGACAAAAAAATGTCGACTGGATATTATGTGTACGATAAATGTAACTTTAAAATATTTACTATGTAATATGTGTAACTATTAATGGTGTAAGTTATGACCGATTTACTTTGTTTACTTTTACTTTGTAATTTTGCAGGTGGAAAATGAATACGGTAGTTACAGCACTTCAAAAGCTTATATGACACAGATTCGCGATATAATAAAAGAGCATGTGGGCGATAGTGCTCTACTATACACAACAGATGGGCCAAGTCGATCATACTTTTATGATGGGTCAGTCCCCGGGACACTTACCACTATAGACTTTGGACCTACAAGTAATGTATTGATATTAGTATTGTAGGGATTTTAAGATTTAACTTTAATCGATGTCGCCAATACAAAACAAAATATAAGTTATAATTATTAGTAATGTCACTAACAGACAAGCCGGTACCGAGCCCGAAAAAAAATATGTTGCTTGTCTAGAATTAATACCTAGTTGCATTACGTATGATTTCCAATAATTTATGGTGTCTTATATATTTTTGTCCTTAAAGTATATATTTAATTGCTTATTTCTCATTTGAATCTTTGCTTCTAATTTGACTTAAAATTCGGTTGAGTGAGTGACTACGAAAATCAATAATTTTACCAAAATACATACAAAATAGTATATACTACTACTACGTAAAACTGTAAAAGATGGTAGCTGTGTTGACTAAGACGTGCGAACTGCAAGGCGCAAGCAACATTTTAAACTCGTTAGTTAGATCGTCAATGAGTTCGGTAGTTCTAATTTAATTACCGTGCTTATGATGACACATGATAGAAAAAAAAATTGCCATAGATCCATATAAACACATATTTGCTCTTACGTCTATTACTTATTAAAAGAAAAAATATGTGAAAGCAATGACAGTAATAACACGGTAATATTATGCATTACATTACCATGGTAATAAAATAAAAAAGTTTAATAATATAATAGAATTCTGTTTAGAATAGGAGTATTGAATAAAGAAAATATTTTTTATATTTACAGGTAGTGTATTAGATATGTTTAAAGCACTTCGCACGTTCATGCCAGTGGGTCCTCTCATGAATTCTGAGTACTATCCGGGATGGCTCACGCACTGGGGTGAGAGTTTACAGCAAGTATCTACAGAGCGTGTAGTTTTCACACTCGAGGATATGATCAACAACAGTATTCATTTCAACTTTTACATGTTTTTTGGGGGCTCCAACTTTGAATTTACTTCAGGTACGAGTGAAAACACACCTTTAAATACTTATGATTTACGTGGCTTTTTAGCATCAATATAGCTAAGGATAGTGATTTTTCTTATACTTTGTCCACATCTCCTAAACAATACCATGACTTTATACACATTCATAGTTGATAGGTTCATTTTGTACGAAGGTCTTATCTTTGACTAGGTATCTACTCTGATCTGATGAAAGTTAGTAATGGACTAGTAGAGAAAGGCAATAATTGCCTAATTGCTTGAAATCACTCCATTATTGAATAATTAAGTAATACCTACAGGGATTTCAAAAACAACCTGTCTTGTTGGTTTTGAGTAAAAAGTACGTAAACAGACTGACAGAGGAAATTTTATAAAAGTTTTTGTCATTTCTACCATCTCTTAAAAATAAGTATACATCTATCTCTACATATAAAATTGTAACTAAGTCGAATCTGTCTGTACGTTAAATATTTTTTGGAAAATCTTATTGAAATAAACATTATTATCGGTACAGAGGCCGAATCTATGGTTTTTAGAATTTCTGTCTGTCTGTCTGTTACCGCATCACAGAAAACCACTGTAGGGATTTTGATGAAATTTGGTGGTTTGGAATCTATACATATAATAAAATTGTAACTAAGTCAAATCTGCACATTAAATATTTGTGAAAATTTTAATTGAAATAGACATTATTGTAGATACAGAGTCCCAATCTATAGTTTTTAGAATTTTTGTCTTTCTGTCTGTCTGTTACCGCATCACGAGAAAACGACAGAATAGATGTTGATGAAATTTGGTATGGTGATAGCTGGTTATCCGGGTCAATATATAGGATACTTTGTACCGCGGGAAAATATCTCATTTCTGAAAATAAATACAAAAACTGCAATGTAAGAGCATACTAATATGTAAAATCTAAGAATTTGGTTTTTGGTCATCTGAACGCGGGCGGAGCCGCGGGCAATGCTAGTATAATATATTATTTTGAGATAGTATGCAACGAAAACAAATTAAGATAAAAATTAATGAATTTGTTTGCTTTTAGGAGCTAATTATGGCAGTTATTACCAACCTGATATTACGTCTTACGATTACGATGCACCTTTGTCAGAAGCTGGAGATCCGACACCGAAATATTACGCCATTCGCGACGTCCTACAGAAAGTATGAAGAGATTTATGGAAACACACGTTATACATGCAATACTTTTTAATCCTACTAATATTATAAACGCGAAAGTTTGTAAGAATGTATGTATGGATGTATGTTTGTTACTCTTTCACGCAAAAACTACAGAATGGATTTTGATGAAACTTTACAATAATATAGCTCATATATCAGAATAACACATAGACTACTTTTTATCCCGGAAATATGTACGGTTTCCGTGGTATAGATTTGTTTTTGTTTCTCGCTAGTTAAAAATGCGCTATATGCGAAAAGATAAGCATTTCAATGATGCAACAATAGTAATAAAAGCTAAGCAGTTTCGATGACGATTAATTCTTTTCATCATCAATTGAAGTAGAGGTCAAATGAATACATACATTATTTATTATCTTTCTATTTTCAGTATGATTTAGTACCGAAACATCTGTCAACTCCTTTGCACTCGAAAAAAGGGGCGTATGGGGAAATTAAACTCAGTGCTAAAATCAACCTTTTGAGTACTGAAGGGCGATCAAAGCTTGGTGTGAAATACAAAGATATACAAGGAATTGATTTACCAACATTTGAAAAGTTGCGGCAACGCAGTGGACTTGTACTGTATGAAACGACGTTAAATGAAACAGATGGCATTTTGACAATAAATGAACCTCGCGATTGGATTATCGTGTACATTGACAATGTATGTGTATTACTGTTATTTTAACGCCTCTTTTATGACTGATAGTTCTGATAACTAATAAATGTTATATTTTAAAATCATTAAATAAAATCGAACTTATATTTCTAAATTTCTATATTTAATAAGAAAAAAGCTAAAAGCTTTTAAATTTATTAAAATGAAAGATGAAATATCAAAAAGTCTGGAAGTCACAATTCCATAAATACTTCAAGACTTAAATAACACGTATTGCATGTAATGCCGTAGCTATGGTATTTAATGCATGTGCATTGTTAATAGAAACTGCAAGGAGTTATAAATAGAATGCAGAAGCTATATACACTCAATATAAAAGCGCAACAAAACGCTGTGCTGTCGTTGCTCGTAGAGAATCAAGGACGTCTTAATTATGGCGATAGGATTCATGATTTTAAGGTAAAGTATGAATAAATTATTTGGTCATATATTTTCATTATGAAATTTAACTATTTATACCTATATATCTTATTAAGTATGATTGAACTGCGATATTTGAAAATTAATAGCAACGTAGTACGTACAATACAATTTTATCCTAAACCAGCGAATACAATTTTATACCTGCGAAACCCACGACAATATTGGGTATATTATTTATTTACTTCAAATTGTTTGTTTGGTTGGCTTCAAATAAAGGTTCCACTAATCCGTGGACCTGAAGGGTCTTCACAATATTGGAGACTTTAGAAGCTTATAATTCAGCATCTATAATTGGCTTAAATAAATCGTTTAGGAAAATATATCTTATTTTAAACACTTACCTAGGGTAGGGTACCTAATTTATTTTACGTTTCGTGTTTCATATGTGAGACCTATCAAATTTCAACTACGTATGAAGTAGTCGCCAAGTTTAATGCTCATGACATAAGAACAGACAGACATGACGAATGGATTACCCTCATTGGTCCGGATTATAGTATATAAGTGTATATCCTGGAACTGTATGTTAAACAGGATTCTTTTCATCGACGTTTTTAAAGACTTTAAACCAGGAATTTAAAGACTGTTTATCAATTAACCATATGTTAGACCGTTTTTACAAATTAATAAGAGATATAATAAAAGAATGTGTTCCTTTGAAGAAGAATTTTTATTTTTTATTTTTAAAATTTCTTTATTTAATCCACATAAATTATTAAATTAAGTACATTTCTAGTGTAAATTTAATCCTAGAAGTACATATTAAATACTATTATATTTGTTTAACAAGTACACAAACTTATATAAAACTTATAGCAAAAGGTAACATGTGCATATAAATAATTTTTATTAATAATTGAACAGTATATCATTTAAAGTATGTAGGCTTTAGAAAAGCGATTACATTTATATCATAATTTTATACAAGGAAAAATAAACCGTGGTCGGTAGATGTAAATAAAATACCAACTAAAAGCAGTCAGCAGTAAGCAACAAGAACGTAACATGTTATCTATCGCACACGCAGGCGAGTGAGCCCGCACCGCGGCGCGCGCGCTATTTCCGATCTTATATCACACGGTAATGCGATCGGGAATAGCACTCGCGGCGGCGGCAAGAGCACACGCGCCTGTGTTGACGAATGTTCCTATACAAATGGTTCATAGTTTAGGAATAAGTGATGCGGCAATTTGTATCGATTATATTTATCGACATAAGGAAGATTATTTTTATGACTTTTACATATAATATTTATTAGTTTGTTTTTGTGGTTAGTATTTTGATGGATATAGAACTTTTCGGATAATTTAGAAGAATTTTGAAGAAGAATAACGGCAACAATAAATACCCTCCCTGGTAATCTCATTGTCTTATTCGACTCCTAAAAGACACATATAAACTTCATAAATTTTTTTAAAAAGTTTAAAAATCCCTTAGATATAGTTCTATTCGAAAAACTTCGCTACGATTGTCGTAAGATATCTACTGTATGTTATAATACATATATTAAAATGCTTGAATACTCGATCTTTAAAAACTCTAAGCTGTTCTGGTCCTTAATGAAAATCAAAAGAAAGGGTAATTGCGCATATCCTTCCCAAGTGCAACTCGACGATAAAGTAGCATCAACTGGTACCGATATTTGTAATTTGTTTGCAAAAAACTTTGCACAGGTCTATCATGACGCTAATCAGGTTACAAAATACTCGTCAAAAATCAAAGACGTTACACCTAATGTTGGTTCTATTTGCAACTTATCTCTTAATACTGCAGAAGTATATAATGCATTAAGATCTCTAGATGAAAGAAAGGGCGCTGGTAGTGATGGAATTCCTCCGATTTTTATAAAAAGATGTGCAAAAGCCCTAGCTTCACCCGTAAATGCGATTTTCAATCGCTTTCTAAGGGACGGGATCTTTCCGGACTTGTGGAAAGAAGCTTTGATAGTTCCGATTTAAAAACGGAAGTAAAAACCTTGTCTCTAATTACAGACCAATTTCTCTACTTCCAACACTGGGTAAAGTTCTCGAAAAAATGATAAACGAGCGATTATCTCGGGATCTAAAGCAACAAATTTCTTGTCATCAGTATGGCTTCCTACAATCAAGATCAACAACTAGTAATCTGCTAAGCTTTACTTCGACGCTGTCTGAACACATTGACAATAGAGTTCCAGTCGACGCAATCTATGCAGACTTTAGTAAAGCATTTGACAAAGTAGATCACATAATTTTATTGGAAAAACTCTCACAATTCGCTATTAGTGGTACTCTGTTGTCTTGGTTTCAATCATACCTACAAAGTAGGTCCTTCAAAGTAGTTATTAGAGGTCACAGCTCGTATACCTGCTCGGCGCCATCCGACGTACCGCAAGGTTCTCACCTTGGTCCATTACTCTTCAATGTTTTTATTAATGACATAACAAAGTGCTTTCATCACTCAAAATTCTACTTATTCGCAGACGACCTAAAAATAATAAAACCTATTAAAAATAACGATGATGTGACTAAACTACAAGATGATGTTAACAGATTGACCAGCTGGTGCGTCGAAAATAAGATGTCACTCAACACGTCTAAATGCCATTACATTCAATTCACTCGCAATAAAATCGCTAACCCAAACAAATACTATATCAACTCACATCAGATTTCCCAGGTAGATACTGTTAAGGACCTTGGAATTACATTAGATTCTAGTTTGCGATACAATACCCATATCTTAAATATTGTATCCAATTGTTTTAAGATGTTGGGATTCGTACTAAGAAATAGTAAAAAGTTTAAGATGGCGTCCACTAAAATCAAATTATTTAATACACTCGTCCGTCCTATCTTGGAATACAATAGCATCATCTGGAACCCACATTATGACCGACTAAACCTCTTAGCAAGAAGTAACAAAGTAGTGCTAAGATGGGTACCGGGTCATGCAGGTGTAATTGGCAACGAGTGTGCCGATAAGCTCGCTAGAGGGGAAGCTCTTGGCATACAGCAGGGCCCTGAGCCCTTCTGTGGGATACCTAAGAGCCTAGTTCAAAGAACCCTAATGATAGCATGATCTTAAGAAGACTGCAAACAAGACCTGGACTGAATCAAATGGAATGAATCACTCCAAGGCATTAATTAGAGCCTACGACAAAAGGTTTAACAATCTTATGCTAGGGCTAAACAGAAAAACCTTACGATTACTGGTAAGGGCCTTTACTGGACACTGCTGCTTAAATAAGCACATGTTCAACCTGGGGCTGAGCGAAACGCGAACCTGCAGAATTTGCAGGGAGGCAGACGAAACGCCTTTGCATCTTCTGTGGGAATGTGGACCGCTCATGCACAAACGTAGTATTCATCTAGGTAAACAATTTCCAAGCCTAGATGAAATAAAAGAGTGTAACCCTAAGAAAATCCTGCAGTTCTTAACATCAGCAGGGTTTAGTGGTTCACTCTAGTACAAAATGGCGGCGATCACAATAGACCAGAAATGGTCGCAGTGATATAAAAAAGCCGCCAAACAAAAAAAAAAAAAAAAAAACCCACATTATGACTTTTACACCAAAAGGTTAAAAAGTGTACAAAAACGTTTCCTCTATCATCTTTCTTACAGTGATACTACGGCTAAAAATCTCCCTAACTATCACAATAGACTTAAATATTACAAGATGACTTCGCTCGTTTGTCGTAGAAAATAACAGATATTATAACACTCTATAAAATAACCCATTCGAAAATTGATTGTAGTGAATTACTACAGCTTCTAAAATTTAACGTACCCTCTCGCTTGCCTCGGAAAAATACATATAGTTTGTTTTATACTCCACTGTGCAAAACGAATTTAAGACATCACGCCGCTATTCCAAGGATCTGTCGAAAGTACAATACGCTTTCTAAACAACATGTTGAATTAGATATCTTTTCCACTAATATGTTTCAATTCAAAAGTAGTATTACTAAATTCTTATCGTAACTTTAGTAGAAATGTTTAAATGTGTTGTAATATGATTTGTTTCTTTTTTTTTGTATCTCTACGAGTATATATAGTTTCAGATTTGTTTCTAGACGTTAATTTTTTCTTAGTTTAAACTTAGTTATAACGTAAAATAAATTAATGAGCAAGCTGTGGTCTCCTATAAGTGAAGGAGCACACGTATTGTGAGTCTTATTTGCTTTTTGTTTTTATATAATGTTGTATATTGTGTGTAAGTATCTTTTGTTGGAGATCCTAATTAAAATAAAATGAAAAATAAAATAAATAAAATAATCGCATTTTATATTTTCAGGGTATATTAAGTCCAATATCTTTAGACAGTAAAAATGGAAACAACAGATCAACAGTTAATTTGGAAGGGCCATGGACAATAACTGGTTATCCATTAGATGTAAAAAAATATGTAGATTTAACAAGTCCTAGCTCTGTCTTAAGCCAAGTTAAGATGGGGGAAGGTCCAATACTGTATGAAGGAGTACTAGTACTACCAGAAGGAGAATCCCCGCTCGACACATTTATTGATACTACAGGCTGGGGAAAGGTAACCCATATAAACCCTTTGTTTAAAAGTATAGAATGAGATTAAATTTTAAATTTAATAATAAAACACATAAATATACTATTAAATATACTACATTTTGAAGTTTTTGGATAGGCACAACCTACGTAAAATAACATATAGCATTTATAGCAATGAACGCTGAAAACTAGACTTTTTTTAAATAAAAAAAAATATAAAAATAGTAATTTATACAAAAACCCTTTTCATTAAGAGTATAATGACCAGTAAACAAGTAGAGAAATTACCTTGATCGTAAGATGGCTCATTTCTAAGGCCCCTTTTGCGTGTGTACTGCTGGGAGGAGGAAAGAATCTCGTCCGCCTTGCGAGTGTATGAATTGTTTTATCCGTCGCCCCTTGCGCAATGCTATTCGTAAATTTTTCTCTTATTGCTCAAGTTGGTTCCCGCTCGTTATACTCTCATTTTGTTTTTTTAAGTATGTATTATAACTTAATCATTTTTTTTAGGGCTACGTATTTGTTAATGGCCATAATCTTGGTAGGTATTGGCCAAAAGTCGGTCCTCAAGTAACTTTGTATCTCCCGGGAGTATGGCTCCACGCTGCGCCTGCGCAAAATATAATTAAAGTGATTGAATTGGAACAAGCACCAGAAAATATTTCTCTTAATTTAATTAACTATCCAATATTAAACAGAACAGGAAGCCTAATGGATTATATGAACTTTTCGTGGTTATAATATAAGTAGTATGTTTAATATAGAAAAAAATATAGTTAAAAATAACTATACTAAATGATTTAAATACCAGATAATAATCAGCGCAAAAGTGGTCCAGCGTAGACATTTTTTATTTAAAAATTTAATCATTATATTTTGAAAATTGTCGCCTTAAGTACAGAATATATTAAGTCCAATATCGTTACCTACATTATGGATTTGCCACTTTTGCACTGCGTTATACAATTTAACTTGGTAATAGATAACTTATATTTTTGGTACATATTAATTATAAAAATGTATTTAAATACCTGTTTATATGAATACTATATTAAACTGACAATTATTATAAAAAAAAAATATATTATTCTTGGAACACCAACTGTTAGATTACATACATTCCAAATAGAGCCACAACGCAAAGGACAGCTTTTGGACAGAAATTCTTTTTGTCAAAATATTTCTATGAGTAAATAAATTTACCCTTATTTTATATTAAGTAAATAAACGTTAATAAATAAAAATAGCTACGAGATTTTAGTTCAATACAATAATGAAAAAAAAGCTACTATTATAGTGTCTCTCTTTATTTCCCACCACGACCGCGGAAACGCCAGCGTGTCAGTTAACAATACATTTCTTAGAATTTTAATTAATTTCTTAGAAATTTACCTGGAGGTGTTATGGCCAAGAGAACTAACTAATACTACCCTACAAAAGGATATATTTTTATTATTCATATCTTACTTTCAAAAATTATAAATTACTGGGTAATACCTATCGTAACTTAAAAATATAATCAATTACGTATATCATTTATGTATAGGGTAACGTTAAATATTATCAGTTTTAAGTTAAAAAATATTAAACTTTGATATTATATTAAGATGTTTGAAAACCCTTAGTTCGGTTGTCTCATTTTATTGCTATATAAAGCTCAACAAGTAGTAAGAACTCCACACTTCTACATCTCCATCTCAGCTTGAGTCAAGTGGATATAGAAATGTCGTGGCCAGATCATAGAATTGATCATTTCATGATATGTTCGGCCATTTCATGATATATAAAAAATGTTTTAAAACACAACAAAATCGAAAGTGCATAATATTTAACACCATTCAGACAAAGAAAAACAAGAGCATTCCCAAGGAGGGTTGACGTCAGGCAGGCGGCCGGTCGTAAAACTTTTGCCAAATCCTATCAGCAGTACACTGAAGATGTACTGCGCCGACCCCAAGTGATTTGGGAAATGGGTAGGGAGTAGAAGAAGAAGAAGAGTTTTTGCGCGTTTACATTTGGCGAATATTTGATAATGGTGAATTGCTTAGTAGAAGGTGGATACACGCAGGGCTCGGAAACCCGTTCAATTTTTAAACGGTTTTGGTCATTGACCCCAAACCGAAAAGCTTTTCGGTTTAAGGTTTCGGTTATATTCTTTAACCGGTGAAAAAAGGGAAAACGATTCTTGACGAGTTTAGATTCCATGATCAAAAGTAGTTCTTAAAAACCTAACTGAAATAACCAAAACCGGTTTAATAATTTAACGGGTTCCGAGCCCTAATATCACATGACCTATGGCTCCATCTGGAGTCAAGATATTCTAAGTTACAATATATGTATTTTTTATTTTAGTCTACTTATTTTAACTATTCAAAGATGTACTTGGGGATGTAAGTGGGGCCAACTTCCACCTTAGGCCCCCTATTGTCAACCTCACCTGCTCGTGGTACATCCTGCTGAATAACGGACGAGGCTCTGGCGACCGAACTCGTGGCGGTATATCCACATTAAGGCTGGAATACGTAAATACTAATCCTGGTTGTGGGCAGCAGCGCCACCAGTGAAATATTCCAGCAACTGCGGTCACCAACCCGTCTGCCAAGCGTGGTGACTAAGGCAAATACCCCCTAATGAGAGACAACTCAGATTTAAGGCCCCCAGTTCCCGGTAGTCGCACTATTCCTGGCCACGGTACCGGCCATGGTAACGGTGCGACAGGGGGTGCTAAGAATCCCCGGGCTACGGCAGGGTACCACAAACGACTGCACTTGGCTACGTTCAATGGACGCACTTTAAGGCTGAATGAACACCTTGCCGAACTGGAAGAAGAGTTAAGTCATATTAACTGGCAAATAGTGGGTCTATCGGAAATCCGAAGACAGGGTGAGGAGACGATAGTACTAGATGCTGGCCACTTACTCTTCTTCCGAGAAGGACACCAACCATCCCAAGGTGGTGTCGGATTTTTGATCCATAAGTCACTCAAGAACAACGTCGTAGAGGTTGGCAGTGTGTCGACGAGAGTAGCGTACCTTGTAATCAAAATAACCGAAAGATACTCCTTGAAGGTTATACAAGTGTACGCCCCTACGTCCACATACCCTGACGTAGAGGTCGAAGCCATGTACGAAGACATAGTAAAAGCTATGTCTCGTACCAACACCTACTACACAGTTGTCATGGGTGACTTCAATGCCAAAGTGGGAGTACAAGAAGATGGTGAATCGAGAGTAGGAGCATTTGGCTATGGGCGTAGAAATCATCGTGGGCAAATGTTAGTAAACTTTCTTGAGGCTCAGGGGCTGTTTCTGATGAACTCATTTTTCCAGAAAAAGCCTCAAAGAAAGTGGACCTGGCAAAGCCCCGATAACACTACAAAGAACGAGTTCGACTTCATTATATCCAACAAGCGCCACATATTCAGGGATGTCTCAGTGATTAACAGGGTTAAAACCGGTAGTGATCACCGACTTGTAAGGGGAGCCCTGAATATCAACATTAAAATGGAACGAGCGCGGCTAATGAAGTCGACTCTTAGACCAACACCGCCCCAGATGCAAGCTGGTTGCGAAAGCTTCCAGCTAGAGCTACAGAATAGATTCGCCATGTTGGAAACCACTCAGGACATTGACGACACCACCAACAGTCTGATGCGTGTAATCCGTGAGGTGGGCCAAAAACATTTTCGACCGAGGAGAGATGGACAGAAGTCAAAGCTCTCAGGCGAGACTCTGGACGAGATGTCGAAGAGACGCGATATGATAAATACCACTCAGTCTAAGCGTCAGGTACTTGACAGGAAGGTAAAACATCTAATAAGGCGTGATTTAAGACAAGCGAATACCCGAAGTATTGAGGACGCTATAGAACTCAATAGGGGCTCGAAAGTCTTTGCTCAATCCCACACCTCCTGTTGTCACCTGACTAAGCTTAGAACTGCACAGGGTACAACCGTCACCTCGAAATCAGAGATTCTTGCCGAAGTCGAAAAATTTTATAGGGATCTTTACTCCTCACAAACATTTCCACCTGAGTCCCACCACGCGGATGATCCACGTGCCAGACTGGTACGCCACCATACAGACGAGCTTCCCGAAATCGACGTGGGCGAGATTAGGATAGCTCTTGGACAACTAGGAAACAACAAAGCTCCGGGTGAAGACGGAATTACTGCGGAGCTTCTTAAAGCGGGAGGAACACCTGTTCTATCAGAGCTCGCAAAGCTGTTTAATTCTGTTCTTCACAATGGCATTACACCGGAGGCATGGAGCGGGGGTGTGGTGGTATTATTCTTTAAGAAGGGGGATAAAGCCCTTTTGAAGAATTACCGACCCATATCACTCCTGAGCCATGTGTATAAGTTGTTTTCAAGGGTTATCACGAACCGTCTCGCCCAAAAATTCGATGACTTTCAACCCATCGAGCAGGCCGGGTTTCGAAAAGGCTTCAGTACCGTAGACCACATACACACACTAAGGCAAATAATTCAAAAGACCGAGGAATATAATCAGCCTCTATGCCTAGCGTTTGTGGACTACGAGAAAGCCTTCGACACCATCGAGACCTGGGCCGTTCTACAATCCATGCAGAGATGCCTTATTGACTATCGGTACATCCAAGTACTAAGGTGTTTGTACGAAGCCGCAACGATGACCATCCAAGTACAAGGTCAGAGCACAAGGCCAATCCAATTGCACCGCGGGGTAAGACAGGGGGATGTTATATCCCCGAAACTGTTTACCTGTGCATTGGAGGACGTCTTCAAGACGCTCGATTGGAACGGATGCGGTATAAATATCAACGGAAAATATATGACACACCTGCGATTCGCCGATGACATAGTCATCATGGCAGAGACTCTGCAGGATTTGGAAGAAATGCTAAACAGCCTAGGCGATTCTTCGAGGCGGGTGGGTCTTGGGATGAATCTCGACAAGACCAAGATCATGTCGAATTGTCATGTATCCCCGAGACCAGTGATCGTGAATGGCGCTGTTCTTGAAGTTGTGCAGGAATACATATATCTTGGCCAAACTTTACAACTCGGCCGGCACAACTTTGAGAAGGAGGCCAACAGAAGAATACGCTTGGGCTGGGCGGCTTTTGGGAAGCTTCGTCATATTCTAGAGTCATCTATCCCACAATCCCTTAAGACCAGGGTATTTAACCAGTGCGTCCTACCCGTAATGACATACGGAGCCGAAACGTGGACACTCACCGCAGGGCTGGTCCACAAATTCAAAGTCGCTCAGCGAGCAATGGAACGCGCGATGCTTGGAGTTTCTCTGGCAGACAGAATTCGAAATGAAGTCATTCGCCAGAGAACTAAAGTAACCGACATCGCGCACAGAATAAGCTCGCTGAAGTGGAAGTGGGCTGGTCATGTCTCCAGACGTACGGATGGCCGATGGAGCCGAAGCGTGCTAGAGTGGAGACCACGTTTAGGCCAGCGTAGTGTAGGACGCCCTGCAGCACGATGGACAGATGATCTAAGAAAGGTGGCTGGCAGTGGATGGATGCAGGCTGCCCAAGACCGGGATGGTTGGCGCTCTTTGGGGGAGGCCTTTGTTCAGCAGTGGACGGCGATAGGCTGATTGATTGATTGATTGATTGAAAGATGTACTTTAATAAATTATAACTTTCTAAGTACAGATATAGGAGAATATAATTATTTCGAATGCTATGTTTTTTTATTTGTGATGACAGATGATTAATATTATTAAATTAATTCTGAATGCCGAAATTAGGGAAGATTTCTCGAAAGGAGGGCTCACACGTATGGCCTATTTACATTCAGTCTAAGGTTAAGCAATTTATTGTAATACCTTTTTTATACCTATTTTTTGCTTCTATTATGTTCGCATCTTACCCTTGCAAAGTATTGTACGTGGAAATTAGATCAGCTGAAGGAATAATCGAGAAGGAGAGGTGCATCCTGTGGTGGTCCTGACTGACTGATGGATCAACGCACAGCCTAAACCGCTGGTCGTAGAAACGTGAAATTTGTAGGACGTATTCTTTATATGATGTAGGCATCCGATAAGAAAGAATTTTTTGAAATTCATCCCCTAAAGTAAAAATAAAGAACTCCTAAGTGCGTAAAACTCTGTCATTCTTAATGTGAAATGCACAAAGTGGTGTTTGGCTTTAAGATAAAAAACAAGAAATATATTTATTAGATTTTTTTATTTTAATTTTAAATTCATGCCTTAAAGGGGGTAATAAAGTTTATATGGGCAAAGAGTTATTTACGATCAGAATTACTTGAAACTCGGTATTAATGCTTTTCAATACAATTAAATAAACACGTATTTTAGCATTTTTCCATATTCAATCCCATAAGGGGGTAAATGGGGGATAAAAGTTTGTATGAAACTGTAAGTAATAAGTAAAAAGGTACAAAAAAATATTCACTTACAGATTATTTAAGAGTTTTAAAATCACTTTCTTTAAAATGATGTCTATATACTACATAGACTTATATTAAATATAAAGATAATGATTTCACCAATTTTGGTTGTCTTATTGCTTTAGACCACAATTATTAATTCAGTTTTTGTCTTTTGGGAACAAATGATATCCATTTTCTTTGCATCCTGGCTCTACAAAATTTGTCATTTTAATTGAATTTTAAATATAATGAAAAAAATCCATCCACGCTATAGAGGTTTAGAAAATGCTAAGGACTATAGTGATCGCGATATCTGGCGGGAGAAAAAGGCAACATTCTTCCCCATTAAACACATTTTAGTTACTACAACAGTTTTTAACCGTGATAAACAACTCATAAATAATTAAAGTGCCATCTGTAAATGTGCACTTTATATGCACCACAATAATTGCTGATTTTTCATTAATCAGTAAAGTTATGCAAATTTGATTATAATCGCATTATTTTGTTTTCTTTTACTTACAAAATTTATTTAAACCATAATACACATATCTTTTTGGGATCTATTTTATATCTTTTAATAATTTTACACAAACTTCAATTAACAACTAGGCAGACAGACAGATACATATAACGCCATCTATTGATATTTATTTGAACTATTTTTACCTTTGTGATGAGACCCCATGCTATTTATTGTTACTTAGCCTAAGTCAAAAATTGACTAAAAAGTGGAAAAGTAAAATATATACGAGTAATATTTATAACCCACTTTATTCTAAACCATTTATTGTTGTGCTTTATATTATAAACCAGCCAAACAAAGAAGTGTTTTGTGTAAGTAACCTTGGCGTCACATGTAAACCAATCTAACTTCATTGTATTACTTATTAAACTCACACTATTGGTTGGCCCATCGCTGTATGAACGATAAGGAAGTATACTTATCGTCATGAGAAAGAGGGAGACGGATGTAAACTGGTTATTGAAGTGGCATAAGATAAGATGCCTATGGTTCGGTTAGAGGCAACGATAAATAGGCAGGTCTGTCGTAGCGAAGCTCGCGACAGTGCCGGTCTGTTTACGGCTAATGTGAAATTCCACGTGGCCGGCAAGTTGAACCTAAAATATTGTAAGTTTTCATTAAACCTATTTATTATACTTAACTTAAAATGTACAAGCTATAAGTTGTGAAGAATTAAGTATGTAGATATTTTCTTTAAAGTTAAGAACGCAGTAAGTATTGCGATGTAAAATAAACCACGATGTCGTAGTAACTTGGGATATTGTTTTGAAATGATGTTTAGGAACGATGAAGTGCAAATCATAAATCTTTATTATTGGACAGCTTTTAATGGGACCTAATGATTTATTACGTATTCCAAAATATAATTTATCCTGTAATTTTGATTTATTTTAATAGATGCGAAAATAATTGTATTTCGTATTTTAATACTACGACTTTAATACGTTTAAAAAAAAATGTTTTCCACTTCTGTGGAAAAGTACTTACTTAGTATATATTACTAAAACATCTTTTAAAAACTTGAACTTCTTGATATCAAATCAAAATCCGACCCTCAACTTCTGGCAGGATGACCTCAATTACGTATTGTCTGCTCTGAATTTGATTATAAGTATTTCTGAAGGATTTTTCAAACAAAATAAATAAAAACTACTTATTAAATGCTTATCATTTTCCACTACCGAGTCTATTTAATTTAATTTCTCATTTTTCGATATGTTTTGTTTATATTTTATTTTATTGAAAAATGTGAAGTTAAATCGAAATCTTAGTTTTTTTATTGATTTGAAAAAAAAAATGTTTTGTTTTATTAGGAATTTAAAGGAGGAATTTTATCCTCTAAGCATGGATGACGAAGAGTTAAGTTGTAAAGTCGGACCACCATGCAGCCTCATACTAGCCGATGGTTCGGTCTTCCAAGGAAGGAGTTTTGGTGCTCAAGTACCAATGGAGGGAGAAGTTGGTGGGTTACTCGATACTCATATTTAACTTCAAATAAAATTATCATTAACATGGAACATTGGCATATGAACTTAGTGAACACCAAAAACTTGGTCAAGTACGAGCCTAACTCGCGTAGTGGATATATTTTTCCTATTAATTTGTGTGTATAGTGAGGTCGTGAGATGAAATATTTTTGGTTATTTATTTCGGATAAACCTCAAACTTTTGAATCAAGTCATCTTTTAAAATTAACGTACAATTTATTTTTTATGGCGTATTTTTTTGTTTTAAATGTAGGTAAAAAAATATCATACAAATGGACCGCAAAATAAGTAGATATGTATTTCCTTTCGTCATTGTTAGTCACTTTAATCTATAGGTATAATATGTAGTATATACTAACGTTTAATAGATTCTAAAGTTGACGATTTTTTTAATATCATATAGTATATTATTATCTATATAGGGGCAGTGCCACGGGAAATCGGACGGTTTCGAAAAAAATAAAATTTTTTATTTTCTTAATATATAATAATAAATTTTGAGATTTTTTGATCACTAGTTCAAAAAATATCAAATTTTCAAAAAACCGCTCTTTTTTGTTTTTTGCTCATAACGTTCTTTATAATGGCCAAAATTTAACTTTTTTTTCAAAATGTTTATTTTTAAATGACCTTTACAAAAAGAATATAAAAAAATGTTTAAAATGTTTTCAATCGTGATTTAAAAACTGTGTATCCTTCGTTTTTTTTAATTGTTTTTATTTTAAATTTCTAGTAGTAGCCTGGTAGTGGGCCTTCTGTAATTAATACATTTAATTCGATTTTTAAAAATAAAAAAGAAATTTAAAATACGACTAGAAACTTAAAATTCAAAAGTCTCGATTAAAACATTTTAATTTTTTTTATTTTTTTTTTATGTGAAGCTCATCCAAAAACAAAAATTAAAAAAAATGAACTTAAACCATATTATTAAGAAACTTATGAGCAAAAAAAACAAAAAAAGAGTGTTTTTTTTGAAAATTGTAACCAGTGGTCATAAAAATCTCAAAATTTACCAGGACGCCTCTTTTGAGAGGTACTAAAAAACATCAAAGTATTAAGAAAATCAAAAATATTTTTTTTTTGAAACCGTCCGATTTGGTGTGGAATGTCCCATAATATATATAATATATATGTGAAAAATATAGCAAACTTAAAAATGCAATTTAGTTCCCATTATATTTCAAGAACCAGAAATAAAAACCAACAGAAACCAGATTATACTGTTTCATGTTTTGTTTTTTATTTTATTGATTGTACATAAATATCAATACGCCATCTATCGACGTTTAAACTAATTTTCTTTCTTTATCTGCTGTAGCACCAAATACACAAAATTTCGACGTTGCAACGTCGCCATGCGTTGTGAAAATTACTTAATTATAGGTATTCTATGTACTTAATTAGTATAAAGATATTTTTATTTATTTTCTATTTATTGTATAATAATCTTATCAATGTTGAATTTGTGGTATAAGACATGACCACACTAATTGTGATAATGAATAATAATCAAATACACCAAAAAAATCATCTACAAAGTGAAACATTTAAAATATATTTTTTAATGTTTCAGTTTTTCAAACGGGTATGGTAGGATATCCAGAGTCCTTAACTGACCCTTCTTATCACGCACAGCTGTTGGTACTTACGTATCCATTAATTGGCAATTACGGCGTTCCCGATGAAAATGAATACGACGAATTTAACTTGCCAAGGTAAATATAATATAATTTAAAATTACACTAATTAAATAAATTAAATTAAGTAAAATAATTTTAAATTATATTAATACAATTCCATAAAAAAACATGTGTGTGTGTACTTATGCACGTACATAAGAAGTTATACTCCTTTGGCGTAACAGAACAAAAATGGCTAAAGATTTACATCCCGTATGTCAAAACTCTTTGTTTGAAAAAGGAATGATAAATTAATAAAATAAATAAATAAGGTATATAATTTGTCAGACAATTAAAACGGTTACCATGGTAACAAACATTTAACAACTAACCTATACATATAATAAAATTGTAACCGAATCTCCGAATCTGTACATTAAATATTTTTTGGGAAATCTTATTGAAATAGATACATACAGAGGTCGAATCTATAGTTTTTAGGATTTTTGTCTGTCTGTCTGTCTGTTACCTTATCGCGGAAAAACCACTGGAGGGATTTTGGTGAAATTTGATATGATGATAGCTGGTTATCCGGATCAACATCCACATAAATTTGGCCAGGGACGAACCCGAGCGTAGCGAGGGTGAGTCGTTAGTCTATATACTAATATTATAAAAAGGTAAAGTTTGTGAATTGTGAGTTTGTGACGTTGTGGGGGGTAATCTCTGGATATACTGAACCGATTTAAATGACATTTGGTAACAAGATAGTTTGAGACCCTGGGAAGGACATCTTTTCGGATTTTTTCGCGAATTTATTCTTCGATCAACAATACTATTAGATATCAGGTCGGCGTAAGAAATCCGTCTCGGTAAATATAAGCTCACTTGCAAAGTGAGCGTATGTTTCGAGTAGTTCTATTGAAACACTGCCAGCGTAAACACGTTCACAATGCCGCAATAATTGTATTTAAAAGTTGCAAAAATAATGCGCGAAGAAGAATTTTTTAAACGGAGTGATATACATACGAGAGGATTTTCGATAAATACGTATAGATTGAGTCAATATTTTAAGATTTAATCTACGAAATAATATAAAAATGATATTTTGAACAATTTTAAATCCGCTAAGAACGTTGGCCCAAGTCGGCCAATATACGCGCCAATTTAAAGAAGCAAACAGAAACAAAACAACCATTTAGCTCACAAAGTAAGAACGGAAAAAGTGCTTTATGTTTTTTTGAAATAAGGTTCATTTTACAATAAAGATTATAAAACTTACGAAATGATCGTAGAGTGTATAATGATAATTTGAAGATTTGTGACTTTATTACAAGGTGCTATGATGTTGATTAGGTTGAAAATAAAACTATTATAAGACTTTTCTTGGTTCGTTAGTATACAAATGTAGCTGTATAAGTACATATTCGCGCAGACAGAATTTAGCTTTGATTTTGTTATCTAGTAGTATTGTTGATCGAAGAATTTATTATGATTTTTGGTTCCCGACGTTTCGCATGCTTCACAGCAATCATGGTCACGGGAGAGACTAAGGTTTAAGATGTCTCTAAATTTATTATAGACAACCTACCCACAAATTAACAAAAATTAATTCAAAAAAATCTAAAATGCCATCAAAGTACCTTACAATATTTGTTAATTTTAATATTAAATCCCTACTAATATTATAAATGTAAAAGTGTGTTTGTTTGTTTGTTCTTCTTTCACGTCGACACGGATTGATTTATTGGCATGATTTTTTGTTTGAAGATAGTTGGAGGGCTGAAGAGTGACATAGGTTACTTTTTAACACGAGAGATTATCTAATTCCAACAGGAAAACACGTTATACCACAATCCAAAAAAAAAATTATGATCAGAACAACTTGAAACTTGGTATTAATGCTCTTCAATAAAATTAAATAATTAAATGTTTTAGCATTTCTCGAAATTAATCCTATAAGGGGGTAAAATAACAGATGAAAGTTTGTATGAAACTACCTTTTTAGTGATTTTTTTGTAGTTTTAGTGAGAATGAAGCCGCGGGTTCTGCTAGTATTTTTATAATTTTAATAACTTTTATAATCGAATATGGTATAATATTTATTTAATTTTGGATGTTATTATTATAATTATTGCATTAAAAAAAACTAAATTAATAAGTAAACTTATTTTCCTATTAAATTGTATGAGTTTTTCTTTAGCACAACGAAATTATATTCAAATTTAATTTCTGCAGATGGTTTGAATCGAACCGAATTTGGGCAGCTGGCCTTATAGTTGGTCAGATTAGTACTCATGCAAGTCATTGGCGTGCTCGAAAATCCTTAGGAAATTGGTTGGCGTCCAAAGGAGTACCTGGAATTTGTGAAATCGATACTCGAGCCCTTACATTTCGGCTTCGAGAAGGCGTTACTTTAGGAAGAATCATTCAAGGCGTGGCTCCTTTTGGCCCATTACCACCACTTAAAGATCCTAATGCGAGGAATTTAGTAGCTGAAGTATCAGTAAAGGTAATTTACTATAAGCTTTATTTTTGCCTTCACTTCATATTCTTCAACTCCATTTATTATTAACTACTTTTTTATTCTAATACACTTAAAGTAACTTTAATAAGGCCTCGGACGGATCACTCAAGTTTGTATAAACTATTAAATTAGTCTTGAAATTAAAATAACAACAATGCCCTAAATCTATACATACTCGTATAATAAAATTGTAACTAAGCCGAATCTGTACATTAAATATTTTTTGGAAAATCTCATTGAAATAGTCATTATTATCGATACAGAGGGCGAATCTATAGTTTTTACAATTTTTGTCTATCTGTCTGTCTGTCTGTCTGACTGACGAAATTTGGTATGATGATAGCTGGTGATCCGGGTCAACATATAGGATACTTTTTACCGCGGGAAAATGTCTCATTTCTGAGAAAAAAATACAAAAACTGCAATGTAACAGTATACTAATATGTAAAAGTTTAAAACCTAAGAATTTGGTTTTTGGTCATCTGAACGCGGGCGGAGCCGCAGGCAATGCTAGTTTATAATAATTTATTGTTAATTTTAGACTTTACAGAGATCATTGTACACTTCTTATATTATTTCCTTATGCAAACCCTTGTTGTTTCTTCTAATCTTAGCATAATGTAAAGTTTTATATCTCTTTCATTTATATTGGCGTTACTATAAATAACGTTATGTTTATTAAATAAAACTATCTTTTCGGATTATTTCGCGGATTTATTTTGATTTTTGGTTCCCGACGTTTCGAATGCTTTACAGCATCCATGGTCACGGGAGAGACTGAGGTGTTACATGTCTTAAAGATATAGTTGTTACAGACAGCCTACCCACAATTAACAAAATGAAAATTGCACCAATTACATTACAATATTTTTAACTTTAAACATTTTTTATAATTTTAATTATAATTGAATATGGAAAATTATTTATTTAATTTTTGCTATTATTTTTATAATTACTACAATTTTAAAAATATTAATTAGTAATCTATATTTAGTGTTGCCATTATTATATTTATAACCATAAATAAAAATATAAAAAAATATAAAAATATAGTATTAATTATTAAAGCCATATAATTGTTCTATGTGTAATTTAAAAAGTTAAAATTAATTACGGATAATCATTTTAATTTAGTTTGCTATTATTTAAAAACAACTTACTAAGCAACACTATTAAAATATACTTTTACAAATGAAAAATGAAAAATATTAATCTGATAAGCTGTCATTTTGATCTACACAGTATGAACTTACTACATCTGCCTGTCTGTTATGTTTATATTTATTATTTGATTTTATTATATTAATAACAGGATCCCATGACGATGGTAGTACCCAGCCATCTTCCCTATTGAAATTTGGAGTTGTTGGCTGGGTACTACCATCGTCATGGGATCCTGTTATTAATATAATAAAATCAAATAATAAATATAAACATAACAGACAGGCAGATGTAGTAAGTTCATACTGTGTAGATCAAAATGACAGCTTATCAGATTAATATTTTTCATTTTTCATTTGTAAAAGTATATTTTAATAGTGTTGCTTAGTAAGTTGTTTTTAAATAATAGCAAACTAAATTAAAATGATTATCCGTAATTAATTTTAACTTTTTAAATTACACATAGAACAATTATATGGCTTTAATAATTAATACTATATTTTTATATTTTTTTATATTTTTATTTATGGTTATAAATATAATAATGGCAACACTAAATATAGATTACTAATTAATATTTTTAAAATTGTAGTAATTATAAAAATAATAGCAAAAATTAAATAAATAATTTTCCATATTCAATTATAATTAAAATTATAAAAAATGTTTAAAGTTAAAAATATTGTAATGTAATTGGTGCAATTTTCATTTTGTTAATTGTGGGTAGGCTGTCTGTAACAACTATATCTTTAAGACATGTAACACCTCAGTCTCTCCCGTGACCATGGATGCTGTAAAGCATTCGAAACGTCGGGAACCAAAAATCAAAATAAATCCGCGAAATAATCCGAAAAGATAGTTTTATTTAATAATGTCAAACATTCGCGTAAATCTAAGAAAGTATAACGTTATGTTTACCTATTATTAGCCTTTCATTTTAAGCTAACCTATAATAAACATTATTACAGGAAATCCACACATTTAATCCTAAAGGTGATGTAACAATATTAGCTGTCGATTGCGGCTTAAAATACAATCAAATAAGATGTCTTATAAAAAGAAATGCTAAAGTCGTGTTAGTACCTTGGGATTACAAATTTGATTCGAAAAATTATGATGGTCTATTTATTAGTAATGGTCCGGGTAATCCTGAAGTTTGTAAGAAGGTGGTGGATAATTTAAAAGACGTAATTAAAGGGGATACTAATGTAAAGCCAGTCTTTGGTATATGCCTCGGACATCAACTACTTGCAACGGCGGCAGGTTGTAAAACTTACAAAACACGGTAATTATTTTTTTTATTTATTAAAATCAAAATGTTTCGTAAAAACCTTAATACATATATGATGATGTTCTCCTAGCCGATTCCGGCCATGGCGGCCAATCTCGTTGAGACTAGCCATCTACGCAGGAGATATTATAGTGCACAAGTGTACGCGCAGACACAAGTGCACTGTCTATTCCTGTCACTCTCATACTCTGGTGGGACGAACACTCGACACGACCAGTGAGAGTTAAGGCGCAGGACCGACGGCTTTACGTGCTCTCCGAGGCACGAGGGTGAAACACCGCCAACTTCCCAACTCCGGGCTATTACTGAGGTTTCCTATACAGAAAGACTCAATAACTAAACTTGGCCCGACCCGAACCCAGGACCTCCGAGTGTGCAGCCGTACATGCTAGCCACTACACCACCGAGGCAGTTAAACCTTGTGTTGTTTAAGTTCACACCATAATACACATGATTTTAACGAAACATTTTGGTAATGTAATATTACTATAAGAATATAATATAAAGTATTTATGTAGATATTTCGTACATAGTGGCAGAGTTTACTTGTTTTATCCTTTATAGTAATGTTTCTTGGTATGTTCTTCAATCTATGTGAAACAACTTAAAAAAAACAACAATAATGATAATTTTTTTACACGGAGATTTTTTTAAGCTGAATATCCATTGCCAAAAGAGATCAAAAAAACCGAAAAATAACTGATCAAAACGACAACGGGCGATTTAATATGAACTGTGGTAGTAAAACTCTCTTCAATAACTACCTTGACATGTGATTTTATTTACCTTTCATAATTTCTTATAAACATATATAACTTTTAAGTTATCTCATTTTCGAAAATTATTCATTGCAGATATGGAAATCGCGGTCATAATTTACCTTGCACGCACTCTGGTACAGGCAGATGTTTTATGACTTCTCAGAATCATGGATTCGCTGTCGACGCAAACTCACTTCCAAAGAACTGGAATATTCTGTTTACGAACGAAAATGACAAAACAAATGAAGGAATAATACACAATTCCCTGCCGTTTTTCAGTGTACAATTTCATCCAGAACATACGGCAGGCCCAACAGATTTAGAATTTCTTTTTGATGTTTTCATTGATGCAGTTAAACTATACAAGAATAATAAGCCGTGTGTTATAAATGATATGATATGCGAAAGGTTAAAATATATTCCAACACTACAAGAAAGACCAAAAAAAGTATTAATCCTTGGTTCAGGTGGTCTATCTATTGGGCAAGCAGGTGAATTCGATTATTCGGGTTCACAAGGAGTTAAAGCTATGCAAGAGGAAAAAATTCAAACTGTTTTAATTAATCCCAATATAGCCACTGTCCAAACTTCAAAAGGATTAGCCGATAAAGTTTATTTTTTACCTATTACTCCAGAATATGTTGAACAAGTTATAAAAGCTGAACGACCAACCGGTATCCTATTAACATTTGGTGGACAAACAGCATTAAACTGTGGAGTTGAATTACAGAAGACAAAAGTATTTGAAAAATATAACGTGCATGTCTTGGGAACTCCTGTTCAATCTATTGTCGATACAGAAGATAGAAAAATTTTTGCTGAAAAAATTAATGCTATTGGGGAAAAAGTTGCGCCAAGTGCAGCTGTTTCTTCAATAGAAGAAGCACTTGCTGCAGCACAACAAATCGGATATCCAGTAATGGCACGATCTGCATTTTCTCTAGGAGGTCTTGGCTCAGGATTTGCAAATAATGAAGATGAATTGAGGAGTTTAGCACACCAAGCCCTATCGCATTCTGAACAACTTATTATAGATAAATCTTTAAAAGGATGGAAAGAAGTTGAGTATGAAGTAGTAAGAGATGCTTATGATAATTGTATTACCGTATGTAACATGGAAAATGTAGATCCTTTAGGGATACATACAGGTGAATCTATTGTTGTTGCTCCAAGTCAAACCCTTTCAAACAGAGAATATTACATGCTTCGTAATACTGCTATTAAAGTTATCAGGCATTTCGGAATTGTAGGAGAATGTAATATACAATATGCTTTAAATCCTTACTCAGAAGAATTTTATATTATAGAAGTAAATGCAAGATTGTCGAGAAGCTCCGCATTAGCTAGTAAGGCGACTGGTTATCCTCTAGCATACGTTGCTGCCAAATTAGCGCTCGGAATTCCTTTACCAACAATAAAGAATTCTGTCACTGGAGTTACTACAGCATGCTTTGAACCCAGTTTAGATTATTGTGTCGTAAAAATACCTAGATGGGATTTAGCTAAATTTAATCGGGTAAGTACAAAAATTGGAAGTTCTATGAAGAGTGTCGGGGAAGTTATGGCTATTGGTAGAAATTTTGAAGAGGCATTTCAGAAAGCCTTAAGAATGGTTGATGAAAATGTTAATGGTTTCGACCCCTATATGAAAAAAGTAAATGAAAATGAATTAAGAGAACCAACAGACAAACGAATGTTTGTTTTAGCCGCTGCACTTAAAGAAAGTTACACTGTAGAAAAATTATATGAATTAACTAAAATAGATCGATGGTTTCTTGAAAAACTAAAAAACATCGTAGAGTATTATAAAATATTAGAGTCAATAGATTCTGGCTCCATCACGTGTGAGATTTTAAAAAGTGCAAAACAAATAGGATTCTCAGACAAGCAAATAGCTGCTGCAATAAAAAGTACAGAATTAGCTGTTAGAAAATTGCGAGAAGAGTTTAAAATTACACCGTTTGTAAAACAAATTGATACAGTTGCCGCAGAATGGCCTGCATCAACGAATTATCTATATCTTACATATAATGGAAACACGCATGACTTAGACTTCCCAGGCGAATTCGTTATGGTACTTGGATCGGGAGTATACAGGATAGGAAGCTCTGTAGAATTTGATTGGTGCGCTGTTGGTTGTCTTCGAGAATTAAAGAATCAAAATAAAAAAACTATCATGGTAAATTATAATCCTGAAACAGTTAGCACGGATTATGATATGAGCGACAGATTATATTTTGAAGAAATTTCGTTTGAAGTTGTAATGGATATTTATAATATAGAACAACCTTCTGGTGTCATACTTTGTATGGGTGGGCAATTACCTAACAATATTGCAATGGACTTACACAGACAACAAGCTATAATTTTGGGCACTTCTCCCGACATGATAGATAATGCAGAAAATAGATTCAAATTTTCTCGAATGTTAGATCGCAAAGGTATTTTACAACCAAAATGGAAAGAACTTACTGATCTTGAATCAGCAATTAAATTTTGTGAAGAAGTAGGTTATCCTTGCTTAGTAAGGCCTTCATATGTTTTAAGTGGGGCAGCAATGAATGTAGCTTATTCGAATCAGGAGCTAGAAACGTATTTGAAATCAGCAAGTCAGCTTAATAAAGACCATCCCGTAGTAATATCAAAATATATATTAGATGCGAAAGAAATAGATGTGGACGTTGTAGCAGCAGACGGTGTACTTTTGTGCATGGCAGTTTCAGAGCATGTTGAAAATGCCGGAGTTCATTCTGGAGATGCTACATTAGTAACTCCACCTCAAGATATCAATAGTCAAACTTTGGATAAAATAAATGAAATAGCTAGAATAATTGCAGAAACACTTGATGTTACGGGACCATTCAATATGCAGTTAATTGCAAAAGATAACGAACTCAAAGTAATAGAATGTAATGTTAGAGTCTCCAGATCATTTCCATTCGTTTCTAAAACTTTAGACCATGATTTCGTGGCCATGGCTACAAAGGTGATACTTGGTATACCTATTGAACCTGTTAATGTAATGAGCGGATGCGGAAAAGTTGGAGTCAAAGTTCCACAGTTTTCGTTCTCTAGATTATCTGGTGCAGATGTAACGCTCGGAGTAGAGATGGCATCAACTGGAGAAGTAGCTTGTTTTGGTGAAAATCGATATGAAGCTTATTTAAAATCATTAATGAGTACTGGATTTAGAATTCCCAAAAAAGCTATTTTACTCTCAATTGGAACATTCAAGGTATCTAAATTACATTGACAATAAATATTTATCGGTATTATTATTTATTTCAATTTTATTTATCGTGGTTTTTCAAGCATATATTAATTAATTAATTTATTTTTTTATTCCAGCATAAAATGGAACTTTTACCCAGCATTCGGACATTACAAAAGCTTGGATATAAGCTTTATGCTAGTATGGGTACGGGTGATTTTTACACGGAACACGGCATTGAGGTATTATTTTGAATAATACGTATATTATTACATTTTTATATAAAAATAAAACAATATACATACATTTCATTTTTATATATAAAAAGCTCAATTGAATAAGCAGCTGTTTAAGTCTATGTAGCAACAAGCAATTGCCTTTTTCTTGTCAACGTTATTAGTGAAATACAAATATATGTAGCTTCATTTCACATCAAAAAGGTTTTTTTTTTTCATTTGAAAGATGAAATTAAACAAATCAAAGTAAATATTATTGTGTAGCATTTTATATAGAATAAGAATAAACGTATTTAATAATATTTTATTGATATTGTTACTACAGTAGTTTAAACTAAAATTTAAAATTTTTATTAACAATGTTCATTTTTCTAACTTCAAAGAACATACATATATACATATATGTATGTAATATATATACATATATCTATGTAAGTAATTTAAAAATATATTGGACATGATAAAACAGTTATCAACAACTTGTTTATGAAATATGTATATTATTTCGTAAAAATTGTTTATAAAAATATATCTAAGAGATTCCTGTCTCTGATGACAGGGGCCTCTGTGTAATATTTATCAAATAATTTAGGTTGAAAGCGTCCAGTGGACATTTGACCACATCGGAGATCCTGAAGATGATAGATCAGATGGTGAACTTATGCATTTAGCTGATTTTATGGCTCGAAGGGAGTTAGATTTGGTGATCAATTTGCCAATGCGAGGTGGAGCTCGCCGGGTCTCTTCATTTAGTACACATGGATATCGTACTCGCCGTCTAGCTGTAGATTATGCTGTTCCTCTTGTCACCGACGTGAAATGCGCTAAACTCCTTGTAAAGGTTCGTATTTTTAAACTTTACCTACATTTACTACGACAGAGCAGTTTCTTTAGTTTCACTTTTACGTAATTAAATATCTTCAACTGCGACTTTGTTCAATTAGCAGGTCATTGAAATAATTCCTGCTAAGGGTTTATCTACTTTTTACCCGAATGTGGCGAAGCCCAAAGGAGGGTTATGTATTTGACCTGTATATGTATATGTATGTATTATATGTATGGCCGACCCTGTATTCCCTCGTAATTACTAAATGGCTTAACCGATTTTGTTACGTCGTACGTGTATACAACGTTAGATTTATTTTGATAACGTGAGTGTCATAGGGTATATTGGTATTTTTAAATTAAAATTGCGGATCCTAGGCGCCAATAAAAGTATCTTGAAATAGTTATCGTCTGAATCAATCGAGTGGGGTACCAAAATACAGGCTTTTAAGAGATAATTACAAAAATAAAAACTCAAGTTTAAAAATAATTTAGAATAAGAAATCTTATATCACTTACTTTAATGCGAAAGTTTGTATGGATAGATGGATGTTTGTTACTCAATCTCGTTAGAACGGTTAAACGGTTCTGAATAAAAGGCACACTGATAGATAATAGTCTGGAATAGCAGATAGGCAACTTATTATCCCGAAAAAATGTACGGGTGTCTTGGTTTTATGAACCCGAGCGAAGCGAGAGTGAGCCGGTAGTTGTTAAATAAAAATGTCAAAAACTAAATAGGTGTAAATAAAAAAATTATTTACAAAAAGTTTAATTTTAGTTTTACTAAGCGTTTATTGCGTTAAGGTTTGTTATTGCATAAATAGGACTGAGCTATGAAAGTAAAAAAACAAACGTGTGTATTGTAGGTACTACTTTTAATTTGCAACTAACTTTTAAAATGTATTTACCTCAGACATAAGAGTGCAATTGTAATGCATTAGTTAAACTCGCTCACGGGTCGTTTTATTAATAATATCATTCTATCATTCAAGTACGTGATAAACTCCGTTATAATAAAACACTGCCGGTACTGTTCATATCGATTTATTCACAGTCACCTAATTTACAATAATCAGGGGCCAACTATGCTTGACAAAAACAGAACGAAGAGTGACCCGCCACTGACGACATCATGGGTTTTTATAATACTCGTTTTATGTCAAAACAGCAACTAAAGTGTCAAGCATAGTTTTTACAAAATCCAATTGAAATACTTATTAAAATAGAAATGTAATTTAATCTAACATTAAAATATAAAATTAAGCTAACATACGGTTAATGTACAATTAAGTTTATCTTGGACTATCATTTACTAATCAATAATTCCTATCTGTATCAATCACTATCAACCATAGACTGTAGGGGTTTTTGACTCAGCCCGTACACATATCGTGCACCAAAACTAATAGTATATTTATGTACTTACAGGCAATGTTACAATGTGGCGGTGCACCACATATGAAGACACATACGGATTGTATGACTTCACGTAATATAATTAAACTACCTGGATTCATTGACGTCCACGTTCATGTCAGGGAACCAGGAGCTACTTATAAAGAGGACTTTAATTCGTGCACTGCAGCTGCCCTTGCAGGTGGTGTAACTATGATATGTGCAATGCCTAATACGAATCCTCCTGTTATTGATCGCACTTCATTCGATTATGTTTCTACCTTAGCTCGTGTCAGTGCTCGTTGTGATTTTGCCTTATTCGTTGGGGCCTCAACCACTAACTGTGATACAGCGGCTGAGTTAGCCCCGCAAGCTGCTGCTCTAAAAATGTACTTGAATGAAACATTCACTACTTTAAAACTTGATGATATGACAGTTTGGCAACGCCATCTTCAAAACTGGCCAAAAAAAATGCCTATATGCGCTCACGCTGAGCGCGAAAAAACTGGTGCTATTATTCTAATGGCATCTTTACTTGATAGGCCTATTCATATTTGTCATGTGGCCCGAAAAGAGGAAATTCTTATTATAAAAGCAGCTAAAGAAAGAGGTCTCAAAGTAACCTGTGAAGTATGCCCACATCATCTATTTTTAAGCACAGACGATATAGGCAGAATTGGTAAAGGTCGAGCTGAAGTGCGTCCAATTTTATGTAGTCCTGAAGATCAAGCAGCATTATGGAAAAATATGGATATAATAGATATTTTTGCTACTGATCATGCGCCACACTCTGTAGAGGAAAAAAATTCAGAAAAACCTCCACCTGGCTTTCCAGGTTTAGAAACTATATTACCTCTGCTCTTAAATGCTGTTCATGAAGGACGGTTGAGCATGGATGACTTAATAAATAAATTTCATAAAAATCCCCGCAAAATATTTAATTTACCAGAACAAGTTAATACATACGTAGAAGTGGATATGGACTATGAATGGAGTATACCTGAAGCGTTAGAATTTTCCAAATCTAAGTGGACTCCATTTGCGGGTATGCGTGTATGCGGAGCAATTCATCGCGTTACTTTACGAGGAGAGATAGCATACGTTGAAGGTCAAATACTTGTACCTCCTGGTTTTGGTCAGAATGTACGAGACTGGCCTATGCCTAAAAAACAATCATTCCCTACTTTTGCAATTGAGAAAAATGATAAAGAAATAAGTAGACCAAGCTCTGCACTTGACCTACATAATTCTATAGAATTAAGTAGATATAGTGATTTTGAATTAGATCATGTTGAGACAAATAAACCTGAAGGACAAAATAAGCTCAACGTGCACTTTAACGAGCTTTCTGGCGTTAGAAGTGCTTCTCCATTACTATCGCAGCCACAAACAAGGCAAAGATGCGACAGCTCTTCATATCCTACACAAACAACAGGATCACAACGACAACGAAGCGATCTTTTTGGGAAAAGTATTTTGACAGTTGATACTTTTAGTAAAGAAGTATTAAATGATATATTTAATTTAGCCCAATTTATGAAAACTAGTGTTACCAAGGGACGCGTTTTAGATGATATATTAAAAGGAAAGGTTATGGCATCAATATTTTACGAAGTTAGCACACGGACAAGTTGCAGTTTTGCTGCAGCCATGCAACGGCTTGGAGGATCCGTAATTCATACTGATGCAACTAGCTCTTCAGCTAAAAAAGGGGAAACTTTAGAGGATAGTGTAACTGTTATGGCTAGCTATGCTGACGTAGTTGTATTACGCCATCCTGAACCAGGAGCTGTAGCGGTTAGTAAAATTTGAGCTACATGGACATACATTTTAATATTTTTAAATCATTTAACATCAATAATTATTTCAGCTCGCTTCACGCCATTCAAGAAAACCAATCATAAATGCAGGAGACGGAGTTGGCGAACATCCCACGCAAGCACTTTTGGACATTTTCACTATACGTGAAGAGATTGGTACTGTTAATGGTCTCACTATTACAATGGTAGGAGACCTAAAAAATGGTCGAACAGTTCATTCATTAGCACGATTGTTGACGTTGTATCAAGTGCAATTACAATATGTTAGTCCACCAGGCCTTGGAATGCCAAAACACATTATGGAGTACATAGCACGCAAAGGAATCCCGCAAAAAGTATATGAACGTTTAGAAGATGTCTTATCGGACACTCATGTTTTGTATATGACTCGCATTCAACGTGAACGATTTGAAAGTCAAGAAGAATATGAACAGGTATTTTTTTATTTTATTACAATTAAGTAAAGTAATAAGCATAATATAAAAATACAAGATAGTTATAAAGATATTTATTTAAAGGTCAATCCAGTACATCCTGTATTTGTAAAATATAACTAAATTTCTGATACTATTATATATTCATAACATTTTATTACATAAATATTACTCAGCTTGTTTTGCTTATAAATATTTGTTACATACATATGTATATCGCATATAGAACATCAATAATTTTGAAACACCACGTATATTATATTATCTCAACAAACAATATCTTATAATTTAAAGTACACAAAATATTTCAGATGCGTGGTTTGTTGGTAGTAACACCACAGCTAATGACCCGAGCACGTCGTCGTATGATAGTGATGCACCCACTACCACGGGTTGATGAGATCTCGCCAGAGTTTGATTCAGACCCACGAGCTGCCTACTTTAGACAGGCCGAATACGGCATGTACGTTCGAATGGCGCTACTCGCTATGGTGGCTGGAGTAAATCCAATAATGTGAAAATAATAATTTATATATACATAATAGTATTATCTTTCAAGTAATACTATAATCATGCTAATATGACACGAGTTAAGCATTAAAATTGTGAATATTTTTTTCACAATAAAGTGTCTTTGAATAGTTAATGTTTTTTTATTATATATGTATAAGTTTAATTTTACATCCTTTTCATTGTTATTATCTAAAAACATTAGTCGCTACTGTAACAATAAGAGATTCTAATTTATCCAATACATGTACAACTCTGGAAACAATTTAATTCAAATTCGTATGTTAATATTTAACAGAGACAAAATATTAGTCAACATTTTAAAATTACAATGAAATATTAAGTTTCAAGACTAGCGCAAATATTTCGTAACTTTTTAATACGTATGTTACAATTTAGATATTTTAAAATATTACAATTTTGACTCCTCTATATTATTATCATGAATGTCCAAAAACTTTTTGGTTTCTTGATTAGATATGTGTTCAACATGAACATCTGCAAAAATTAGCGGTGCTATGTTACTAGTATCAGTAGGAGAGTCTTGATTCATAATATGTTCATATCTTGGACGTTGCTTGCGTATAAAATTAGCATGAGGTGAATTTTTGTCTAAAAAGCTTTTTTCTCTTAATGGTAATTTATACCCGCCTTGATTTACTATCTTACGTTGGCAATCAGCCAATTTATCACGAATGACGTCTAAATATTCACGTGCCGCAATATCGCCACCTGGTTCTTCCCGAAGAAGGTAACTTAACCTTTGAGCTTGCTCTAAATAAATGATTGCTTGCCTTAGAGCGTCGAATTTCTCACTTGAACGAGCCATTGCAATAAAATGAGGAATAAAAAACTCTAATACAAGTCGACGACGCTCCATTTCCATTTTTGTCGGCAATACTACCTGAAATCACAAATATTATAAATGCGAAAGTTTGGATTGGATGTGTTTGTTACTCAATCACGTCAGAATGGCTGAACAGATTTGGATGAAATTAAGTACAGAGATAGATTATAGTCTGGAATAGCACATAGATTACTTTTTATCCTGGAAAAATGTGTTTTTGTTTTATTGAGTTAAAATATATTGATAAACTCATTAATTGCTTAGTAATTATAAAAATACATAATGTTTGAAAAGATCAAACACACTGAGTATGTCTTGAATTTAATTTTTGCAGGGGCTTATTTGAGAACTACTCGAATGCTTATAAAATAATATTGTAAAGTTTGTTTTTGCTTTTAAGTTGTGTGACTATTAATTATTTATTACACTTACATTTTTACATATTTCCTTTTCTTCCTTAGGATTTGTTTTCAGTTTTTTAGTTGTTATATTAACTCGCCTTCTTTCTTTCATTTGTCGCTGTCTTTCTTTTTTCCATTGGTAATGTTTATCGTGAGCTTTAGTTTTATCCCAAATGTTATTAGTGTGCTCATCATCGCTATCAGAACTTTGAGTATAATTAGGGATAACAATAGGTAAATGTGGGTTTAGCAGACGAAGTGGAGTTTTACAAGTTAATATTTCATAAAGTCTGTAAGCATTAAATGCGGGATAGAAGTCTTTTTTAGTATACTTAATTTTATCAATCGCATGTAGTAAATGAGTTACTGGGGTTTCAAGAATATCTGCCAATTTTCTTTGTAATTTTAGCAGTAAGGGCTTTGGAATAGATTTAAATTCGTTACAATTTTCCATGAAATAGTTTGGGAAACGTGATTTGCCGAAATGTACATAAAAACTTCGTATAAATAAACGTAATGATTCACCTAGTCGATCTTCTGGCCATCTCGCATAATTGTCTTCACACTGCCAGAACAAATGATTCTTAATGTGACTAGCGTCTATGCCAATTTTCGATGTTTCATTTTCCATAAATGTTTTTTGTAGAGTCAAGGCAAATAAATAACATCGCATGTGTGAGTGAGCTAAACAACTCTCTAAATAACGTTCTGCTGCGGGAAAAATAACGCGCCATTGTATGTTTTGATCGGTGTTGACTCCGCGTTTAGGTCTAAAACCGATGGGGACTAAAAGACATCCAAATCCAATAGCTTTTCTTACCATATACTTAGTAGGCCATTGATAAGTAAAATTAGTTCTAGGATTTTGAATTATTTTTCTTTCTCGAATAATCCATTGATTAGCAGCATTAGGCCAAGCTGCTATTAAAGCAGGAAAAATTTCATAGCTCCTACTAATGCTGTTCTTACTTGAGTTACAATATACGCTAGCACCTTGGGTTAAAGCATTTTTAACTGCCTCTTGCGAAAATCCTAGGCCAGACCCTAAATTTAGTATAAAATTATCCACGAAGTCATTCATAAAAGTAATTGAACTAAGATACTGATGGGTTTCATATAAATTACGAGTCAAAGATACTTTTGAAGAAGTATCATCTTCTTCATCATCGCTCCAGTCAACAGCTTTTACGTTTACAGATACCCAACTTTCATCAGGTAGTACTCCCGAAGTTGATACATAATTGGATTGTATACTAAGTTCTATTTTTTTTGGTGTCGTCGAATTAGTAATAGTCGCATATCCATAATCTGATTCAGTCTCACTTGACTCTGTCTGACGGCTACTAGCATTTGACCGATATCCAGAAGTTTCCGTATCTTCAGCTGTAATATTATCTGATGACATATAACGAATATCGCTGATTTGACTTTTACTCAGTATATCTTTCGTTGGTCCACTTAACCGTCTTTTCACATTTTTCAAAATAGACTTTCTAGGTTTAGCACTTTGTTCATATGTCTCTCTATTTTCCTCATTATTAAAAACTATTTCTTGATTGACAACAGTTGAAGATGTTCCCGCTGCATATAAGTTATCGTCTGATAATTTCATGTTCATATCTGCAAGGGCGACTTTTTTATTATCTGCATTATTTTCATAGTTTTTTAAATTATCCAATTTTGTTTTCAATTTTTTCAACATGTTTTCATCTTTAGTTGAATTTGAAAAATCATCTGAATCATTGGATTCCTTTTCAGAATCAGTGTAAATACTATCATCGGAATTTATTTGTGGCATCATGTTAGATTCTGTTTCTTTGCAGAGTGTACTTTCTAATATTTCTAATTTTTTGAGCTTAACGTATCCTGAAAATTGAAAATTCATCAAAATTTGTAAATTGATATTAAATTTAAATATCTTGAAAAAATATTTTGAAATTCAGACATACCTGGCTCTTTGCTATCTTCTATTCGAAGTTTGTAAAACGGTGCATCAAGGACTGCAGAATAATCAGACGTATCACCTGGTTCACTTGCCTCTACGTTATCATAAATAATGAACAACCTAGGAGCAACAAGAGGTTCTAATTTATCTCGTTGTCTCTGGTAAACTATATGCTCTTGCACACATTCTTGTATTCTATCAGCAAAAAACACATGTTTGTGACGCTGTACCATCGCCTGGTCCATCAAGTGCTGTCGTTTGGTAATGGGATTATTCTTAATGTGATGTACTTCCCTGAAAATGAATACCTAATTAATATATTTTCATTAAAATAGTTAAAAACTTAAAGTAGGTATTATTATAACTTTTTGTTTTTTTTTCTTTTGCGACCAGCCGTTTCTCTTTTATTTACGCTTCAACCAGCGTAATTATCATACTTTTTGCATTACATTTTGACGTCAACCAATTACTAAAGATACGAGATTTATATATCGTAAAGAAATCACCGCTAATTTACATTTGATAACAGTATCTGAATAAATATGTTCTTGAGTTATTATCGCATTTAATACCTTTATTTCAATATCATCCATATCCGTTAATTGTTTAATTGCTGTCGGTATGTTTCTTTTTAAACCTCCTATTATATATGAAATTATAATTTCATGTGCTGCATACTCTTTACAATTACACTGCTAATAAAGACTTACTGGTACGGGTATAAATGAAAATGAACTCAAGTTATGCAAGTTTATCTAAAAATTTCATAATCTCTTGAATAAAACTCAGTCACACGATGATGATGCAGAATATTTTTTCTAAAAAAATACACCGAACCGTGTCATTTTTGTCGTAAACAAACTACGTATAGTACATAGCCATTATTTAGTTAGTCAAAAATCCAATCAAACATTTAAAATCTTGTATAATAAGTAATTCAAAAACTTAAATATTATAGAAAGTCCCAAAAGTAACGCAAGATAGGTTTTTAGTTAAAAATTAAAATCTTTTTTCGATTCACCAAGTTATACATTATGGTTAGGGTTATATAAGAAATTGCATATGAAGTAAATGGTTTTCGCGATTCCGCTTAACCACTCGCATTCTTACGTAGAAATTTTCCATTAAGTCATATATGGTGATCTGAATTATTGGTCGTCGATCGTTCATGCGACTTTATATCATCGGACTCTTTTTTTGAGAAGTCCAAGATCTATACCCACAGGTACACGACCACCCACGGCCTGAATGAGCAAATTGATCGCTGATCAAAAATATTCAATCACGTTTAGGTAAAACAGTAATGAAAAATTTCAACTAAAGTATTTTGTCTGTGCAAATTGCGGAGGCAATTTGTCATCTACCCACCATACATAAGCTTATACTTTATAGTGTATATTCCACGTACGTACGTTTCAATAAAAAAATTGTTGTATAGTACCTATTACCTACTGCTTCTCATCTTATAACTTTCATATGACTCAAGTATACGTTGACATTCTTTCTAACATAAAAAATTCGAAAATGTTGTTTATGCAAGAAATAATTTTTTGTTCCATAACACATTAGCTTAGTCATTTGGTGTTCAAAAAAGAGTACCTGGAATTTTTTCCAGAAGTTTTGAAAATTGGTGATTTTATAGATTTCGATGTGCTCTTTCTTCTCTCTTATGTTTGCCGCTTGCGCCGTCATTATGAAAAAATGGCGCCTAATGGCTTTTTTTTTGGCAATATCTCCTTTCCGACTCATTTTACGATAAAAACATTTATATATAAAATTAAACTAGAGAAAATTCCCTACAATTTATGTCATAATATTTTTTTGTAAATTTTGTCTAATAGTTTTGGCATAAGAGCGCCGTAAAGTGTTTTCAAAAGTCCCGGAAAACTTTCCAGGTAAAACTACCAAGTGTCTGGGCTAGCTAACTTGTGAAAAGTAAGTCTTACAAAACCGAGGATAGAAATGTTAAATAAATGTCATTGTTAAAGTAACTTCGCATTATTTGGAATCGAGATCATGATTGGACTAACTTAAATGATGGAAAAATGAAATTTTTTTGAATTTTTCTGCATTTAACTCACAAAAGCTTAGTAAATAAAAGCAGACTACAATCAACGCATACTTTTCAATACATTTGATATTACATAGTCAATATGACTTTCTTTTTTCCATAGTTTTATTAAACTCTGAGAAGAAACTAGTATACCTATAGAAATTTGTATAGCAATTTTCCGTTTTTTATTGTTTGTTAGATTATGATGAATTTTTATAATAAATATTAATATCAAACAAAATAAAATAGAGCTAGCTATTATATTGTAAATACTGATGAACATAAATAATATTTGTGTGATAAATTAATAGATATGAATCATTTTATCATTTCGCTAAATACTAATATCCGAGTTATATCACTATTAATTTTATGAATCAGTTTACAAGGACTTTTAGCTCACCTTTCATAATTTTCGAAGAACTGTACAGACAATAAAATATTATTTAGTAAAAAAGCATCGCTATCATTATTAAGTTGATAGCGCATGCGATCCAAGGCCTCGTCGTCATAAGAACGCACTTGTGCTGGTGTCGGTGTAGGCCCGGGACCAGGCAGGGGTGGAGATAGAGAAGCAGAGAGCGCTAGAGGTGGTTCCTTGGCTGCGGTTCTTTTGTTCAATTGATTAGCATTCTTCTTCTTCTTCTCTTCTATTTTTTGCTGCTTCCATCGTTCCCTCTCAAAAAATTTATCAGGCTCCCTTTCCATTTTCTTCGAACTTGAGTTGCCCATATTACAGTAAGTGTATCTCAAAAATTCCACACAATAATTAAAACTCTGTCATAATAAATAATTTTACACACGTAATCCATTTGTCATAACATAAGAAAAATAACAGAGTATAGCATTATTAGTAAACTATGTTTAACGAAACAATATTGACTTTTGAAACAATAGAAATACTTGAAACACAAGACACTCGACTCCTTGAAGATTACAAACTGTTCAATATAAATATTCATAAAATCAAATCATATATTATTTATCTAATCAACGCTCGATTATAGGTATATTTATCGACCGTCATCAAAACGATTGATTTACGCATAATTGCACCGTTTCCTAAAAATGGAGCGCATTACAAGAAATAATGCTACTGACTGACCGGTACCTTATACTTTTTACCATTCTTGTTCATGTAAAACGTAGTAAAACACCTACTAAGACCTGTTACAACGGTTCTACTTGATAATAGTAGCTCATATAGAATATAATTATTTACTTTCATCAGTAATCATTGTATTATAATTTATTATCAGCAGAAAATTCCAATGCGTCAGCTATGTCCACAAAGTGCGGTTTTTAAGATTGAGGTAAAAATATAGAGTTTTTATCCGAAATTTGTCATGTATGAATGAACCGGACTCTAGCACAAACGGATTCGTCAACAATATTGTTAAGTGGTACGATACATTTAGATTCAAGATGTGTTAATGTTTTAGTTATTGGCAAACAAAATAGAATCAACCACTGGTTTTAACACTTACTTTAATTGTTATTCTACTATAGAGATAAGAATTCTAAGAGCATATCTCTAGTCTCTATACATTTTTACACATACATAATATTTGTGTATATATACATAATATATATATAAATATAAATTGTGAAATCTGACAAAAGATGATTTTCATAGATTTTTTAATGTATTAACTCACGCTTTCACTGAATATTTAGTATTAATAATAGAAGGTATTTAAAAGTAAATGTTTATCCCAGTTTTTCATCTAAATCATCTATTAGCATAGACGACCTCGTTATTATTTGGCCAATATTGACTTAACTGCGAATAGAATCTGTAGCACTTCAATCAGTCGTCTGTCCATGCATGCAAATATGTATGTAGGTACATAATTTAAATTTTAAATTATTATACTTAAAGTCAGACAGTGTAAAATTTAAATTGCTCTTTTATATGCAATTAAAACCAGTAGCATTCCTGGCAGTAATACAAGTCGTTATATTACACGCTTATGTAACAAAGTATAATTAGTAGATTTTTAATATATAATACGTACCTACCTATTATTTAAATTTTTTTGTAAGAATTGCTTACATAAGTTTATGCGTGCTTTGTTTATCGTTTCTTATAGTTACTATATTTAATGTTGAGAATTTGTTTTTGGATTCAGCTGCATTTTCACACTAGCGTTTTTTCACTATTTGCTAAGCATACACAGTACACACACAACCAAACTCATACATACGCACACACTTCACTCACAAATACTGCAACTTTCAACAATTTCTTGTTTTTTTTTGTAAATCATTACTTTTTTGTCGAATATTTTGTTTTCTGTATTATTGATATTTGAAAATCTATTATTTTTTTGTATTATTAGAAATGATACAATTAATTTAACACAGTTGTAGCCTGTTGCTAGAGAGGTGGGCGTTGATAACTGCGACTCAGTTGTATAACTAATGCAGTATAACATAGAAACTGTTTATGATATTACCTATATGCCAAAATGATGTTCTTAGTAAATAAATAAATAAAATTATTATAAACTAAAAAAAATATTATAAACTAAGCATGCAAGCAAGATCTTTAATTAGTGTACAGTATTATGAAAAGAGCCTCTCTTCATAAAACTGCACGCTAATTGATGAAGTGCATTTTCCTCTTTTGATTTAAAAAAAAATAAATAGCTACAAATTTTGCAAACACACAAAAATGGATTGATTAATTTCACATAACAAATAAATTGGACGTATAATTTTACTATCAAATAATAAGTTCAGAAATAAGTAAAACGTTCCAATAAATTACAATAAAATACGAGAGTATGACGATGCATACTATTGTTAAATCATTCATAAAGTGCATGATATAACTACACTAGCATAGCCCGCGGCTCCGCCCGCGTTCAGATGAGAAAAAACCAAATTCTTAAGTTTACATATTAGTATATTCTTACATCGCAGTTTTTGTATTTTTTGCTCAAAAATGAGATATTTTCCCGCGGTAAATAGTATCCTATATGTTGACCAGCTATCATCATACCAAATTTCATCAAAATCCCTCCAGTGGTTTTTCTGTGATGCGGTAACAGACAGACAGACAGACAAAAATTCTAAAAACTAAGATTCGGCCTCTGTATCGATAATTAATAATGATTCGGCTTAGTTAAAATTTTATTATATGTATAGATTAGAATAGGGAAATACAAGAATCTGGAAAGCAAGAAACAAAATTGAAGACATGAAACGGATGCTAGAATGTAACAAATCAAACGACCCTGGAGAGTCGGGGACATCAATGTACATATAAAGTTACTGATATACAATGCAGTTCTGGTAACAATACTTTGTTATACTATACTCGACATCATCACGTTTGAGTGCCAAATACTATAAAATAACGTATCAACTTTTTGGAAACACCTTTATGATGTGATGGTTTCATGTTCGTAAAGTTGTAATAGCAGACACTGGGCACATTTCATCACATATTCTATTTCTTAGATATTCGAAAATTGCGGAGTCATCATTATGGACATGCAAAATTTTCCATTTTTACTTTTTAATATAATATATTAATATGTTGGGACATTAACACAACACCATCTAGTTCCATGGTAAGCTACGAGGCCTGTGTTATGGATACCAGATAGTTGATACACTACACATCTATAAGTTTAAATACATACATATTATAAATATAAACATCCATGACTGAGTACAAACATTCGTAACCATCACACAAATGAATGCCCCCAGCGGGACTCGAACCCGCGACCGCTGACACAGCATGTAGGGTCACTACAGACTGAGCCAAACGTGTCGTCAAACTTTATATATAATTGTTAATTTTTTTTCTTTTTCAACACTTGCACACGATAGCACATCTTGAGCACACCGCGGCACAATTCTAATAATTCCGATACAGTAAAGTGTCGGAGCTAACCGGACTTGAAAAAAAGGACTTCCTCATACAAAATATATTTTTCGTGTAAATTTGTTTTTTTTAAGTGTCACATAATAGCACACACTGGGCACATTTCAGCACATTTTCTATTTCTTAGAAATTCGAATATTGCGGGGTCAACTTCACGGACATGATGGTTTCTACACAAAGTCGCTGGGGATTAAAACGTGGAAAATTTTCTAAGTATTCAGTCCTGTATGAATAATTTGGAATAGGTAGATATCTCTTTTCAAAATCTTAATAATTGTGATCCAATCGTAAAAATACCTATTTAAAATAATATCTCGCAAATTATGACGATCACTCTGTCATAAAAAGCCTACAGCTATTTTTAAGGATAAATACGAAATTCATTTAAGCAGTATTGCACAGCCCATAGAATCTAGCTATTAGTATCTCGTAAGACGAGAAACTATGAAAATTACTGAAATATACAATCGGGACAGTATTAACTCTGCCTATTTTTCTTACTTCAAGAATCAAGAGCGACTGTTTTTGGGTAAGTGTTGATAGAGTACTCTATATAAGCAAAGGCTTCGGATAATACCCGAACTATGCCTATAGATTCTGGAATATCTCCCAATACCTGCATCCCAATGATAACTGATGTGTATTTATAACATTAAAGTACATAAGGAGCCCGCCCGTATGCCTGCTGCACCCGTATTATAGACTTATCTCATTACCATATAACCACAATGCAAATTATTTTTACTATAAAAAAGGTGGCTTAAAAATATATATTTTTTTATATTTTCTTTAAAAACGGTAGGGATTTGTAGTTTCTAGTCTTGAGACTAGTCTATCGTCAGTTTTAAACAAAAGTACTAGATTACTTAACTATGTTTCATTATATCGAAAACGTACCGGTATACGTACATATCTATTAAAAATATAGTTCAAAAACGAAAAAAAACCACACTAATCAGAAAATTTATCTACTTATCTAAAGAAAATAATTATCATTAAAATCAAGTACTTTATGAGTGTCATAAAATGACTTAACTGCGTTTTGCCACTTACTTTCTCTTACTTGATAATTAATTATAAAATGTCGACTTCATATAAATGAAATACTAGCGCCTCACCCTCGCTTCGCTCGGATTTGCCTCTAGACAAACAAAAACAAATCTATCCCACGGGAACCGTACATTTCTCCGGGATAAAAAGTAACCTATTTGTTATTCTGATGTATTAAGTATATTAATACGTAAAGTTTCATTAAAATCCAATCAGTAGTTTTTGAGTACTAAGCTGTATAAGTTGCTATAGTTTTTCAACTATCCCACGGGAACTCTTTAGTTTTCCGGGATGAAAAGTATCTAAAACATTGACCGGGGATATAAGGTACTACCATGCAAAATTTCATTCAAATCAGTCTGACAATTTCGGAGATTAGCCCGTACAAATAGACAAACCAACAGAGAAACAAAAAATAAAAGAACTGGATTTTTTTCTATTTATCTTCTTACATCCCCCTGACTCGGTTTTAAGCATTTTTTTTTCTATGTACAGACATTCGACCTCTACAGTTTTATTATTTGTATAGATTTCTGACTTCTAGTCATAAAACTGGCTCAATGTGAATAATTATCATAAAAAGTTATAGCACAAACAACAAACATATTTTATTTAAATATTTCTTAAAATTCAATTTTGATATCATGTTAATATATATAATAGGTAGATACTATTTTATCGACCACATTCTATAACCTTCATCGACGGCAGAGGGCAATAATACCTGTTATTCGTCGCATGCATTATTTAACGATATAAGGTAAAAGCAAACACAAGTTAAAGTTCTTAAAACGTTTATATTTTTAATATAACAAAAACCATGATATTTATTAATGTTTGTATGTATGTATTCAGCCCTTTTTTAACGTCTCGCCTTTTTTTAAAGCACGGGCCTCCCTTCAGTACGAGGGGAATCAGGCCATAGTCCATCACGCTGGCCAAGTGTGGATTGGCGGACTTCACATGTCTTTTGAAAACTTACGGTTTTCTCAGACATGCAGGTTTCCTCACGATGTTTTCCTTCACCGTTAAGACAAGTGGTAATCATGTTGGAAATGATTCGCACATGAAAATATCAGAGGTGCGAGACCAGGGATTTGAACCCGCTTCACTCGGTTTCCCAAGCGAGCGCGTGGGCTACCACTGCCTCTATTTATTAATACCTACAGATAATTGGTAAAATTTTGTAAGATTCAGAAAAACTTTGGTAGAGGTGTGATATAGGTATATGGAGATTAAGCGTAGAATAAGTTCTCATTTCGAGCTAACTTTAATTTCCATACTTAAGTATTTCGAGAGAATAAAAGGCACGTCGTTATCAATTGGAAGTGAATATTTATCTTGCGCAAATCTACACATTACCACAAAATATATAGACCGGAATGATTGCGTAGAGTTATTAAATAATTGCCAATGTTAAAATGATTGTAAATATTATATTATACACGTCACGCACCCGTAGATATCTACTTGGAAGTTCACAACATATTGTATACTAGCATTGCCCGCGGCTCTGCCCGCGTTCAGATGACCAAAAACCAAATTCTTAGATTTTACATATTAGTATACTCTTACAATGAGTTTTTGTATTTTTTCTCAGAAATGAAATAATTTCCCGCGGTAAAAAGTATCCTATATGTTGACCCGGGTAACCAGCTATCATCATACCAAATTTCACCAAAATCCTTCCAGTGGGTTTTCTGTGATGCGGTAACAGACAGACAAAAATTCTAAAAACTGTAGATTTAGTCTCTGTATCGATAATAATGTCTATTTCAATTAGATTTTCTAAAAAATATTTAATGTACAGATTCGACTTAGTTACAATTTTATTATATGTATAGATATATAGACTATACATATATCTATATGTATATATATAGATGTATCTACTATACTTACTCATCAGCTGAATAAACAAAGAGTCAAACTTTTAAATTTGCTGTATTTATGAACACAGTAATAAATACACTTTATGTTTGTATATTTATTAATATAATTAAAATTTATTCAAATCAATCAATATTACATGACAAACTTATATTTTATTTACATAACTATTATATAACTTAAAAAAAACTTCGAGATATCATCTTACATCACACACAAAGACAAAAATATGATTACATTTATTTAATCAACAATATAATTCAAAGTTAAAACATATACAAATTTCATAATAATTCATTAAAGATAAAATGAGCAGAAACACAAAATAAAATAAAACTCTTTACTTCATTTATGGTATATTTTTAAAAACTTCAGCAGGTGGAATACTTGAACTAGCTTCTTCCATATTATTCGCTATGCTAATTGCATCCCCATCGAACTTTGCACTTTTCCTTCCAAATGCCTTTTTTCTCTTCGCTTCTCCGATTCTTTTGTCAAGCAACCGCCTGGATACCGTACAAATATTAATCAATTAATTCATTGCATGTATAAAAAATACAATTTACAATACAATACAAAAATACCTGATTTAACAATCAGACAGACAGAGTTACTTTCGTTTATATATTTGTATGGATTAGTTATATAAGTTAAAATAGATATTCAGCAAAGAAGATGTCAAAAGCGAAAGTGTAGACATCATTCTACACAGTACACATTGAACTCTAAGGATCAATTGCATCAAAACTCTAATACCTTTTATATGTCCTTAAAATCTTTAAGTCATTAGACATTTAAAACAAATGAAAAGTTTTGGCACAATTGGCCCTTAAAATAAACATTATACTTTCATAAAAACGGTTGTAAGAGTTATCCATTAATGGAATATAACCTACTACTTGTTTACTAGCCTTGCCTGCAATTTCGCCCGCGTACCTAGTTGTTTTTTGCATAGCCAGAATAAATGATGTCTCAAGCAAAAAAAAACATAGGATTTTATCATATCAACTTACGATAACTTTTAGACCCCCTTATAAACTTCTTATCTTAACCTACGTCTCTGTCAAATATCAGCTTAAGCTAACAGTCAAGTAGTTTTCGAAATTTCGTGTTTACTTGAGTAAGATAATGTGGAAACTCAATGGATAGAATCCAGCCATATATTTAGTATACACTATATACATACATATGTAGAGTTTCTTCATATGTCTTCATATCATGCAAGTCATCAGCCTGCTAAATCACTTTACCAATCCTAGCAAGAATAAGGCGTATTATTAATGAAACTTACTGTTGACGCCAGTCAATGAGAAATCCAAGAACAAAAACTAATACTATAGCGATAAGTAAGACTACGGTAACTCCCAGAATCGTGGCCACGGTTAAGGTAGGGACTTCTTCGGCTAACATCAATATGCTGGGGTCTGCCGTGGAGTCCAAATCTGAAAATAATGTTATTTTTTGAAAATGATCATCGATCAAATACAAAATGATCATCGATTAAAAAAATACTTTTTGATAGTAAAATTTAAGAAAAAAGTTAGTAAAATTAGCTAATATTAAAAAAAATATTATTACGCTAAAATTATTAATTTTAAATTTTTATATAACATATATAAAAAAATAATTACTAAACTCTCTAATTCGGTTTTATAGAGATAGATAAAGACTTATAAACAACAAATTACATTTCTATCAAACTATGAAGGTACTCGCAAATGCGCAAATTTTATTATGTAGCTTTTTAAAATTCAGTTTAAATAATAATCAGACGCAAGACATATTTTGGTAATGTTTTACAATAAAACATGATAAATACCTCCGTCGTCCCAACTTGCGCTATTCATAATTGTATCCATTACGTCTAAAAGTAGCTTCTTAAAAACTGAGATTCATCTCAAGCGTACCTGAAAAAAGATAACCAGCGTTAAATACGATAGGTATAGTAGGTACATAATTAATATATGAAAACGTATCATTATTAAAATTATTTCGATATTCAGGGTAAGTTATAGTTATAACCAATAAGTACAACCTAACTAAAATAAGAATATTAAATACTGTCGTCTAAATGACGAAATTATAAAAAAATATCTGTTTGCACATATGACAACAACAACAGATGGCGAACATCTCTATCCTTTTGTTCGCAAAATTAAGTCAAGTTTATTTATTCGATATCTAGAGACATAAAACTAAAAAAAATATGTAGATAGAAAACTAAAAAATATGTATGTATCATAAAATACATTAATGAGCAAGCTGTGGTCTCCTATAAGTGAAGGAGCACACGTGTGAGTCATATTTGCTTTTTGTTTTTATATGATGTTGTATATTGTGTGTATCTTTTGTTGGAGATCCTAATTAAAATAAAATGACATAAAACGAAATAAAATAAAATCTATACATATATAGCAAGACTATTATTTATTTTTAATTTACAAAAATTACATAAATAGATTTTTTAAGTATAATTTTCATGTAGGTAGTTAACTATTGGGAGTTAAGACAAGGTCAATGGAAATGAAGGTATTTAACGAAAATATAGGCTCAAGGTAATATTACAATATATATTATACATATATTATAATATTGTTTATTTTTATAGTTATAAAAATGCTTTAACGTTAAAAGCCTAAACAATCGATTTTTGAACAAACATCCATACTCACAAACTTTCACATTTATAATATTAATACGTAAATACGGATTACTATTAATACTAATAAAATCTACAAAAGTAGTTTCATTAGCCAATCACTTCTCAATTGAAATTGAGGTTAGTCTATTGAGTGTTGTTTTGAAGAAGTTGATTTTTTATATTTATTTGAGATTATTTTCGCAATTTGATAGAGACTTTTCAATTGTCTGAGAAAAACCACTTTTGTTTAAGTGACCTATATCCGCGTAGCTCATCTAAACTTCCACAACTTTCCTGTGAAGGCCTTATGCTCGATTTCACCAACGTCACCTAAGTTTAAGGGATCCCCTAAGCATGGTTAGGGGGCTGTTAGGGGACAGTTTCTGTTTCACCGACAGTTAGGGGTCACCTAAATATTAAAAGGCCCCCTAAATTTAGGTGCTCGAAATATGGGCTTAAAGAGGATCGTAAAACTAAATTTAATTTAGGGGCTAGTTTAGGGGACTTTTAAGCTAGGGATCCCATACCGTAGGTGGTAGCTTAAGGGGTTGTTGATGAAATCGGGCATTAGACTACTTGAATTATGTAAAAAATCTTATTACAATCTATCCTATCATTGTCGTTTGATGCTAAAGTAAGGCTAATTCTCTTTGATAGTATAATTTTCTTTCCTTTCATAACACACGGATGCAACTAGGACACATAAGCGAATGCAACGACAATAAAAGCATTATCGCTACATAATAATGTAATTATTCATATTTTAATTTTATTACTCTATACAGTGCGTTCTGATTACGATTTTATGTAAAAGAAATTTTATTTTTAACTATCGACGGGTTCGTCCCTAGATACCTTAGGACGGTATGACTATATTATAGTCTATGTATTCCATACTAACCGTCATAAGGTATGTATATCTATATATATATATATATATATATATATATATATATATATATATATATATAGGTATGATTAGTTTTATATCCCTTACTTGAGAAATGATTGATTCTCCATACAAAGTTTTACCCCCCTTTTCACCCCCTTCAGGGATGATTTCCGGGGTAAAAACTATCCTATGTCCTTCCCAGAGTCTCAAACTATCTCCATATCAAATTTCATCTAAAGTTAGGTAAAGGTGAAAAGGTAACAGACAGATAGACAGACAGCGTTACTTTCGCATTTATATATTAGTATGGATTAGTTATATAAGTGAAAATAGATATTCAGCAAAAAAGACGTCTATCTTATTGGCAATCATCGACTTATTAAAAAGCGAAAGTGTAGATATCATTCTACACAGTACACGTTAAACTCTAAGGATCAATTCCATCAAAACTCTAATAGCTTTTATATAATATAAAAGTTATTAACTAATATATTTAAACGAGCAATTCTTGTATATATATTATCTGAATCTCGGAAACGGCTCCAACGATTTTCATGAAATTTAGTATACAGAGGGTTTTAGGAGCGATAAATTGATCTAGATTAGTTTTGTCTGAGAAAACGCGTGTTTTCGAGTTTTCATGCGGTTTTGTTTCGCATTATTCCACGCAAAATATGGTCGCTAATTCGCATGCTAGGACATAAGTATCGGCTCAAGTTTGACGACCACAGGTGTCTGTCTGTCATACAAAGTTTTTACTTTTGTTTTTTTTTAATATATTCAAATTTTTAGTTTGTTTTTTTTTTAATGTTTTTTGGCCAAAAACTCCGAGCGAAGCTCGGTCGCCCTGGTACTTATTATATATTAAGGCATTAGACACATAAAACAAATGAAAAGTTTTGGCGCAATTGTCCCTTAAAATAAACATTACACTTTCAAAAAACAATTCTAAGAATTGCAGAAATTATGACGTTGATTCAAAGAGCTATCTCAAAATCTTAATTGCATGATTTTGAGATAGCCGTTTGAATCAATTTTTACAGATTATAATCAATATATGTACCTAAAGACTACTAGTCATAAGAGTATACATACATATATACTGGTAGCGATATAAGAATGTTATCTGATTATCTTTATGATATTAAAAGCCTTTACCGACGAAGTACCGAATTTTATAAACATACAAACTTTTACATATGTGTATATTTTCCTTTATTAAAATACCTACGATACCTAAATTGAATTGATGTCATCAAATTTGAATTTAATGTGAAGCACTGTGGGTAAAAAGGATTTTTGGGTTCAAAATAAAAAAAAATCTAACAAAATTTTTATAACGCTTCACTTCACTCCCACCTTAACCTTATCATCTACATGATCTAAGTCGGATCTGTCACCGAGCTTAAATTTAAAGTAAACAATATTGTCACATTCGAAAACAATAATGATTAAAATCTTTGCAAACAACGAATTAGAATATGTTCTAATACTTGATCTAAATCAACGGAACGGAATATTTACAACCTATAATTATAAACTTATCAGATTATGCTCCAGACTTGCTATGAAATCTATTTTTATACCTTAAATTTGTATTTATTAATACACTAGCATTGCCAGCGGCTCCGCCCGCGTTCAGATGACCATAAACCAAATTCTTAGGTTTTACATATTAGTATATTCTTACATTGCAGTTTTTTTTATTTTCTCTTCTTCTCAGAAGTGAAACATTTTACCGCGGTAAAAAGTATCCTATATGTTGACCCGGATAACCAGCTATCACCATACGAAATTTCATCAAAATCCCTCCAGTGGTTTTTCTGTGATGCGGTAACAGACAGACAGACAAAAATTCTAAAAACTATAGATTCGACCTCTGTATCGATAATAATATTTCAATAAAATTTTCCAAAAAATATCTAATGTACAGATTTTATTACGTATTTGTATGGCCTAAGAGCCTGTGAACGCCAGACCTTCATCATTTTATAAAAGCTGAAAGTTTGTCGGCGCATGCTCCCAACACACATAAGAACGATGGACCATTATGAAGTTCAGGCTATGGTGGCTTTGGCAAGTACACGGTACTAAAGGTGTGTAAAATACCGATCTAAATTCGTCAAATAATAAAGTGTGATTTTTTGGTATTACTTTCAGAATATTATTAAAAATCACGTCATTCAATGCCAGACACTTAACATCGTGGCAAACCCTTGCCAGACACCCTTTTCATGAAATCATAATTCTCCTTACATTATAGTAAAAAAGCTGATTTTTATATATAATACTTGGGTAATAATTAGATGATTTATAAGACTACTAGCATAGCATTTATTACACACCATGAAAAATGTTCCAAACAAGTTGGGAGGCATTTCTAAGAAAATGTTGCAAATGGTCATCAAATGTGAAGCGCTAAGAATTGACTTTATTTTTGATGGTGTGTTTTAAATACATCGGATTTTTTTCCACTCCTTCCGGATTGAGTCGCCAAAAGCTGCTGTATTTTTCAATATTATCGGATGTTTTTGATTGATTCGATCCAGGCCAGGGATGTTATGAAGTCCCCCCAACGTGTGTTCACCTTGTCGTGGTGGGGGGGGCTCAGTAGTGCCCGGCAACCCAACCGGGCGCGAAGCCAAGAAACGCACAGGGAGGTGGCCCACTTCGGTGGGAGGTGGCCCTCTTCGGAGGGCGGTGTACCATGCGGGTTGCTCCTGGTACTTCTCTGATAGCAGAGTGGACCTTGGAGCAACCCCGTGGTTGTTGTGGTCTGCTTTGACAGACCTGCCGTCGGGGCGTCGTAGTTGAATGCGTAAGCGATCCTGCGACGCCCCATTAAGACGGTGGAAGGCTTTGTTGGGTTTTAGTGGGTAGTACTGGCTTTGCCGGTGAGTCCCACACCTCGTGCGTAAATGCATTTCCCAACGTTAAAAAAAGGGATGTTATGAAGCAATTCGAAGTAGGAAAAAAATTGTATTTCAAAAAGAATTAAAAAATATATCCAATATACAAACACGATTCCTCTAAAACTTTATTATACGTATAGATATTTTAGTATATATATAGGTTCGTATAGATAAATATCGTAGCTACGTGACCGATCAGCAATTATAACAAAGGTTTCTTCTGACTCACTAAGCAAGTAATTATAATCTATAAGTGTTTTGTTTTAAAACAATTTCATAAAATTACTTATATACCGTCAGTATGAGTATTATACCTTTGTGCTGTCGATAACAACGAGTGGTCATACTCATAGGTACTCCACAATATAATTAATTATTCTAACAACATATTTAAAATCTTTTGTTATAAAGTAGTGAGCCTTGATGTTCTTCATAATTTTATTACAATGGAAGTTCTCAGAAGGGCAGATTTTTCGGCCTAATCAACACCATTATAAAATACTAGCAACTGCGCTCGGGTTCGTCCCTACTTACGTTTTAAGGTTTAGTATAGATTTCTCAGAAATGAGATATTTTCCCGCAATAAAAAGTATCCTATATGTTGACCCGGATAACCAACTATCATCATACCAAATTTCATCAAAATCCCTCCAGTGATTTTTCCGTGATGCGGTAACAGACAGGCAGATATTGTCTATTTCAATAAGATTTTCCAAAAAATATTTAATGTACAAATTCGACTTAGTTAGAATTTTATTACATGTATAGATATTGGTAGTTTATTTTCGTAATATGTGTACTTTCTTATTTAATCCCTCTTTCGATTGGTAGAAACTGTAAAAAATCCGTACAGTAGCTTGTACGATTATGCGCGAACAAACACTATATTACTGATCTTTATTTAAAATGTAGGTTCTTTATTAGCTTTGTATGTATATCTTATTCATACTTGAAGTTTAAATAAATACATAGATACATTTAGATACATTAACTCACAGCGCTATCTAGTTCCATGGTAAGCTACGAGGCTTGTGTTATGGATACCAGATAGTTGATACACTACACATAAACTATTAACTAATAAACTATATAATAACTTTAAATACATATATATTATAAATGTAAACACCCATAACTAGAGTACAAACATTCGTGCTCATCACACAAATGAATGTCCCCAGCGGGACTCGAACCCGCGACCGCTGGCACATCGAGTAGTATCACTACAAACTGAGCCAAACGTATCGTCGAAGGTCGAGTTTGACCTAATTAAAAGAAATCCTTTCTTTTGACTACATATTCTGATTTCCATTTCTTGTTTCAGTTTATGGCTTTTATTGTGTACTCGTGCTAGTAAGTCTGTTAGGTAGCTACTATGTTATATTATTAATAATTAATTCCGTGATTAAGCACTTTAAATGTATTAATGGATTTTGTAATGGAATTATCGATAATAATTAAACAGCAGTTTAGCTACCCTTCTTTCTAAAAAAATAAAAGTGTACTATATAAAATATAAATTATTGAGCTTCAAAATAATATTGTAAATATTACATAACTTGATGACGCCATGATAGCAAGGTTCAAAGGTGAAGTCGAAAACAGACAAAAAAAAAGTAATTGCAATTTAGTCGCTACTTCTTGTGATGTTTTTATTCTATGATTGACTCGATTAAAAGCATGTTGCTTTTAAGTATAAAACGATTATCATCATCGATAAAACATTGTTATCAAACACTATCTATAGTTTCTTCATAAAGTGCATTGTTCAGTGTTAATATATAGGCAAATGACACGCCAAAGACCTCACATGTATTCATTGTCTAGTTCATGATAAAAGAATGTGAAGGCTGACGGAGATAGAGGACTGGAGTCATTAACAAACTGATTACAATAAAACAAAATTGTCCGTATTATTAATCATTATTAATAATATACAAATCCATAGGTACAGTTGGTAGTCTTATGGCCGATTTTACTAACGTCCCCTAAGTTTAAGGGATCCCCTAAGCATGGTTAGGGGGCTGTTTTAGGGGACAGTTTCTGTTTCACCGACAGTTAGGGGTCACCTAAATGTTAAAATGCCACCAAAATATAGGTACTAGAAATACGGGCTCTGACGATGCTAAAAAGAAATTTAATTTAGGGGCTAGTTTAGGGGAACTTTTAAGCTAGGGATCCCATACGTAGGTGGTAGCTTATGGGATGTTGATGAAATCGGGCATTAGTATGTTAAATTTATTTATCTCAGACATATGTTAAAAATAAAGACATAAAATAAAACATAAAATACCTATATAATATCATTATATTACCTACGTTTCCAAAAGCATTTGTTTTTAAAATTAATGATCATAATCGCCCCTTATGGAAGCTAAGTTTTTTAAAACTGCATGATAATATTATCACTAATTCTAACATTACAATTAAACTTCAAATAATTTAATTATTATCTTTATCTACTTATTGCGGAGGCAATAAATACGAAGGTGCTATTTTAAAGAAAAAAAATAAACCTTATGCATAAACATTAAAATATAGGATTTGTACAATTCAATACTGTTTAATATAAAAAAAAACTGTACGTTAAATCACTAAATTTAATGTTTAATATAAATCGGCAAAAATAATTTAAATTATGTCAATTTACAATTCAATTTTTTCTTTTTACGATAATTGGCGAGCCAGTTGGCACAGTTCACTTTGGCATAGAGAAGTCATAAAGGAGATGAATTAAATGATACTCGTATTTAATACTGTAAAAAAATATATTTTACACGATGTAGGTACTTGCGAGGCAACGCGCGCGCACCTCACGGGCCGCTTGGAAACCTATTTTCAGCGTTAAATTAAATTACAAATAACAGAAATAGAGTTTCGAAAGTCGGAAAAATTTCCTTCTCTTTAAGGATCTTGTTTTTAGATTTCTTAATTATTAATATTTATTGAATTATTAGGGAAAAACTGAACACCTTCTTTTTTCATCTTTATGTGTTGTTGTTGTTTAAATAGTGTTTAAATAATTTTTCTTGACGTCATTCCTGATCCAATGAGCTGTCGCACATATTTTTTAAGATCTTTATCCTTATTTGTGACCATTTTCAACTTGGCCTAACATAGCTGATAGATAATAGAAATGATGATGTTTTCCTGGCCGATTCCGGCGATTCCGGCTACGGCAGCCAATCTTATTGAGACTAGCCAACTGCGCAGGAGATATTATAGTGCACAAGTGTACGCGCAGACACAAGTGCACTCTCTATTCCTGTCACTCTCATACTCCGGTGGGACGACCACTCGACACGACCAGTGAGAGTTAAGGCGCAGGACCGACGGCTTTACGTGCTCTCCGAAGCACGGGGGTGAAACACCGCCAACTTCCCAACTCCGGGCTGTTACTGAGACTTACTATACAGAAAGACTCAATAACTAAACTTAGCCCGACCCGGGACTTGAACCCAGGACCTCCGAATGTGCAGCCGTACATGCTAGCTACTACACCACCGAGGCAGTTAAGACAATAAACATATATGGACAGTTAATATAGTTCAATTAGATATAATTCTTTTGCTCTATGAACTTTTTAAAATTTTAGAAAAAGCCTTTTATTTGCATAATTTTACCAATAATGTGAATTTATCGTATTATACCTATTTCGGTTTAAGATACGAAAGCGTTGCAAAGAATTACATTGAAGAGAAAATGTGTCAAGAACGAAGCGCGTACGTTTGGAAATCAGCAATGAACGGCTGTAGTTTATTATTAAACTATCAACATTATTATCCTTGTTAAACAAATAAGATGACAAACGTGGAGGGACATATTATGTACCTATGTAGATATTTAAGATTGTAAAAACCGCCCTGACTTCATTTTCTCCTCAGTCCTCAGCCGCCCAGTTTATCATAATAATGAATAGATACGTCTTATAGGTATTGACTTATACATTGTTTATAACTTTTACATATATAATATTTTTTTATTCATTGTGGTAAACTGTAAATATTTAACAATAATCGAAGGGTTCCAAAAGTTAACGCTTTTAGGAGAAAAATTAGTCGACGTATAATATTAATTTTCATCAAAATATTTAAAAAAGTTACAATTATTTTACGTAGAGGATAGTGTCTGTAATCTGTCCCCTAAGATTTTAAAATCTCTTACTCATAGATTGTCACTAAGTAAAATTCTTTTGACTTTTACCGTGAGTAAAGCCGCGTAAAGGCTTGTAGAAGTAGTAGTATAATTTACCTATTATATGTAAGTTAAAAGACCCTACCTAATTATAACAAAACATTCTAAACTGACACAACACTAATTTAAAAGAACCTTGATTATAAGACGCAACGGAATATCATTATTTGAAAAAAAATATATGCGAAACAAAAATCAAGTAATCAAGGTATATATAATATTTAGTATGATAGATAAACAGATACGAGATAGAAGCTTCAAGCTACAATCTACATACGTGTGTTCAGTGTCCACCAAGGATGTATCAATACCTTTATAGAACCCATAAACATTAATGTAGGTTATATATAGGCTGATTATTTAAAGTTAATTTTAAATATTATATGCAAGGTAAAGAAAAACGTTAATAAATAATTAATTAGTTACATACAAGTGGTCTCGCAATAAGTATATTTCCACGAACTTACATAAAGACAACGAAGAGGTTTCTCGGGCCTGCACCTTTCACTTTGATTATTTTAATAGACTTGTTATATAAACTTGTGTTTCTATGGTCACTACGTATTTTGGCATCAATTCTTTGCGTATCACAGATCGTATTAATTGTAGTTTTTGATTTCTCAAAAGTTGTACGCGCACCGGTTACATGCGCAAGCGCTGCGCTCCAAGGCGCGTCTCTCACTGTTGCGTCGAGATCACCTTACTTTGATGATTGATACTTTTAAACCGTGCCGTTAACCGACAATATTTTGTCAACTCGTGGCATACACCAATACTGATTTGAATATGGTTTTATTGTATATAGCTATGTCGGGTAGACACGAATTCATGCATAAACATATAACGGTAGTGTGAATTCGACTACGCATTGGTGATGTAGATCCCCCGTGACTCATGTTGGAATTTTACTCGTATCGTTGTATCATTAACGCCCCCCGTTTTGCATTACGTAGTTCCGATAAGGTTTGTTATTTTTTTTCCATAATGAGCGCAAAACTTTTCTATTTAAAGTATACGATATATATATATATATATATATATATATATATATATATATATATATATATATATATATATATATATATATATATGTATATATATATATATACTAGCGGCTCACCCAAAAGCACAAACAGATCTATCCCACGGGAACCGTTCATTTTTCCACATTAAAAATAAATAAAATAAAATAAGTAACCTGTTGTTTGACCTGCAATATAAGGTATCAGCATGCCAAATTTTACTAAATTAGGTGCATAAGTTGTTGTGTACTGAGCTGTATAAGTTACTATAATTTTTTACCCATCCCACGGGAACTCTTTAATTTTCCGGAATGAAAAGTATCAAATTTCATTAAAATATATTCAATAGTATCGGAGATTAGCCCATACGAACAGACAAACAGACAGAGAAACAAAAAAATTGAAAAAATCTGGATTTGTTCTATTTCTCTCCTTACGGGATGTAAGAAGAGAACTGACTCGTTTTTTAGCAATTTTTTCTACCATCTATGTACAGACATTCGACCTTTACAGTTTTATTATTCATATATGTACCTATATTCAGATAGAATAAATAACGTATAATAAAACAGAAATATATAATAATGAAAATAGTTATAGCAAGTGTACCTTAGGAGACAGAGATATACTATGTAGAACTTTTCTATAGACCTTTTTAAGACTTACAATTTTCTTGTACAATGTTTTGATCTATCTCTTAAGGTTGAGCCAACGTTAGCCATATAAATTTCTAAGGACAATTCGATAGAACCAGTTATACAATTTTCCCGTGGGAATGAATAATTTGCCTGTCGTAAAAAGTATTCTAAATGTTCACCCGAGCACTAAGTTTTATCACTATACAAAATTAAGTTAAAATCGGTTGAGAACTTTTTGCGTGAAGTTTTATTATAGGTATAGATAAGAATAAATATTGCGAGTGTAACTTAGGAGATAGACATATACTATTCACAACTTTTCTGTAGGACTTTTCAAGACCTACAATTTTTTAGTATATTGTTTTGATGTATGTCTTAAGGCTTAGCCAGAGGAAGGTTTCTAGGGAGGACTCGATAAAACCAGTTATTGTATTTTCCCGTGGGAAAGAAAGATTTTCTTAAAGTAAAAGGTATCTAGGCAGTGGTATCCCAGTGGTAACGCGCTCGCTTGGGAAACCGAGTGAAGCAAGTTCAAATCCCGGGTCTCGCACCTCTGATATTTTCATGTGCGAATCATTTCTAACACAGTTACCACTTGTCTTAACGGTAAAGGAAAACCTGCATGTCTGACAGAACCTAGCAAGTTTTCGAAAGACATGTGAAGTCCACCAACCCGCACTTGGCCAGCGTGGTGGACTATGGCCTGATCCACCTCGTACTGAAGGGAGGCCCGTGCATGTGTTAAAAAGGGCTGAATACAACATACATACATACATACATACATACATACATACATACATACAAAAGGTACCCTAAATGTTGACTCGAGTAATAAGTTATCACTTCACCAAATTTTGTTGAAATTGGTACATTACTTTTCGCGTGAAACGCACACACAAAAACAGACAAACAGACAAACAGGCAATTTTTTTAATAACTATTGTTTTGGGGTCTATGTTGCGTACATAATACGTTACAAATAAACAAAAACATCTATCCCACGGAAAAAGTACATTTTTCCGGGATACACAGTTACCTATTTGTTATTCTGATGTATGAACTATATTATTGTAAAGTTTCATCAAAATCCAATCAGTGGTTTTTGTGTACTAAGCTGTATAAGTTACTATAGTTTTTTGACTATCCCACGGAAACTCTTTAATTTTCCAGGATGAAAAGTAGCTGATTTGTTTTTGTCATGTATGAACTATATTATTGTAAAGTTTCATTAAAATCCAATCAGTAGTTTTTGTGTACTAAGCTGTATAAGTTGTTATAGTTTTTTAACTATCCCACGGGAACTCTTTAATTTTCCGTGATGAAAAGTATCTAAGATGTTGCCCGGGAATATAAGGTACCACCATGCAAAATTTCATTTATATCGGTCTAATAGATTCGGAGATTAGCCCGTACAAACAGGAAAACAGACAAACAGCTCGCTCGGGTTCGTCCATACCGACGAATATGTTGTATTATCTCTTTAACCATTTGTCCAAATTATATGCAGTAAAAGGGAAAAGTCTTTTCTTTTAAACATTTTAGACGATAAATTTATTTATTTTGATAAGAATTCATAATTCTTGATAATATGACCAATAAACATGACCTACCAATTTAAATTACTTTTTTAATATAAAAAACTACTTTTTGTGACTTAAATATAAAAGTTATAGCTGTCGCTGACTTTTTTGTAGGCATTATTAAGCTCTACAACTTTTCTCTAGAACATAATCATATATCTCTCATCGTTAAGGCAGCGTTCGTAAGAAACTTTTTCGTTCGACCGTTTTTTCTCCGACTTACTTTGCAAATCCGACTACCACGAAAAATCCTTTTTTATTTTTCGGGTTAATATATAGCCTATGACACTCAGAAAGAACGTGGCTTTCTATTGGTAAAAGAATTTTGAAAATCGGTTCAGTAGATCCAAAGATTACCCCCTACAACGTCACAAACTCACAAACTCACAAGATCACAAACTTTACCTCTTTATAATATTAGTATAGATATATACATATATATATATATATATATATATATATTTAAGCAAAAATATTTCATTTAATTATATGATACGTAGAGATAAAGATGATTACAATATTAATGCAACCTCTTAAAAGTAAAATATTTGTCGATCTCTACTTTCATACGATAACATAGAGTTTTCTGTATTTGAAGAATTCAAATACATTGCTAATACGAGAGAAAAAAAACTAAATACTCGTTCAGATGACCTAAAACCAAATCTTAGGTTTTACAGATTAGTATACTCTTACATGGCAGTTTTTGCTTTTTTTCTCAGAAATGAGATATTTTCCCACGGTAAAAAGTATCGTATATGTTGACCCGGATAACCAGCTATCCCATACCAAATTTCATCTAAATCCCTCCAATGGTTTTTCTGTGATGCGGTACTAATAGAGAGACAAACAGACAGACAAAAATTCTAAAAACTATAGATTCGACCTCTGTATCGATAATAATGTTTATTTCTATAAGATTTTCCAAAAAAAAATTTATGTACAGATTCGGCTTAGTTACTATTTTACTATAAGTATGTATAGATTAGAGAGAAGCTAATATGAGCGAAAAGTCGTAAAGTCACAAAAATGTATTTTAAAATGTTACTATTATATGATTTAGGCTTGAAAAATTGAACCATTTAGGTCATTGTTATCAACTATATGCAATAAACTTAAATGCATCATCGTTATCAATGTTATCTATCTCGCTTCCATAAAACGCTTTTGTAATATCAAAATTATTTTAACTAGAGCAAGTCCGCTCTAATTTGCTGGTTTATATATTTAAGAAACATTGTTTGCCTTAATTATAATATTCGAAAATAATCATGTACATTTTTATTTTCAAACTAGCGACTCACCCTCGCTTACCTCGGGTTCGTCCCTAACTACGTTTTAACATTTAGTATCAATTTCTCAGAGATGAGATATTTTCCCGCAATAAAATGTATCCTATATGTTGACTCGGATAACTAGCTATCATCATACCAAATTTCATCAAAATCCCTCCAGTGGTTTTCCGTGATGCGGTCACAGACAAACAAACAGATAGACAAAAAATCTAAAAACTATAGATTCGGGCTCCATATCAGTAATAAATAATAATGTCTATTTCAATAAGATTTTCCAAAACATATTTAATGTACGGATTCGGCTTAGTTACAATTTTATTATATGTATAGATAAACCTGGAGTAACATATAGGCTAGGCACCTGAGGAGTGGGAACTCACCCGAACGAAGCGATCAGTGTAAGTCGCTAGTTATTTTTGTGAAGTTAATCATAAATTTTTATACTATTTAAATATAAAAGAGTAAACAAACACGAAGTTACTATATATAAATAGAATATTACATATCACATGTTGTATCTAAATAATAAATATAAAATTATTGCTCGTTAAAAAATATTAACACTATATTGTATGACACGTAATATTTTATACTAGCGACTCGCCCTCGCTCCGCTCGGGTTCGTCTCTAGCGGGGTTTGCGACTTTAAAAATTAATTTAATAAACCTAGGTATTTCATCATATATTTTTTTTTCTTGCTGGTGCACATCCCTGTAGTAATAACCAGTAACAAAACAAAAACAGTCTGCAAGCATTAAATAACAGCTCCAAAACTGTACAAGTTTTGGATTTTTCATTTTAATCCTTTGAATAACTTTACAGAAAGAATCATAAAGTCAAAAAAAAATGACACAACAAATAGACCAGGTGGAAAATTCTAAAAAATGCTATTGTTAAGGAATTAAATCAGGATCAAGGGAAAAACGACTATAATGCAAAATAGTTAAAGATAATTTTTCAATAGGGTCAACATGTAAAAAATAAGATATAGACTAGAGCTGTTTGTGCAATGTTGTATAAACATTTGAGAACATTTATAAATCTTAAAATAGTATTTATAAAAGATACAATAATTAATAAATTTCTTAAATCATTTAATTTAATTAGGTAGGCATGCTTTAGAAATCACACGGCCCACTGGTTAGCTGAAATGAAAAAAATAGCATACAATTAAATTTATCGATTAAGTATAACTAGTCCTCAAAATGTGATCCCCCATTTCGTATACAGACACGTAGATATTCTCTTTCTAGAGGAATGAATATATGACTGGAATATTATTATAAAATACAGAATATCTAGTATATGTATATGCACGACTATATATATATTCTTAGTATTTTTGTGTATGTATATATATATATATATATATATATATATATATATATACAAAAAGACAAAAACACATCTATCACACAGGAACCATACATTTTCCGGGACAAAAAGTTACCTATGTGCTATTCCAGACAATAACCTATCTCTGTGCCAAATTTCATCCAGATCTGTTCAGCCGTTTCCGGCGTGAAGAAGTTACCAATACCATATATCCATCCATTCATTTATCCATCCGCACAAACTTTCAAATTCATAATATTAAGTACTATTGATTCAACTGTTTAAATCACACAGAGCTGGATTCAGTGTGAGAAGTAAAAAAACGCCTATGACATTACTAAATTCTAATAAAAATCCTCTATTATAAATGCTACTAAACTAAACTAATTAGAACTAGTTTGTAAACTAGCTGGAAGTAGTTTTTTGCTGTTTTATTTTTATTCTAGAAACAAAAATGTTATAGAATTTATATATTGTGTAGAGTAATTAAATATTATTTAAAATAATTATATTACCCATAGTTATGTTTAAAATTTTATTGCTTTATTGTAACCGATAAGATAACTTACGTAGGGAAAGAACAGCTAATCTATAAAATAATATGATAATTATTATGTCTTGTAAAGAATGCCTGCAGGCTAACACGTACCTACGTAACAAGTTTACCTACTTGAATTCAAATTATGAAATGCTGAAAATTGTTTAATTACTTGCCATATTTAAGATAACCAAAAAAAAACTCGATAGAGTTATTATAAAAAAACACAACTAGTTTCCGTTGTAATCTTAATATCTGACAGACAGACAGACTAAAAATCTAAAAACTATATATATTCTGTATCGATAACAATGACTATTTCTAAAGATTTTCCAAAAAATATTTTATGTACAGATTCGACTCAGTTTGAATTTTATTATATGTATAGAAGATCTATAGAAGACAATGACGCGGTTGATATGGGATGCGTCCCTATAAGCACGGTAATGTATATGTAATATTACCGTGCTATAAGGTACGTTTTAACGGTTAGTAATTAGTATAGATTCAGCTCAGAGATGACATATTTTCCCGAATCCCGCAGTAAAAAGCATCCGATATATTGACCCGGATATAAACCAGCTATATCATCAGACTAAATTTCATCAAAATTAGTCTTGTGGTTTTCTCATACAGACAGACAAAAATTCTAAAAACTATAGATTCGGCCACTGGATCGATAATAATGATTATTTCAATAAGATTTTCAAAATATTATTTAATGTACAGATTCAACTCAGTTAGAATTTTATTATATCTATAGAATAGTAGCTGGATATCATACGTATACAAACCAATTACAAAAATACAATTTGCCAGCGTCTCGTATTGTTAAAAGCAATTCACAAACCTCTTATGTGAAGGTTAAAGATTTATCAGAATAAAATCTTAACATTTATGAGAAGTAAGTAATTCAACCTCCGTTTAATGCGACATTGAAGCAGTATTTGTGTGTTCAACTAATAAACATAGAAGCCAAAAAATATAAAACTGATTTTGTTGTAATTGTGTTAACGAAACTTTAAAATTAATCCTTGAAACTAAATTTTCTTAATAACACACAAAGAATAGATATCAATGTAAATAGCATTTGATGATTAAAACTACATAATTATAATAGCATGAGATAACAACTTTCGATTAAAGGTCATTTTCATTTAGCTATAATTTGAATATAATATGTAATTAAATGTTTTTCAAGAAGACGTAATAAGTTTTGGTGTAAGATAAGAGATAAAAAATTTGAAAACAAAAATATTTAACACGCTTAGGTTATTCAGCGACCATTCAAAATTCTATCCTTCGACCGTTTTTGCTCTCAGTTAATTATAAATATTTATAACAACTTTTGCTACACAAATGTCATCTTGAACAAAAGAATTTGTTTTCTTTTCTATACATATAATAAAATGTAACTAAGCCGAATCTGTACATTAAATATTTGTTGGAAAATTTTATTGAATTAGACAATATTATCAATACAGAGGCCGAATCTATAGTTTTTAGAATTTTTGTCTGTCTGTCTGTTACCGCATCACAGAAAAACCACTGGAGAGTTTGATGAATTTTGGTATGGTGATAGCTGGTTATCCGGGTCAACATATAGGATACTCTTTACCGCGGGAAAATGTCTCATTTCTGAGAAAAAATACAAAGACTGCAATGTAAGAGTATACTAATATGTAAAACCTAAGAATTTGGTTTTTGGTCATCTGAACGCGGGCGGAGCCGCGGGCAATGCTAGTAAACCTATAATATTCTTCTCGACACGAGGTAGTGTAGAACTGACACATCTCTTTACTTCTATTTTCGTATTCCGCACCACGTAGAATGAGAAATCATTTAGACCTTAAGATTAGACTCATTCATTAAATCTGAGAGCTGATCATACGAGCCATTCCCTTCCACGTCACTACACTTTATTGCTTTTGTCATAATAAAAATATATAGAATGTTCTAACTACGTTAAATATAGCAAATCGATTTGACTAATCTAATGTCAATAACTCTATTTATAAGGACCTAGGTTTCGCCCGCGGCTCCGCTTGCAGGAAAAATTACTTACAGCTATTATTCTTGTATAGTGTAGCATATGTGTAGCATTGTAATGAAAAAGAAACCAAGAATCAGTTTAGTGGTTTCAAATATTATTCTGTTCGTATAAACAAAAATTTAGTTCGTTGTAGGAGTGCAAGGTAAATGCGGTTAGGTTACATACTGTGTTGTGAATGGAGTCGAGTTGTGCCTGGTACGAGTGCGACGCTTTTATAAACTATCGCACACACAAACTCGTTATCTCAGAATAATTAAAAATTGTTTTTATTTTACGATAGAAAATATAATTATTGCCAGATCGCTTATATATCTTTCCTAATTGCGCCCATATCTAGATAACACACAAGTGATAGTTTAGTTAATGGATATTTTATCGTGTAAGAAATTTAAATGATAATATTTGATTGTCAAAATTAGTCTCATATAGATGAATTTGCGTATAGACACATAATAAAACAGTAACTTAGCGAAAACTGTAGATGTTTTTTTTTTAAACAAAGACTAACGTGTTATGTACAGAATACAGATATGTTTATTACAATAGTTATTGAAAATTTTGTCTGTTTGTGTGTTTGCGTTTCACACAAAAAATACTCGACCGATTTTGACTAAATTTTGTGTAGTGATAAATTATTACTCGGGTCAATATTTAGGATATTTTTTACTACAGTATAATTCTAATATATATATTGTCATTCTCATAGGAAAATACAATAACTGGTTCTATCGACTCGTCGAAAAGGTACTGAACCGATTTTAATTAAATTTTGTGTAGTGATAACTTATTACTCGTGTCAACATTTAGGGTAATATATATTACAGGAAAAATGTTCATTCCCATCGGAAAACACAATAACTGTTTCTATCGAGTCGTTCTTAGAAAACATGTCTAACCAAACCACCAAAACAATGTACTAGAAAATTGTAGGCCTTAATAAGGCCTACAAAAAAATCTGCAATAGTAAGTATAAATATATCTCCAAAGGTACACTCGCAATAACTATCTCATAATAAAATAACTTAAAGTTAAATATAAACTTTTATTTATAATACTTTTAATAATTATAAATGCACATAACATTAATCTCCTTTAATTTATAGAGAGGAGTCTCTTATATAGGAGACAAGTTGAAAAGTGTCCACCTGTATGCTGAAAGTACCTAGATATAGAGAGAAAGACTAAAATAGATAATGAAAATACCACTATACAAAACATCAAATATTTACGTGGCTCTAAAATAATTTAGTAAATATAACTATCCTTGTTTATTTCTCTATCTTACTCTTATTACGTTTTACCGCAATGATTTAATGACTTTTTTTTTGCTATCGCAACACCACCCTTATTGGATGGGTTTGATGGACACTTTTTCATCACAGAGATAGTATTTCTTATGTCTATCCTCCATAGTATGATTAATAATATATTTTTTTAAATACCTTTCAGGTATTTTTATTGCTATTAGTATTAAATTGACCTAATCCTATATATTAATAATTACAATATATTTCAGAGTTACTTTGAATTTATTACAATCGTTTGAACTAAATCATAGTTTAATTTAAAAGAGTTTGTAAAGGACTGATAAATAAACCAAAAACCCTTGTAAAGTATAATAAAAACAAAAACATAGGTGAATGGTTTTTTTTTGTTTTTTACAATAAGTTTGTTTTAATTTCAAAATTATATATTTTTTATACCTACTAACTATATTATTACCGAAGAATTAGGTTGCTTTTACACTGGCAGCCGCTTATAAAAAGTTTTAATTAATTATATTTTTAGTAATTATAATCATTATTATATTGTTTCAACATTCATCATTATTTTTAATTAAATAAACGTATTACATCTTTAACCAAACACAATCAATTTCTTAATATTTTCAATATAAGTTTAAATATCATAGCTGTTAAAACAATTAAAAGTAAGCGATTTGTAATTTTTTTACCCATTTTATAGCGTTCTTTTTTTTATTTATTTTGCATTAAGAAATATATTTTGGAATGAGATATTATTTTTTAAATAAATCAATATATACATATATATATATATATATATATATATATATATATATATATATATATATATATATAAGTTTGTCATAAAAATATAATTTATCGTATTCCTTTGTGGTACTTATAGGATATGTAGGCATCCACGCCATGGAGTACTCCAACTACCACGCCAATGTACTGTAAAAAATACACACAAATTACAAAAAGTAAATTAAAATAAGTATAAGATAGCCTATACAGATTTCTTAATAAAGATAGAGGTACTTAAATAAATTTGTACGTATATCGTACAAAAATAAAATATTGTGTTAATTTTAAACTTTTTATTATTTCAAATTGCTCAAAAATAATTACTTTTATGTAAGTAGATTTGATCATTCAATTACGCATATTTATCAAATTATGCATATTTATCAAAAAATGAAGCCACTCGCGGAGTTTAAGCTTGTTATTAATCATTAAAAAGCTCGTCTGTAGATACTAAAGAAAAAAAAGAAAATCGGTTGACAAACAAAGGAGAAAAAGGCACTGTAAAGTTTTGACTTTATTAATTAAATAGCATTGCCCGCGGCTCCGCCCGCATTCAGATGACCAAAAACAAATTTTTAGGTTTTACCTACATATTAGTATACTCTTACATTGCAGTTTTTGTATTTTTTCTCAGAAATGAGATATTTTCCCGCAGTAAAAAGTACCCTATATGTTGGACCCGGATAACCAACTATCACCATACCAAATTTCATCAAAATGCCTCCAGTGATTTTTCTGTGATGCGGTAACAGACAGACAGACAAAAATTCTAAAAACTATAGATTCGGCTTCTGTATCGATAATAGAGTCTAATATGTCATTAAGATTTTCCAAAAAATATTTAATGTACAGATTCGACTTCGTTAGAATTTTATTATATAATAATAAAATTGATGAAGTCGATACATATGTATAGATTGATGATTGTGCTCTAATTGCCTAACAAGTAACGTGGCCTGAGATAAAGAAGTTTCAAGTAGGTACTTACATACACTGCAGTCATCGCTGGATACGCCGAGTACATATTGACGAGAGCATATCGAGGATACAAGTAAATGTTCACTGCTACTCCCATATATGAAGATGCTGACAGATACATAAAACACGCTACTGCATTATATATACACTCCTAAAAATAAAACGTAAATGGCTTAAAAATGTTGTCCTACTAGACGACACGTTTGGCTCAGTTTGTGGTGACCCTACTTGCTGTGCTAGCAGTCGCGGGTTTGAGTCCCGCTGGGGACATTCATTTGTGTAATGAGCACGAATGTTTGTACTCCAGTCATGGGTGTATATATTTATAATATTTATATATTTAAAGTTATATATGTGTAGTGTATCAACTATCTGGTATCCATAACACAAGCCTTGTAGCTTACATATATTTATTTATTTATATTATATAATATCATTTACAGTATGTAGTATATGTAGATAATTTTTAGACTTTAGAGATTTGTGTAATACAAACGTAAAAGAATTCTTATATTTTTAGTACGATTTAATTTTACCCAACTGCAGGGAAGCTAGGATTACGTGTTTGACTTGTATGTATGAACCCTACGTATGTCCGATCCTGTGTTCCCTCGTAATTACTAAACGGCTCAACCGAATTTTATGATTGATACGACGTTAGATTCGTCTTGATAAGGCGAGTGTTATAGGTTATTTAAAAAGAAAGTGTTATAGGTTATAAAAAAGAAATATTTAAAAAGTTCAAATAAGTTCGAAGTTCAAACCTAACGGAAAACATTTAGTATATTAGGTACATATACAATATATACCTATTAACTTCTAAGAATACATATATATATATATATATATATATATATATATATATATATATATATAATAAGGTATAAACTAAATTAAAAATATTTTTAATGTATTAGGGATTTATTGATATTATATTGTATTAATAACAATTTAGATATTTTTTTGAGAAATAAAGCTGATATAGCTACGAGGAAGCTCGATTCTATGTAAAAATACCGTAGATGTTTATCGTTTTCACAACAAATGGCAGCATTTAAGATTAGATAAGTATTGGTAAAGAACCACTTGTGATTGCAAAAGATTAGATACATCCTAAGTAAATAACGCTTTCAATGATCATTATGCACCTAATCTATTGAATAATTATATATTTGAACAAGCGTACGCATTGACTTGCGACTTCACAAACGTAAAGGCATATAAGATTTGCGCTAACATTTTTATTTTTAAACGTAAAACTTTATATTCTACTAGCAGAACCCGCGGCTTCGCTCGCACTAAAGCTACAAAAAAATCTCTAAAAAGGTAGTCATACAAACTTTCATCCCCTATTTTATCTCCTTATAGGATGAATTTAGAAAAACGCTAAAATACATATTTATTTAATTTTTTTTTTTTGAAGAGCATTAATACCAAGTTTTAAAGTAATTCTGATCATAAATATTTTTTGGATTGTATTATAACGTGTTTTCCCGTGGGAATAAGATAATTCCCCACGGTAAAAAGTAGGCTATGTCACCTCCAGCCCTCCAACAATCTCCACATAAAAATCACGTCAATCCGTCACTCCCTTTCGACGTGAAAGACAGACAAACAAACACACTTTCACATTTATAATATTAGTATGGATTGATACTGCATGGTACTGGTGGGTTCATAGATAATATTAAAACACTATTGCATTATACTTAAACACTTAAGGTTTTTGCAAACAAAGTAGGTAATATAGTTGTAATAATAAAGATGGTGTTAACCCATTAGATTAGAAAAAAAATAACTTTTATATATCTGTGCATCCCTAGGGGGATGAATGGTAAACCATAACTCTTTTTTTTTAACGTTGGAAAATGCATTTACGCACGAGGTCGTCGTCGTCGTTTTGGCGTCGGGACGTGACGACCCCACCGCCCGCTGGTGGGATAATCTAGTGACAGAGATTATTCCACCAGTGCAATCAGTCAACCAAAAACTGTGGTAGTGCCATGCTAGTTACCTTCGGGTAGCAGCCGAATGGGCCGGCACGTCCCGTTTAGTACCACTCTCTCACAGAAGTCCGGCGTAAAGTGGCAGCTTTGCTGTCGTGTTTCGTTCGTTAAGTGAGAGTCCCGGGAGGCCCACTCCCCACCCCTCCCCCACACCACTAAATTTATGATAGTGCGAAATTTGGTCAGTCTACCCCAGGAGGGTACCACCAGCGCACATCGCGGTGGAGAATCCCTCTCTGGGCATCCATGTTCAGCTCGTACACTACCTGAGCGTGGGTGCCCAGGCTGCCCTCCGAATTCTGGGGGGGGCAATTTTGCGCTCTCGTCTTCTGTTCGGGGCAATCGGAGCAGGCAACATAAGGCTACCCCTTTCACACTTGCTGTGGACTTCTGCAACATAAGGGGACTAAATTCCAACTTGAACGCCGTCCACTTCCACCTTGAGACGGCGAAGCCGGCCTTGCTCTTCCTTACCGAGACGCAGATATCGTCCCCGGCTGACACCTCTTTCCTCTCTTACCCGGGGTATAATCTGGAGCATTCCTTTGTACCGCGGGCTGGAGTGTGCGTGTACGTCAGAGAGGACATCTGCTCTCGTCGCCTCAGCAGCCTTGAAGGGCGGGATCTATCCATCCTCTGGCTTCGTGTAGACTGCGACGACCATCCGCGAATCTACGCGTGCCTGTATAGGTCTCATAGCGGCAATGCCGAAACTGACCGACTCGTTGAGCACATGCAAATGGCTACAGATTCCGTGCTCCAGCAGATCCCATCCGCAGAGATCGTGATTCTCGGCGACTTTAACGCCCATCATACTGAATGGCTTAGATCACGTACCACCGATCATGCGGGGAGATCTGTTCACGATTTCGCATTGGCATATGATCTGACACAACTGGTTACCTCGCCAACGCGAATCCCTGATGTGGAAGATCATACACCTTCCCTGTTGGACCTTCTGTTAACCTCTCATCCGGACGGCTACCTGGTCTCCGTCGATCCTCCTCTTGGCTCGTCGGACCACTGTCTTGTCCGGAGTACAGTGCCAGTCACGCGTTCAACACGGCCTCGCTTTGCGGGCTGTCGCCGTGTATGGCATTACAGGTCAGCGGATTGGGACGGGATGCGGTCATTCTTTGCGTCCTACCCATGGGGGCAAATTTGCTTCTCGCCAGATGATCCAGACGTCGTTGCTGATTCTGTCACCGATGTGGTACTTCAGGGTATGGAACTATTTATTCCGTTCTCTGCAGTGCCCATCGGAGGCAAATCCCAGCCTTGGTTTGGTCATTCCTGCAAGATGGCATCTCGCCGAAAGCTGGAATGTTACCAAGCCTGGGCTGTCGCGTCGGCGTCTAGAGATGTAAATACTAGCGCCTTTAAAAAGGAGTATAACTTTGCCTCCAGGTCCTTCAAAAGTAGTATTGCTAATGCGAAGTCGAAGCACATCGGCAGAATTGGCGAGAGATTGGGGCGTCTCCCTTCGGGAACACGTGCGTTTTGGTCTCTCTCCAAAGCTGTTTTAGGGAATTTCTGTATGCCTTCTTTTCCACCTCTGCACACGGAGAATGACTCGCTGGCTCATACCGCGAAGGAGAAAGCCGAACTACTGGGCACTCTCTTCGCGTCCAATTCAACTCTGAATGACCAAGGAAACTCACCACCGATAATCCCGCGGTGTGATACTACGATGCCGGAAGTTCAGTTCCGGCAAAGTGCAGTTCGCAAAGCACTTCTTTCCTTGGACATTCATAAGTCGAGTGGGCCCGATGGCATCCCTCCGATCGTGTTGAAGACATGTGCTCCGGAGTTGGCACCGGTCTTAACGCGTCTTTTCCGGTACTCCTATTCATCAGGCGTAGTCCCGAAATCCTAGAAGGCCGCTTTAGTGCACCCGATCCCGAAAACGGGCAACCGCTCGGATCCGTCCAATTACAGGCCTATAGCCATTACCTCCTTGTTCTCTAAGATAATGGAGTCCGTTATCAACTGCCAGCTCCTGCGGTACCTAGAAGAGCACCGGCTGATTAGCGACCGCCAGTACGGCTTCCGTCGAGGTCGCTCAGCCGGTGATCTTCTAATTTACCTGACACATAGATGGGCAGAAGCAGTTGAGACCAAGGGGGAGGCGCTTGCAGCCAGTCTGGACATAGCGAAGGCCTTTGATCGGGTATGGCACAAAGCGCTTCTTTCGAAGCTACCTTCCTATGGGCTCCCCGAGAAATTTTGCAACTGGATCACCAGCTTTTTGGCAGATCGGAGCATTAAGGTCGTTGTCGACGGTGCTTGCTCTGATCCTAAATATGTCAATGCTGGTGTTCCACAAGGCTGTGTACTGTCTCCTACTCTGTTCCTTCTGCATATCAATGACATGTTGCAAATTAGCAACATTCATTGCTATGCAGACGATAGCACTGTGGATGCGCTGTACACTGGCCGCGCTAATATTTCTCGGGAATACGTCGACGAGAGCCGGAACAAACTTGTGTCTGAAGTCGAATCTCTGTTAACCAAAGTCTCGGATTGGGGTCGACTAAACTTAGTCCAATTCAACCCCAAAAAGACACAAGTTTGCGCGTTAACCGCTAAAAAGTCGCCATTTATCGTAGCTCCTCAATTTGAGGACACTCCTCTCTCCCACAGCCAGTATCGGAATACTTGGCGTCGACATCTCAAGCAACGTCCAGTTCCGTGGTCAATTGAAAGGTAAGGCCAAACTGGCCTCAAAGAAGCTTGGTGTGCTCAGCAAGGCGAGACAGTACTTCACGTCGCGTCAGCGTCTTATTCTTTATAAGGCGCAAATTCGGCCCCACATGGAGTACTGTTCTCATCTTTGGGCGGGAGCTCCCCAGTACCAGCTACTTCCATTTGACCGCATTCAACGTAGGGCGATTCGAGTTATCGACGATCAAGCTCTCTCCGATCGGCTTGATCCTTTAGCTCTGCGTAGAGATGTTGGATCACTCTGCATCTTCTACCGCATCTATTACGGGGAGTGTTCCGAGGAATTGTTCGGACTGATCCCAGCTGCTGAATTTCACCATCGGACATCGCGCCAAAATAGTAAATTCCATCCACACCATCTCGATGTCCAGCGTTCCACAACAGTGCGATTTTTAAGGCATTTTCTGCCCCGCACAACCACTCTGTGGAACCAGCTATCGCCGGCGGTCTTTCCGAACCGCTACGACCTGGCCACCTTCAAGAAGAGAGCGTATTCCTTTCTTAAAGGCCGGCAACGCGTCTGCAAGCCCTGCGGTATTGCAGATGTCCATGGGCGGCGGTGATCACTTTTCATCAGGTGAGCCTCCTGCCCGTTTGCCCCCTTAGTCCCATAAAAAAAAACGAGGTGTGGGACTCACCGGCAAATCCAGTACTACCCACTAAACCCAACAAAACCCTCCCCCGTCTTAATGGGGCGTCGCAGGATCGCTTACGCATTCAACTACGCCGCCCCGACGGTAGGTCTGCCGAAGCAGACCACCACAACCATGGGAGTGCTCCAAGGTCCACTCTACTATCAGAGAAGTACCAGGAGCAACCCGCATGGTACTCCGCCCACCGAAGAGGGCCCTGTGCGTTTCTTGGCACTACTGAGCCCCCCCACCACGACAAGGTGAACGCACGATGGGGGGGGAGGCATAACTCTTGCATCTTCTCTCCTAACTTTGATATAAATTTATTTTAGTAACATTGGAAACTGTTTTGTTAATTAATTTCTATTCTATATTTTTGTTAATACCGTTTGTTTCGAAAATAAATAAATAAACAAATGAACGAACAAACAAATAAACAAAAACAAACAAACAAACGAACAAACAAATAAATAAATAAAGCCGCTAGAGGTATGTAGGTATATTTCTACTTACAAAAATAGATTGACGTATTAGATGTTGTGAATTTGATGAAAGTACATAACAAGCGATCAGCAAAGCGGTTGTGAACAGGCACGCGGACGCAGTCGTGAGGAAACCATGGAAAGCAGAACCCATACTACTCGCTTCGGATAGCCCGTACTTTACCAGCAGGCTTTGACATAGACCACCCAGCATCTATAGAATAAAAATACTTATTTATTAAAGTAAGTAACAAAATATAATTTCAATATAGTCCGCGCATAAAAACATTAATTTTATACAAAAACCATATCTTTCTACAATATTTTCTTATCTATACATATAATAAAATTCTAACCGAAATTCTATTGAAATAGTCATTATTATCGATACAGAGGCCGAATCTATAGTTTTTAGGATTTTTATCTGTCTGTCTGGGAACACATCACGAGAAAACCACTGGACAGATTTTGATGAAAGGTATGATGATAGCTGATTATCCGGGTCAACATATAGAATACTTTTTACTGTGGGAAAATACTCGTATAACCTACCTATATTATAATATAATTTTCGTCTTTATTTTCTTTCCAGACTTCATCAAGAACTAGTTATGATAAATAATAATTAATCTCATCAATTCAATAGTATTTTACTCAAACTTTTTTAATTAATAATACTTCCTAGATTTTGTATTTATATACTACATTTGCGAATTGCGATCCGCTAGTTAACTTTGCACGTCCTTCGCAATTTATATCCACTTTTCATTATCACCTAAACTATGAAAATTACATAGTAGTATAGGCAAATTTTATCTCTATTAAGTACCTATTTCTGATGATGAAATAACCTATCATAATAAGCTAATCTATTTTTAGGACCTATTTTTTTACTAACTCTATTTTTTCAGATGCCTTTTTATTATTTAAATACCAAATATTATGTATTAATATAAAATATTTTGAATATTAAGTAGGCATCTGAATGTGACTTACAATTAATACATTTTTTTATATACAAAAATATATTTTTCAAATAAAAAAGTCGCTATATCTGCGATTTTTTTTGGTAGAACTATTAAAGCTACATATTTTCCAACATTGTTTTCATGTACAGTAGTCAGTACCTACATATACATATTAATAAACAAAAAATCACAAAAAACAAACAAACACCGCTCGTTGGTTGATTCGATTTACTAACACAGTCAATGCAAGAAGAATAATTTTAAAAACACCATATAATTGCTAGTTATTGTAGTAGTTTTCGAGATCAGCGGTCAACAATGACAAACGCGCACCGAGAACTTCCTTATATATGTTTAGAGTAGAGAAGAAAAATAAAAATTTTACTTACAGCCTCAGCTAGTTTTATCGCACCATGTTGAGTAGTCAAATAACCAAAATTAAGGCATTCACAACACCTGCAGCAGCAACATTTGATGCCGCCACCACCACCGCCTCCCGGAGCCACTCGCACGATTGTAGGGCCACGAGTCATTGTTTATTAATAAATATATATTTATCTATTATTTATATTATTTTCGCTATAAGTAGTATACTTTTGAACAGTGAAGCCGATCGTTGCGATAGTCAGCGTCCAGACAATATAAAGCAGAACAAATAATGGACCGGCAGGAAATTCTGGAGAGTTAAAATATTTCACCATTCACACATAGCATTAGTCACGTACAATATTTTTAGATGTTTTGCGCCAAACACTAAAAAGTTCACTGAACTACCCCTTAACCTATATTTTTATTTCATTACACTATTCGCTTGTTCTTAGTTTTATAAATATCTAACTTTTCCTACTTATACATATTTTCCTTGTTTAACTTTTTATTATTTAACTCCTGTAGGAAGAACACGTCTGGACACTTGGTAGATTTATTTGTATGTGGCGTGTGTTCATAATTACTCAGTAAAAATAGAACCCCGCACGAGCGCGTCGTGGAGGGTTAATTCTATTTTAAAATTAATGTTTACAATCTTGTGACTTTTATTTTACTAAAACTGTTATATTATCTTATATTTATCTACTCTAGTTTTTCTTAGACTTCAACTTTTTTTTTAATTACTTAGAGATTATAAGTTCTGCGAATGATAAGCTAAAATGATGGAGGAAATTTAAAAAGATCTTATATTTCTTATCAGCTTTATTATAAATTATATGTATAGACATATAAAAGTTCAATAAGTAACACTGATGAAACAAGAGGTTTTTAAGATTTTGAAGAAACCTTTTGCTTATAATAATTTTGCTAAGCCATTTTAGTTATGCTTTTCAACTCGTAAGTACCAGCCTAATTTAAAAATATATTGGACTGTTGTTATAGATTTATCTCAGTACAGAAGTACACTTATATAAATAAAACTTTAACGAGTAGCAAATTATAAAGATTTCTTTGTGTTTTTATTATATTTTATGTTAGGTATGTAAATAGACGTTAGATTACTACATACATAAAAAAATCATAAATTTAATAATATGGCTTCAAAAAGTAATGAAATATTAAGTTTTCTCTCTTAGTCATACAATAAACATTAAAATTTATTAATATTTTCTATTTTTCCTCTAAAAAATACACGACGTTCAAACGTATCCGGGAAATTAATGTATATCAAATACATATACAAAAATATAATTTGGCCTTATTTAAAACGTGGTCTTATGGATGACTGTCTAAATCGGCTCACATTTGTATACCCGATTTCCACACATAATACATATTAGTCAGCACCAACTTATGAAATAGAAAAGTGAAAAATGTTCAATTTAACCATCTACATTGACCATGCTCGTACGAAATCTTACAAATATAATATCTGGTTTTAAACTGACAATAAATTAGGAGAACATTTTTACTTAAACTAAAGAGTAAAAGACTAAATTATGACAGATCTTTAAATGAATATTAACAAGATAATTAGCAATATGTACAATTTCTTTTAACCATAGATATATTGTTCTTCCTATTTGACTTATTATCAATTAAGTTTATGTATTTTTATTAGTATACCAACAATAATATTCGTATTTTTTTTTGTTTCTAAATGGCTTCAAGGGACTGTAAGCCTACTTAACTCTTGATCAATTTTTAATAAAACTGTCCCTATAAAGAAGAAGAAACCACTCAGAGAAATATTAATAGTGCATCCTACCTCTGATATAAAAACGATTTTTTGAACTAAATATGTTATATTTATTGTAGAAGTGTATTAACGAATTGGCTAACGACGAACAGTGTAACTTTTTCTACCAAAGGTCTTCGAAGAGGTACCAGTGATTAACAGAAACTAACTCAAGTGAGTGCAAAGGAAAGAGTAACCGTGTCAAAACCGTTTCAATCAATAGATTTATTTCCCTTTTTAATTTATAAGCAGATGCAATTATATCTTTTATCTATGGATAAAAAGACTGTATGTATCTATATATATATAATAAAATTATTACTAAGTCGTTACATTAAATATTTTTTGGAAAATCTTATTGAAATAGCTATTATTATCGACACAGAGGCCGAATCTATAGTTTTTACAATTTTTGTCTGTCTGTCTGATTATGACGAGAAAACCACTGGACAGATATCCGGGTCAACACAGAGGCTACATTTTTTTTAACATTTTTACTGCGGGCAAATATCTCATCTCTGAGAAATCTATACTAAACGTTATAAGGACGAACCCGAGCGGAACGAGGGTGAGTCGCTAGTTGTATATAAATCTATGGATAAAGTTGATTGTACTTGTCACAAAATCCTATAGCCAATTATAAATTTAGAATTTATATTAATATGAAAATCAACATTTTTTTTAAATAAACAACTTTTGAGTCTTAAATAAAAATTAAATATTGACTAGGTCGTTGCAAACAAAGTCATTTATTAAAATTTATCTTTACAATATAGAAAATAGAAATATATAAATTAATTATTAAATTAGACTTTAAATAAGAAAAACTTAATTCTTAACTTAGGTCAAAAATCATAAAAATATTTTTTTTTACTTATAATTAACATACCTACTCAGTAGTCAGTATAGACCATCTTTTCATCTTTTTCAACCGACTTCATTGTAAAATTATTTTCTTAATAATAAAATAAAATTAATAATAATTCCTTGTAATTTGGGACTTTCATTTCTATTTTAATTTATTTTACATATATGATTTTACTCATGGACGAGTTAATGACTTGTAATAGGCAAGTATTATTATAAAAATGAACAACAATTTAAAAATTGTAAACAGTAGATACAAAAATACTTATTTGTGTACAAAGCAATACAATATAAAATGCATTTAAAGGCTTATATCTCACAAGCGTTTTTAGCAGTTAAGTTAAATGCCGCGATAGGAACGATTCGCTAGGAACGTACTCAGCAGGTATAAAACAGCCATCACCAGACCCATTACCTGCAATAATACAATACATATTATAATAAAATTAAAAAATACAATATTTCTAACGCAATTCGTATAATTCTTATCAAAATTTATAATTTTTGTCATGCTTATAACATTTTTATTTATTACTGAAACATCATTTGTTCTATTAATGTTTAAATAGCATTCATGGTGATCGAAAACCACCGTAGTCATCATCGTCGTCATGGAGTCTCATCAAGAACAAAGAAAAATTAGTTTAAATAAACGTCAATAGATGGCGTAATTTGTACATCATTGATGTTAAAGTAAAATTTCGGGATAGACATTAATTTCTCATATAGAACACACTGTTCCCTTAAACAGAGATTTGTGATTTGTCATTTTTATTTATTTTTTTAATTTAGGAATTAAAATTTACTTAATTGTTATGTTTTTGTTAATCCCAATTATATAACTGCATTATCTATAAGAACATAATATATAAAAGACATACCGCTGCTGCTAAATATGGCTCGAAATCTTGCCTGTAACTACTCTTTTGATGGTTGACTTCAATCATAAGGGTGAGACCAGCTGACAAGTATAGAATGAACGCAACACCGTGGTATATGACTTCCTGTAAACGAATTAAATAAGAAGTATAATGTATACCTATTAACTTACTATTATAATGAAACTGAAGAGATTTGTTTGAATGCACTAAAATCGACTCAAATTGACAGGCCGATTTAAAGATTTATTATTTTCAAACTATCATACTACGAACTTTAGGAGTGGTCAAAAGCTGGTACTTTTTGCTCTTATTTTTAATCTATATTTTTTAGATAAATAATAATAATGTTTATATGCGTGATGTAAGGTCACCTTAGTCAATCCCACAGAGAATAGCCATATGCGCAGGAGATAATAATATAGTACTCAAGTGTACGCGCAAACATAAGTACACTCTTTATTCCTGTCACTCTCATACTCCGGTGGGACGACGCAAGACACGACCGATGAGAGTTAAGCCTAGTTCGCATTAAGCCAGTATTTTAGTCTAGTAGCGAGTAATTTAGTAACTAAACGTGTCTGAACACTAAAAATTTAGTCGATTAGTTTAGTAAGTAATTTAGTCGAGTCAATCCATTTTATTCTATTTTTTTGGGCGAGTAACAGCCCCCACCACGCGTCCGAGCTCACTGGTTCACCGGCTAAACAAGTACGAACCTGTCGAATTAGTCGAGTTCATTAGTTGCCGCCATAGTGGCAAGAAAGTATAGAACTGCTTGTAATTTTGTAATTGCAGGAATCGCACTTCTTAACAGAGTATCTTTACGCTGAATTTGAGAGTGTATTTTCATTAACAGAAAATTTACACAACTTTCGGACATTCTCAAACTATCGAAGTATTCTTTGGGATCTTCCAATGCTAATTCCTTCAGAAGACAATTAGTAGCTCCTAGTTTATCTCGTCTTTCGATCCATTTTCGTACCCATAGCTTCTTTTTATTAAGCACACAAATTTCGTCATCCACCTCTTCTAAAATAGCCGTTACGATCAGCTTAATCAGTTTATTTACTTTATTGCGTTGTAGGCTGTTCATCTTGCAAAACACCACTCACTTGTAAACTGTACTCGACCAAAGTACGAACGATTTTTGGTGAGTAGCGAGTAATTTAGCTACTAAATTACTCGCTACTAGACTAAAATACTAGCTTAATGCGAACTAGGCTTCAAAGCGCAGGACCGACGGCTTTATGTGCTCTCCGAGGCACAAGGGTAAAAGACCATCATCTTCCCATCTCCAGGCTTTTACTGAGAATTTCTTGACATAAAAACTAAATAGCTACACTTGACCCTCAGGACTCGAACCCGGTATTTAGACTTAAATAGGCATTATTGTGATTTTTTCTCATAAATCATAATATAGTTTTAAAAATGAGAAAGAATTACCAAAAATATGATAATACTGTACTTATCTTCGTTATTATAATTTTTTTAATCTATAAAAATATTTTGAAATAAGTATTACGAATTTTAACTTACATACAATGTTTTGGATATCATAGTAGCCGTCGAGAAAGACATTATACATGATAAAAGTAAGCAGAATGTCCCAATTAGGAACGTCACAGAAATCAACAAGTAAAATAGTTCTGGCTTCTGTCCATTATAGCGGGTATACCCTGGCTCTAAGTAATACCCCACAACACCGACGCACGCTGCTCCTAATAACTGAAAAAATGTGAAACACAAATATAATAAATAAAATCATAAATAATCATTCTTTAAGCTTGAAATATTCCTATGTACTAATCTAAACATAGCATATACATATATTGTAAACAGTGCAAAAACTCATTTTTACCTCATCACATTCACACTCTAAATAACTTATGCTTTTTCAACTCTCAAGTTACTTAAAGATTTATTAAATTAAATGAAATGAAATAAAATTCAACTGTTTCAGTAAAAACTTTTATATGTACAATAAAAAAACCTTTTGAACCTCTACACCTTTTCTCGAGTAGTGCCCGATTAAATACACGATAGCTATAATAACATGCTTTATTTTGTTAGCATATTTCGCCATTTAATAATTAATAGATGGCGCTGCACAGAATTAGATCGCTCTAGTTTTTACCTTTTATACGTATTAATATAGATTTCTCTTTATTTTACGGCTTAGTATAGATTTCTCGGAGATGAGATAATTTCCCGCATTAAAAGGTATTCTACGTATATGTTGACCCGGATAACAGACAGATAGACGGACAAAAATTCTAAAAACTATAGATTCGGCATCTGTATCGATAATGATGACTATTTCAATAAGAATTTCCAAAAAATATTTAATATACAGATTTGACTCAATTAGAATTTTATTATACTCGTATGTAGGTATAGATCGCGAGAGACAGAAGGTAAAATATAAAAACTTCTGTTAAAATTGATAGAACAATTAAATATCAATATTATTATGATTAACATTATCACAAAGTCTCTCATATAGTATTTAAAGAAGGTTCATGAGTGCTCTGTGCTATAAATTAAAAATCTTCATTGGTGCAGTTTTGCCTCGCTTAAAATAAATTGTGCCTGCTCAATGTTGCGATACCACCGTCCTAAAATATCTCGAGAGCGTGCATGGCAATTCGTAAAACTCAGGTCTTTCGTATAAATTTAATGTTTAGGAGGATATAAAAAAGGTTTTTTTCTAATGTACATAAAAAGACCTAAAGTACCTAGTACAAACGTGACAGAAATAGACAGGGAAGGATAATACATAGTCTTTATCTTGAGGAAAATTGTATATATATATATATATATATATATATATATATATATATATATATATATATATAATCCGCCCAAAAGCAGCGGTATTTGTCTGAATATGGAAACAAAGTATGACAATAGTGTTAATACATATCAATCGTCATTATGAATGAGTCAAATTTATTTCTGAGAACGAACAAATAGCCTTACTGTTTTTCTATGGTATATTACAAAATACTTTAGAGGATATACTTAAAAAGACATTATAATAATTCAGACCTTTTAACGTTCTACTGCTGTGTGCGGGCCACCTATTAATGCGATGGAGAAAGTCGTATATATAATAAATATATCTATATATACTAAAAAATATGTTTACTATTATAAATACTCTTCTACTAACTCTCTCCTGACTCTTCCTATCTAATTAGAGTGAAAAATAGTGTAAGTGGAGAAATAAATGTAGCTCCTATATTATTATTTTAAACGTAGCTACTTAGGACGATGATTACGAAACAGTTTGTTCGAGAAGATTCGGTTTTACTTTGACTTAAATACGCTTTTCCATAATACTTTATATATGTATGTTTAGTGTTAATATAAAAATTAATCATGATTTTTATGAATGATGTCTACAAATCTGTTTTGGATTAACGAGATTAAGATAGATATTATCACTTAATAAAAACGCAACCATTCGTCGCTTAAACCAAGCCCCTTTTCACACTCGCCTGTAAAAACAATGGCGGTAACGCCAGCGCTGACATCATCCATCTACGATTCAAGGAAAATCGGAAGGAATTATAGTTTAATGTTTTCGTACTTTCATACATCCGAAGGCTTAATTAAAAAGGAAAATGATGTAACATAATTTTATATATCACTAGCCTAAAAATACATTATGAGTAATTATCGGATATCGAGTCACCAAATAACAAACGTTACAAGGAATTTATTTAGATAATACTCGCTAATGCTTACAAATTCTTTTGTAATAACAATTAGAAAGGTATAGCTGTAACTTTATATATAAGTTTTATATTTTATAAATTCATGCCTATTTTAATTTTTATAATTTAGAACATAAATTTATAAACATTATTTAATCTATAAATGTTAATACGTGATATAGAATGTTAATACGTGAAGCAAAAACTCTGTACCCATATTTACGAAAATTGCGTGGACGGAGAAGTATGAAATTTCTCACACTTATAGTTAATATAGAGGAGTGCAGAATGCTAATATTTTTTTAAATTATCCAAAAAATATATACATTAAATCAATAAAAAAAACATTACACACACTACCATGTATTTGACACACACTCATAATACTCTTTTGTTTATTGTTAAAGTTTGTGGTCAAATTGAGAATTATGTATTAATACGTGAAGCAAAAATTTTGTATCCCTTTTTAAGAAAAATCAATAATAATCATAGTCGCAGTTCGACCACTCGGCGAACTCTAGTAAAAATAATTTATTAATCAGCTGTCTTTCTACAGTCGTTGTCAAATAGAAATCTACAAAATATAATATGGGAATGACATGGGCAACATCGGAAATGTAATGAGCGTTCATTAGGCACTTTTTGAAATCATTAACAAACAAGAATTTAAATTAAAAATTTAAAATACCCCCGACACAATAATCTACTCATCGAGGCCATTTCAATGTGCCTAAACACGATATCATTGTAGTATTTTAATAAAAAATTGAGTATCTTGCAGATTCCAGGTGCGGCTGCAGCATCAGTTACTATATCATTACATCTCATACCATGTCATTAAAGTACCGACATGGAATTTGCTCATATCCTTTTCTTCTTCTTCTTCTTCTCCCTGCCCATTGCCCAATCTGATTTGGCAAAAGTTTTACAACCAGCCGCCTGCCTGACGTCAACCCACCTTGGGAATGCTATTGCTCATATCCTTTTACTGTCTAGAAAAGATAACCTGCACACGACTGAACAGATTTTTTTGATTTATAGCTAAGAAAAAACTAAATTAAAATCGGTTCATCCGTTTGGGCGCTCTATATCGACAGACACACAGATACATAGATAAACACGTCAAACTTATAACACCCCTCTGCCAACACGTCTAGCGTTAAAAAGTACATAGATTAAATTGGTCAAATTTTCGATTTTTTTTATTTTGAAACGATTGTAGAATGGCATCTTGTCTAAGCTCTTAATATCGTCACTAAAGAGGTATTGTTTTTCAATTTTGATTCGTAACATTTCTATATAACATTAAAATGTTCTTACCAATTGCGCAAGTTTTAGGAGCCCTGGTAAGGTTCCGAGGTAGCCTGTATTAATAAATAATGAACTGCCAGATGTGGTAGTGGTTGTCCTCGTGATCGTGACCGAGTGCGACATTGTGGAATGCAGCTAAAAATGAAATATATTATTTACTTATTATATTATAATCTTTAGTCCTTAATATTATTAAATACCAATATAGACTTTGTATATTAATCATGTTTTGGTAGATTATTCAATAATATGAGAAAATTTAAGTCAATAATTAAACTAATTACTTTCTTATAAATTGTTTTTATTTAATTATTGAATTGTAAAATAATAGTAATTAGTTCTATTCCTATCCTGTACAGCGGTTCCCAAATGGTGGTCCGCGGAACCCTAGGTTTCCGTGTAAGGATCACAAGGGTTCCGAGTTCCATCCGAGAGTTAAATAAAATGTTATCACACATGAAGACTGATTTTAGTGCCGTTATAAATAACAATATGAAAAAAAACATTTATCGCATTAAATAGACTATATTTTTGGTGTAGAATATTATTATTTTTCATTTATAATTTGCTCTTTCAAGTCCAACAAAAAAAATATATTAACTACAATAAAATTAGTTTAATTATTATTAAAATGGGGATCCGTTAAAAAATATGATCAACTAGGGTTTCATGGCCAAATAAAATTTGGGAACCGCTGCATTAGTATATACAATTTAATAAAAATATAGAAAAACACTAAATTATATCTTTGAATTCACTTGACAAAGCTCTATATATATATATATATATATATATATATATATATATATATATATATATATATATATGATAGAGCTTTGATAGAGTCTTATTATTAAATATATTCCATTAAATATCGACGTCCTAGAATGGTGTGGTATTAAACAAACGCACAGACAAAATGTCTATTGATTTACATCCAAATACTAACTAATTTATATAAACGTACGGGACATATCTCATGAGTCATTAAGTTCAATCTTTTATTAACTACCTTTACATGTTGTTACGTATATAAGAAAAAGAAAGTATTGAAATTTAAAATACTTTTGTATAAACATTAGTGTATTACGACTCTTTTCATAACGTAGGTTTTCCAAAACATTCGTCGTATTTAGAAATGTCTCATCTCCGAAAACGGAGTAGTTGGTCAATGAGTTCTCGGCAGCAAGGTTTATGTGTCGAGGCCGCCTGCTCCCAAGAATAATCTACACGAATTAAGTACTCCCCGCGTAATCGTCGACTTATTATTCTTTCAATAAAATGATAACTTAAGACTTTTTAAATAATATTTATTATTTATATATTATATAAATAACTATATAAATATTTTTGGACATTAACACACAGCACCATCTAGTTCCATGGTATTCCAGATAGTTGATACACTACACATTTATAACTTTAAATATATACATATTATAAATATAAGCACCCATAACTGGAGTACTCACATTCGCGCTCATCACACAAATGAATGCCCCAAGCGGGACTCGAACCCGCGACCGCTGGCACAGCAAGTAGTCAGTCACTACAAACTGAGCCAAACGTGTCGTCATTTTATTTTTGAAAGTAAAAGAGTAACCAATTTCTAAAAAACGTATTATTACCCATGCGTTGGTCATAAGGAATTCAAATATTTTACCTATATTGTGAACTAAACTTTATTTTTAAGCCGGTTATTTACACATAATATAAACAAATATATTCAAAGAAAAAAATTAATATACAATTAACATAACGTAATGGTTGCTTCATTTAGTATTAATTTTTTTTTCAATTACATATTCTGGCAATAACTAAAATTATAATGCACTACATGTAAATGATGATTAAATGACACACCTACGTTCATTGCATTTCAATTGCTTAGGTATATAATGAAAAATGCTTCTAACGAAAAATTAAGTGTTCTAATTTCATACATGTTATCAGATAAAATTAGTATCTAAAATATTGAGACGTTAGTTAACTTACGATTGTTTATATCTTCCACCAACTGGTTAACGCGGTAGCGCGACAGAGCGCTTACGAGCAACTGCAACTTGGGCTCTGACTCACAGCACGAGCACTTGTTGTTTCGCCCATGCGCAATGTCAGGCAGACATTTTCGACCTACCTATAGTATATATAAAAGTAAAACCAAGATCGTCCCGTTTATGGACTACAATTCTTTATTCTTCAAATTGTTAAATTATGTAGACTACAAATATTTTAAAATAAAGGTATATGTTCTATTGATGATATTTTAACTGTACGTAGAGTCGATAAAGGAAATATTTAGCCTTGAAAGCTTGTGATATTTTCTATTTATAATTATTTAATGCAATAATTTAAAAAAAAATGAGTTTATTCTATAATTAAATATCAATGAACATAGAGATTACAGATTAGAGATACATGGCGCCACATCACGAGAGAAGCAAGACTCGACAGAGACATGATCACGACCACTCTGTCAAGAGTGAACGACTAAGAAGAAGAAAAAAAAATTAAAAAAAGTCACGGAATTATCTACTTTTAATATTATAAGGGTAATTAATACAATTATAAATGCTTCGAATAAATTTTAAAAATAATAATTGTTAATAGCAAACGAAAGTAATAAGGATTGAATTGAAAAATAATACCATGAATGCGAATCTAAATACTATTAAAAATTTATATAGTTTAAGTTCAAGTTGATTGAGTTCATCTTTTTTGAGCAATAATTTATTAATAGCAATTATTTTCACGTTTTTATAGCGTTTTGCAATTATAAAATTGGTTTTACTTATGTATTATTCATACTTAAAAATGTTAAATTGTTTTCCCGGCATTAACATATTTACTATTTATATCGCTGTACCTGCCACTACCTACCTACACCTAGATCTACGCAAGCAACATAATAATAACGAAGTTTTAACGTAAATAACATAAAGTACTAATTCTATTGTACTATAATATAGGATGTCTCAAAATTCACACTACATTTACCTAAATTAAATAGAAATTACATTAAAAAAAAAACAAAGAAAAGAAATTAGTTTTTTTAATGAAACATTTAAAAGTAGATAGACTAGGGTTATGTACGGAATAACATATTCAGCAAATGGCCTCCTCGGCATTGCTTTGACATACGCACTCTTTTATCGGAATTTTCCATGATTTTGAAAATGATTTCGTTATCCATACTTTAATATTATAATTGTGAAAGTGTGTTTGTTTGTTTGTCCTTCTTTCACGTCGAACCGGAGTGACGGATTGGCGTTATATTTGGTGTGGAGATAGTTGGAGGGCTGGAGAGTGACATAGGCTTTATATACTTTTTACCGCGGGAGATTATCTAATTCCCACGGGAAAACACGTTATAATACAATCCAAAAAGATATTTATGATCACAATTACTTGAAACTTGGCATTCTATCTTTCAAACGAAACTTCACTTTAGCAGTTTTATTGAGACCTCAGAAAGTATGTAATACAGATAGTGTGCGGTGTGATAATATGCTCGTCCGTTGTCCTAGACTTATCTTGTAGGGTCTAGAGGCAGACAATCGCTTCTTAAGGTCGGTAACGTTAGTATGTTTTGCAGCGTGGGCAGCACTAGGCCTGATAAAACTCTCGTTTTGTTTTAGAAGCTGTAATTTTTTTTTTTAGTCTCTCTACTCTAGTATAAGATGCATTATACCTAGCAAGAAAACATTTCATTCCACGTACCTACTTACAGGACTAAATGTGCCCATCGAGAAGCCTACACGCTTCAAGTGCACTTTTACGGCAACTTTGTGTATCGGAAAGGAAATTGCAGAAATCGTGGACTTTGTTGCCTTACCATAAGAGAGATTGCCGATAGCAATAGTACATATATTACGATTCATGTGCTTAAGTAATTTATTATTGCACAGCGTGAGTTAAATTGTTGCTTAACGCCGGTACCTTAGAAAAATATTTCGCACAGACTATTCTCTATAGAATTCCCCGATTTTGGTTTTATTTTATTAAAACTATTTTTTAAAAACCTTCATCTTTTTATGTGTCCTAGCATTCACCTAGAGGTCGAAATTTGACCATAATCATTATTGAAAATTTGAGGAAAACAACAAACGAATAAATGTTTAATTTACCTATTTATATATAAAAAACTAACCGTTTTCAGAAAAAAATATTGATAGTTCACTAAAGCTCGTCAAGAGCTACATTAAACAAAAATAACAAAGGACACAAAGGTAGGTACTACCCCACAAGTATACAAAAATCAATACAAAATAATATTTGTATTATTTTATTTTTTATTTGAAAGGTAAATAGTTAAATACCACTTTCTGTGTATTAATTACAGTTTCATACAAACTTTCATTTCCTATTTTACCCACTAAAACGAAAAATCATTTCTTTATCGGTTGCCTACATCATAAAAGGAATACGTCCTCCAAATTTCACATTTCTACGACCAGCGGTTTAGGCTGTGTTGTTCCATCATTCAATCAGGACCACGTACACAGGATGCACCTCTGCTTCTCAATACTTCTTTCAGCCGGTCTAACTTCCAGGTATAATACATTGCACAGTGAATGTAAATAGATCATACGTGTAGCGCTCTCCTTTCAAGAAATCTTCCCCATTGTGGATGCATTTTCATACTTTTTTTTAAATAGTGATCTTTAGAGCAATCTGTCCTGTATACATTTAAAAAAATTTAATTCAAAATACGAATTATAATAAATTTTAAGTTTTAAGTCATTTTAAAGTGTATGTATTATATTAACTTAACAAATAAGTTTTTTATTAGTACTTACTAGCAACTCGTCCCTCTTCGTCCCTACGCCGTTCGTCCCTAGTTACGTTTTAACGTTTAGTATAGAATTCTCAGAGATGTGATATTTTCCCGAAGTAAAAAGTATCCTATATGTTGACCCGGATAACCAGCTACCATCATACCAAATTTCATCAAAATCCCTCCAATGGTTTTTCCGTGATGCGGTAACATATAGACAGACAGACAAAAATTCTAAAAACTATAGATTCGGCGTCGATAATAATGTCTATTCCAATAAGATTTTCCAAAAAATATTTAATGTACAGATTCGTCTTAGTTACAATTTTATTTTATGCTAGACTAGTTACTACTTAATCAAAAAATGTATATATATAAAAATATGAGTATCAGTGACCTCAACGCGTCTGCATGTTAAGGTAAAGGTTGCAAATTAACTTTGATACTTGGACATTTGATTACGTACATGGAATGGAATTCGTAATCGTCGTCATCAAACTTAAATACTTATACTAGCTATAGTATGTATTAAAATACAGCTCTAGAAGTCGCTACGCCCTACATATTAACAGTGTGTGTGGAAATTAATTGGTTCAATTAACCTTAATTGTAGACAAAAAACTATTAAGATAAAGAAGACTGACTTATACAATAAAAATATAAGTATCTACATGTGTATATGTTTTTTTTTTAACTAAAATAAAACAATGCTATGTTAACACGTGTTTATTTTATTATCTCTTTACATTTTAGTTATTTTAAGCTATTGTGTATATAATTTTCGTCGCATTCTAACGTAAGGTACTTAGGTATGAAGTCATTTTATATTTCTTAACTTAACAACAACTGCCACGTTTGTATGAACAACATTATTGTACAAAATATATAAAAATATTAGGTACATAATACTATGGTAAAACCATTACTTTGCACCGAATCTAATGCTTGTAGTGAAATTACTGGAATTTTACAAAAATTAACTATTTCACAACCGTTATTATCGACAGAGTTGCATGTCAAAGTTGACAGAGTTTTTTGGGATTTATATCGAGATTAATTAACAAACAAATATAGATATTTATAATGTATTCAAAACGAACTTGCACATTTTCATTCTTATATAAAATAACACTATGGGACTTGTATATTACACATACTTTTAAGTGGCAAAATGACTTGTTCCCGACTTTTGAACCAAGACACGACGTTTGACAGTCTGCCCGTGACCACGGTTGGTGCAACCAGTGTTCTGCCATTTATTTAATACGCTCTAAACAACTATAGATGATCTTTAAATCCCTTAATGTTATTTTATTTTACATTTTCATTCTCTTGTGTTTTGTAATAACAAAAAACGAAGGCGTAGAAGGCAGGATGTTTTATTCTATCTGTATATAAATTCGACTAGTTGTATTGACCTCGCTTATAATAATATGATCGATTATTTTGAAATGAAAATAATGATAAATGTGCAATGTGCTCAAAGTACAAATATACGAGGATGTTAGAAATCGTGGCATACACAGAAAATCGTTATTAATTATAACTAACAAGTAATATATGAGAAATCTTAATGTATAGAAATAGAAGTTAATGTAAAACATTACCACAAACATAACCCATGTAACACTCCATGAAACATATCTTAAACAGTCACTCTGTATGGACACAATCGATAAATAAATAATATAATATGTATTTGATATAAACCAACCCAAAAAGTACGTGGTACTCTATCGACTACCCTATGGCCATTCATTTTTGTGTGACAATATTAAAAAATACCTAATAATGAAGTATATAATAAGTAAATATTTTTTTCATTAATTGTTAATAATCGTCAAATTTAATTAAATAATTAAAAGACTGTACAATGCACAATAATAAAGTTTTCTGTGAAATAAAATTAAAAACAACAAGCATTGTTCTGATGTTGCGCAGGCGCAGATTTCTCACGCTGCCGCGCTGGCCACGCTGCTCCTATGCTCTTGGAACAAGAAGTACGAGCTAGCCGCGTACGCCAATGTATTAAAAATACCGAACACCTGGAATAAATAATAAAACATTTTTTGTTATATATTTAGGAACAGATGAAAAATCTCAAACTCGCCACTTTACATTTTAATATACATACGTCCTTGAATTTAGATGTCCTTATGAACGCAAAAAATCTTAATAATTATAAGCGTCGCTACGCGAACATGTACGCACAATTAAGTGTTTTATTATGCTTAGATGAATGGTAAAACAGCTATAATTTACATCTTGATTCTTTTCTTATAGCCAGCTCAACTCATTAATAGTACTGGCGTGATTCGCATATAAAAATGACGACACTTCATAAAATAGAGGCTAAAAGCAAAGGAGACTTCCATCTAATTGTTTATTTAACTATACGATATTTATAGACGAAAACCAACCAATCATTTTATTAGTACGTACAGTAGATCCATGCTTAGAATCTATAAAAGTGAGTTGATTTTGATATTTTAAATATCGTATTAAACATTAATAATGAACGTATTATGAATCATGTAAATCAATTATCATGTATATTTTTTGTATAAACATATGTTACAAACTAACATCTATCAAAAAATATTAAATCTTATAGATTACTATAAATAAATATAACTCACCCTCGCTCCGCTCGGGTTCGTTCTAGTTACGTTTTAACGTTTTAATTTAATAGTATACATTTCTCAGAGATGAGATATTTTCCCGCAGTAAAAAGTATCCTATATGTTGACCCGGATAACCAGCTACCATCATACCAAATTTCATCAAAATCCCTCCAGTGATTTTTCCGTTATGCGATAACAAACAGAGACAGACAGACAAAAATTCTAAAAACTATAGATTCGGCCTCTGTATCGATAATAATGTCTATTTCAATAAGATTTTCCAAAAAATATTTAATGTACAGATTCGGCTTAGTTACAATTTTATTATATATAATACATATAATATATAATACATGTATGTAGTAGTATGTACATATGTATGGCATATAATATGTATAATGTTTTATTATGTGTACATATAATATATATTTATTTAAGTATTTATATTTGAGTAACTGCACTTTAGCCTGCTTTTTAATACTATCTCTCCAACTCACTTAGGTTGACTGGAAGAGAGAGAGATAAGTCCACCTTTGCTAACTAATTTTATTGTTTGTTAATCTCTGTATTTTATATATAAGTGCAATAAAGAATAGTAATATGTATAGACTTACAGCAGCAGCCACGTTACGTCCATAATTGCCATAAACGGACGTGAACATGACTATGAAAGCAACCAGGTAGAAGAATGTCTCCAAGCTCGTGCTTATGAGTTCCTAAAATAGAAATATAAATTATATTTTAAACGACTATAAGTACCAAAATAATATAAAATATACAATTATTTGCACAAACCCGACTACGTAGATTGTGTATGTATAATTTCTGAACTGTTAAGGGTCGATTGATGTTGCATATACAATGTTAACCTTCCCTTGCCCCTATTACCTTCCCAAATAAATAGGCTTTGAAAATCAAATTGTAATGGCAGTTCTAGAGATTAGCACGTTCAAACAAACAAGTAACTCTTCAGTTTTATTGTATACATTATACATATATTACTAGGTATGCCCCGCGGTTTCATCCGCGTTAATTTCGTTTATAAAACTCAGTTTTACAATAATGTGTAGAGGTCTGCTCGATTTGTTAACATTTATGATTACTGCTCCGCTCCCTTGGGCAGTAGCCCAAGACCTTTAAAAACGGGCTATGTAATGCAAAAAGAATTTATCAAATTGGATTGATAGTTTCTGAGATTAGCGCATTCAATCAAGCAAACAAACAAACTGCCTCTTTATAATATTAAATATAGATTATGTATATTACTATAGCAACAGATTTTATACTAGAGAGAATTACTAGTTTCTTGTACAACATATTTGTTAATAATAGGTAAACTTATTAAAAAATATATCTTCATTCGACTGAGTTTAAATAAAAAGTAATATCAAATATTTTATGCTTACGTTTAAAAGGATTACATATTATGTATTATACGTATGTCAAATAGACGTCAGTGGGTCAACATCGTCGACTTTCACCTCACGACTGATCATTTTTCTATCTCTAAATTTCCAAATTATACTTACTTTTATGTGTATATGTATACTAGTGGCTCACCCTCGCTTCGCTCGGGTTCGCCTCTAGAAACACACTAATAAAGACCTATTAGTTCCCACGGGAACCGTTTATTTTCCGGGATGAAAAGTAACTTGTTGTTTGACCGGCAATATAAGGTATCAGAATGTTAAATTTTACTAAATTAGGTGCATAAGTTATTGTGTACTAAGCTGTATAAGATACTAAAGTTTTTTAACTATCCCACGGGAACTATTTAATTTAATATAGATATTGATACAGAATACTTACAGATAGTGTCCAATTGATGGGTATCTTCAGAGCTTCTCTGATGCTGAGGAAGTACACGAAACTCCACATAAGCGTGGTGATGAAAGATGTCACCGCCACGAACACATACCACGCGGAAGCCCAGGGTGTCCCCAAGGACATACACAGAATACCTATAACCTGAAACAAAAGAAATCTTGTTATATTATTTTTATACATTTTTTACATTGAAATACGTTTTTTCAAGACAATTTTATTGTTATAACCAGAACTTTTGAAAAAATAATTGCTATATAATATGTAACAATTGAAGCTGATATTTTTTTTTATTGATCGATTGTATGTTTATTATGTTCCATTTCATTCATAGTTTATTTGTATGAAAAATTAATCTCTATATATAAAACTATAAGACTGTAACTAAAAAAAAGGTATATTTATAGAAATTACCTTTGAATTCTAGTATACCTCATACACGCAAACCGTCTAGACATCACAGGGTCTAGACAAAACTTTTTATTGATTAATCCCTTTATACCTAAACTAGCGTATGTTTTAGTAGTTGCTTAATTGTATTTGTTTTTAATGATAGAGCAATGGATAATAATTAGCCTATTATAAAAACGGTGACACGCACATTATAATGTCAATTAACTTAAGTGGAAGGACGTATTAAAGCAATTTTATTTAAATCGTAATAGGGTTTTAGACGGGAGCCATCACCCAACACTCTCTCTCAGGTAAGAATAAAATAAGCACTCAAACTATTTTTCCTCGCACACAATCGTACAAATTAACAAATAGAACATATTTGTAACTTATTAGCTTTATCAATGCGATAATATTGCAAAGATTAATTTATATTTCAGATATTTCTATTCAAGCATCTATACATATAATAAAATTGTAACTAAGCCGAATCTGTACATTAAATATTTTTTAGAAATTCTTATTGAAATAGACATTATTATCGATACTGAGACCGAATCTACAGTTTTTAGAATTTTTGTCTGTCTGTTACCGCATCACAGAAAACCCACTGGAAGGATTTTGGTGAAATTTGGTATGATGATAGCTGGTTACCCGGGTCAACATATAGGATACTTTTTACCGCGGGAAAATGTCTCATTTCTGAGAAAAAATACAAAAACTGCAATGTAAGAGTACGTAACGTAACTAATATGTAAAACCCAAGAATTTGGTTTTTAGTCATCTGAACGCGGGCGAAGCCGCGGGCAATGCACGTCTACTATAAAAGAAGAAGAATTCATTGAACAGCGTTATAGTTTATATGTTTAATCGTAAACAGAGATAAACGGCCAGTACTCTTTTTACGTGACGGGACCTGTATACGATATAATACGAGAATAGACATTAAGTAAATACAATAATAAGTTATAAGTTGTATTAAGTATTGAAATACATCAATAATAATGTAAGTGATCAAGTTATTACAATGCATTTTCTATGATGATGTTTAACAGAAATAACTAGCGGTAATGCGTTAGTACCACTAGGGCAACGGTGTCCATCGAAACCTCCCGTACGCCGCGCCGCACCACAAACCGGTTTCATATCTCCGCGCCGCGCTCCGCCTGCGATCCATCGCCGATACCATGTTGTCGTAATACTCGCAAACAGGTGTTCTTTTAAGAAATCCTTAATTACTTATTCGCGATAAAGTATAAACCAATAATTAACAACTCATCCATTATATTAAATATTATTATCTTGTTTGTGTGAAGTCTAAATATTGAAACGTTGCACGGATTTATATTGATAGGATTCCGATAATTTAGGATAACTTAACGTAACAAAATAAGTTCTCACCTCCCGGTAAATTTCTAAGAAATGTATTGTTAACTTTAACGCCGGCGTGTCCACGGTCGTTGAGAGATTAGTATTGTAAAAAATAAGCTGGTATGCCAATAAGACAAAAGCTATCAAAAGCTCCGAGATCCACAAAAAATACAGCTAAAATTATCTTATAGTACTAATTTTATGTACAATCCTTGTATATGAAATCATTTCTAAATTAATAAAGTATGTAATATAAATATGCGAGATTTTAGAGGTAAATTAAATGAGAACAAACATTGATGTCACGTGTGTGACATGTCGGCAGTTGGTGAAAGTAGCGTGCCTACGCGCTGTGTTGCCGCCATGCATACGTATGGGACGCGACCGATATTCAATTTCTATCAATGTTACTACAAACCTTCGACGCTTTTACACGTAGAGTTTCGCTCTACATAACAAAATGTTACCGGATATCCGAAACAAATACAGTTTTTTTTTAACTAATTTAAGATTTTTTTAACAACTAATTGACATTTATTTTTTGTGACAGTTGTTTTTACGCATAGAGCCTTTAACAATAAAGTATAAACAATTTAGTATTTTTTCTATGCATACACGTATGTTAACAAATATACATGCATTACGTGTTGAACATCTACGGAACTGCTTCTAAGCGTGCATAGCTTAACTGGCATACATATAAGTCATTAGAAAGTTTAACCTAGAGTGTTGTAAATTAATTTTCAATAGCCAATAAGTTGGTATCGACAGTTATTTAAATGGCTTTGATTGGTTAAAAATCGATCGATTTTTGAATTCGAGATGTATTTTAAATATGTTGCTAGTATCCTTACACCTAAACTTTTACATTTATGAGTATACGACACTTACGCATAGTGTATTTAGGTAGGTATAGTAATTGTTATACGTTCATCGTACAACCTTCAGACTAACATAACATATGCATACATTTAACATACTAACTGTACAAATTTTAAATATCCATCACTGGTTATTGCAAATACATACATATATTGATCAATTTGTATCATTTCACAACTTTTCAGGGTCGTAACGATTTAAGATTTATCCATAGGGTCTAATCACGAACAAAGAAAAATTAGATCAAATAAATGTCAATAGATGACGTTACATGTATCGATTTGTTATTAAAGTTGTGTAAATACAATTTAACAAAACAATTAACAAAAGGTAAAAAAATAGATCCCAAAAAGATTTATTATTGTGTTAAAAAAAGATTCTTAGTGAAGAGAAACGAAATGATGGGCCCGTAAACCAAAGCGTAATTTTACTGATTATTGAAACATCAGCAATCAGATGATGGGTCTGTAGTGTATATTCACAGATTTATAAATTGATAAAATCACTAAACTTTTTATTCGAATGCAGGATAAATTTTACAATATTTATTATTTACCATACGTTAACTTGTACATATTTATAAAATAAAATAGTTCAATTATTCGCGAATCAAGGTAATCTATTATCTATTCAAGCAAAAAAATTGCCCGAAATAGCCCGAAGAAACTTTATTTCTGTATTGGATAAGGCATCTCAGCATTTGTGCTAGTATAGTATTATGTGATCTGTGATTTATCAATTTTGATTTCCGCAGGTATTAGGTACATCCCGACTCTTGATTACTAATAATCCAACAGGAAGTTCAAAAACTTCATGTTCCTGATAGGTAAGAAGTCTAGTCTTTCCACCAGCAGATTAGCTATCTATATCCAAAAAAAATCGTCTTTATTTCCGTTGCTAAATGAAAAAGGGCAAGTCAACAAACGAAGGAAGTCATTTTGTATTTATAATATAAAATAGTAATAGTAATTTCCGTGTTAATTATATAATTTCGTAAATAATGCATTGAGTAATGTTAAATACTAGAATTGCTTTATTACATTAGAAACGACACGGATGTTACCAATGCATAAAGTGAAAATATTGTGAAGTAACATTCGGGTCAATTCATATGTAAACCGACGCACCCGAAAAAAACATTGATTGTTCATCGACCATACTTCCGCACAAATGTAGCTGCGTCTGATAATGCAGATATTTATGAGATTTGATTCAAGCTTATCAGCTCTACATATAATAATACTATTTTCTTGTATTTTTTTTAAAACAGTATTCATTTTAAATAAAACTATCTTTTCGGATTATTTCGCGGATTTATTTTGATTTTTAGTCCCCGACGTTTCGAATGCTTTACAGCAATCATGGTCACGGGAGAGACTAAGGTTATAGACGTCTCAAACACATATGTTGTGATTTATTAATTTTAATGCCAAAATTGTTCGATATATTCAAATTAACCTATATTTATTGTTATTAATTGAAGTTTCAATGAAATTATTTTTATATTTTAAGTTTGCTTTTATAAATTAAATACTTAAATGGATTAATATGATTTAGAGATTACGCCGGAAGTTGTTGAAGTTCCATTATAATTATTAAAAAGGTGGGTGGATTGAAGTTAAAATTATTATATAAGGAGTGCTTTTTATGATTGGGATTCATTCTAATTTAGTAAGAGTTACGGTGAAGTTATGCTGAAACAGTGTTGTGTAATTTTAAGTAAAAGCAGTGATATATGTAGTGTTAAGTGTGGTGTAATTCTTATATGTAAATCTATAATTATTATACGTTTGAAGTGTACCCTGGTGGTTTTCTTTATATATCAGAAGTGGGATGACCCACGAGCCATGCCCGGGAGAATAGAACGTGAGTACAATAATCTTAATTTCATTTATTTACTTCAAATGACAGAATTCACTATTTATAATAGCTTTATTGCTTAAGCTGAGAATTTGTAGTTGAACTGAGAATTTATTATATAGATTAGTCATGTATGTATGCTACTATTATCAACCATGTAGGAGACTTGTAAAAGCAATAGGTTACAGCCATGTAGATATGCTATGCTCACCATGCATTAGCCATGTATGTGTGCTATGATAGCCTTGCATAAGTGCTTCAGTTATGAGCATTTAGATAATGTAAATGACTATATGATACAGCCATATAGGTGTGCTGTGGTAGCCATGCATTAGCCATGTAGGTGTGCTATGGTAACTATGCATTAGCCATGTAGGTGTGCTATGGTAACCATGCATTAGCCATGTAGGTGTGCTATGGTAACTATGTATTAGCCATGTAGGTGTGCTATGGTAACTATGCATTAGCCATGTAGGTGTGCTATGGTAACTATGAATTAGCCATGTAGGTGTGCTATGGTAACTATGCATTAGCCATGTAGGTGTGCTATGGTAACCATGCATTAGCCATGTAGGTGTGCTATGGTAACTATGCATTAGCCATGTAGGTGTGCTATGGTAACCATGCGTTAGCCATGT